TTTCAGAATCATGTCTGTGGTGAAATCCACATCCACTCCAATCTCACTTCCAGTTCTTCTCTGATGGGTCTCATCCTTGGTCGAAAAACACCACAATAACCATCAAACATGATAAGAGCATTGCAGAAGTGGTTCCTCAAGAAATGAGCCCGCACAGCTTGTGCCACTGATTTGCCGGCCAACATCTGATCTGTACTACCCTCTGAATATACTTGAGTGATGATCTCCTTTAACCCAGATCCAGCCATCAGATTCCCAAATGTACCCACAAAACTCATCTCAGTATTGAATCCCCCCAGGGCTATTTGGCGCAAGGGGCTCTCAGCTGGCCGTGATTCGATGATCATGTATGCAATTCACCAAAGTTGCTGGTCGATTGTAATAACCGGTGTGATTCCATGTCGTCTGGCATGTTTGGAAATATACTCCAGCGTTGATCTGATACAGGATTCGTCACTTGGTGTCATGTTGATAATCGACAAAAATATCTCAGAGCTCTTCCTGGGGTATAGAATGTCAGAATGGAGCAACTGCATGCAACCGGAACACAGTGGTCGACACACACAGAAGTGGCGCACTCCACAAAATATCTAGTTTGCTATTCTTTTCATCAAGACAGAAGTCACCAATTGGTGGATAGATAATGTTCGACAGCACTGCCTTTGGATTTCTTTGTGAGAATAGTTTGACACTGTTGATTTTGTTAACATCATCCAAATCCACCTTAACTCTTAGTGCCCTCCGTTTCACCATCTCGCCCATGGTATGGATTGAGCCAGTGCCATCAAACCTTTTGCTGGCATGATCTATATAACCAGCCTGGTATTGCACGAATGTATCTGCAGTGTCTCTGATTAGGTGAACACCATGAGTGGTCACCGAGAATTTTCTAAATTTACGAGGAGCTGAAACCGAGTTGGCTTATCATATCCACTAAATTACGATGACCATATTTGTGTTATAGTGTGATACTTTGTCAAACTTGTCGAGGAGGCAGAAATGATGGGGACATGTCGAATGCATGATTGCCTCACCCAATGACGCAGTATGGAGTTTACTGTTTCAGCTCTTGATGATAGCTTGAAGGAAGATGCGTAATGTATGTGTGAGGTAATCAAGATTGGTGTCAATCAATGCCATCTGCTCATTGTCGAGATACACATCAACATACTTTGACATGCTCTCTACCTGCGTATGAATGTATTCCCCCTCAACTTTAATCAAACTGTCCATGTCGGATTTGTCCACCTTTGCAACATTTTCATGTGCCGTGAGAGTTGCAATGTTAGGTTGTTGTCTGATTGTAGTTATGAATACCTTGTTCCTAAAGGGATTCATGAATTCCCTTTTCAGCTGAGATGTAGTGTGTAGTTGATCATCACTCAGTGCACTCATTGACTTCATAATGTGATGCAAATTGTCCAAAGGAATCGTTTCATCATCATTCTCTTCCAAGTAATCAATGGCAATCTCAAATGCTGTCATCTAGGACATACACTTCAGTCGACCAAGTCTCCGTTTCTTTGGTGGAGCCTCTTCATGTTCAATATAAACTGCAGGTATACTTGTCCCTCTCCGAAAAGTCTTATCACAAGCATGGTGATGGCTAGCTTCTTCAGCTGGTAGATCGTATATGGGCACGATACTTGACTGTACCATCTTGGCCCAATCATCTTGCCTGTTGACACAGTATGTTGCGGACATATGTTGAGTAACTTCCTGGAACTCAAGAGCCATCGCACGGCTGAAGTACACTTCTATATGGATGTTTGTATACAACATCCTGGTCAATACAAGTACCACATAGAAAACAATGAGTTTTAAAATTTAAGGCTTAAACATATGATCGAAGAGTTTTCAGCTACTTTGATTGCTTTTGGATTTATATGCATACTTCGACACTGTCTGTGTACCAACAGGCTACAGTTGTATATGATGTCTGGTGCATCTAATTTGTGCAGTCTGTTTGCGTTATTAATGCTACAGCAGCATTTTGCTGTCAACTTCACATAATCCTGGGGTTTGTCCAGGTTAACTTGTTCCGTACATAGCAAACAAGTAGTCATCTGTAATCTACATAGGACACCTTCAGTTGGGAATAGTCACCTGCGAATAGTAACAGTTGATAGAAATATGGTTGACATGTGTACAGATACAAATGTTGCTTTTCCGATTATAGCAAATGATTTTTGTGCTAAATGTCTTGAATATATCTTCAGAATTAACTTTTAATCAAAGTTTCTGAGAAGCTAATACCATTTGAGAAAAATAACTGCTTCCCGGACTTTGGATTATCTCCCTTGATTTTCCTTGAAACAAATGTTGATGTTAATGGCTCTGTTTCAAATTTTATATTTATATTTGTTCATATTTTCATCAGTTATTTCTCTCTAGAGCCAATCAACTATATATTATACAAGATTTCATTTTAGCTATAAAAGAAAAATAGCTTAATCATACCTTTATGTTCTTGAGGTCTATCTTTAAAACATTGTTTGCTCGGCCGCCATTTTGAAGAAGGGGATACTTTGGGTTTTTTCAATTATATTTGTTTCTAACTTGATTATTTATGTGAAGACAATAAACTGTATAATTTTATATGTAAAAAGTCAACATTTTAATAAATTGGTTCATGTTCTGCAAGAATTACATATATTAACAAATTTATGTACTTTTTCGTCATTTTGAAGCATTATTTTAAATTTCCATGTGAATTTTCCTTTCAAAATTGTTAAATATACATTCCTTTGCATTTATCCTGGCAAGCTAATATAGATAGATAGACTCACCATAAATGTTTTTATTGTTATTGGTTCCACGTTTATGACTATTATTACTTTTGTTGGCGGCCATCTTGGATTTGACCTATTTTCGGATGGTTCCCCATGTCCGATTTTGGTAAACTATTTTTTATTTTAATGCATAGGTGTCAAGGCACCAAAATCCAGCAATAAACCTTTTCCGTCAATTTTGTTGAACCTGGACCTTTTAATTACTGGACTAGTAGTAGCTTACAACCACAACAAAGGGAGGTCACTATATTTTTTACGATTCCGCATACCACAAATCAAAAACCAAGCCACAGCAAACGACATTCTGTAAGCAGTCATCAGAGATAAACTAACAATCAATAACACCTCGTGACGCAAAAAAACTGTCCTGATCACCAAAAGGCTCCAGCACTTGTCTGCTCACATCAACTGCGCGCAAAGAGAAATTGAATGGTTTGAGAGTTATGCTCAATTTGTTGTTGTAGACAATATTTCTGGAGCTTTTATTTTGATTTAACAGATGCAAAGATCTGACACAATTTATATTGATGAATACATTTTCTTTGATTTGACGAATGTATATGAATTTATGTAACTAGATCGTGTTAAGAGAATCAAGTAACCAATGGCATCTTAAAACAACATTTTTCGTGACCAGATATTCTCACTATTATTTTGTATATAGGCCAGGATAATCCTAATTTGTATGCATAATTACTATTTATGTTTAACTAATCAACTCTTGATTCATAGGTTCCCACAATCGTAGAGTATACATCTGGTAATGTGTATTCTGTACATTTAATATCTTCGTTTGGCAATAAAGTAACCATGGTGATTATCTCCGGCATTGACGTGTTAAATTATTTAAACCCGAGCCCTCTCACAGACAGGAGTCACAAACGGATTGATTATGCAACTGATCAATTTCAAGTCTCTGAATCGTAATGAATAAAATGGAATTACAGTACAGTGTCTAACTAACGAGGGGCAATATTACATCAGTCTGTTACCTTGCCAAAACATGGATTTATACTCAAATGTATTTTTGTTTAGTGATACAAAGGTAAAAATGTACATATATAAGTACACCTTATTCAGAGATTAAACCCTTTTTTTGGTTTATTTGTATGGTATCTTTTTTTTGCATTCACTTCTGACGAGTCTCCACATAGGATGTAAGACAATCTCATTCATATGAGCTTCTAGCTTAAACAAAACCACAACGTATCGAATATGCCGAAATGTATTGAATGTTAAAGGTGTAATAGTGATTACAATTATATGAATGGATTATACGTGATGCCACCAGGTGTTTGCAAAAAGGGTAATCATTACCCGCTCTACCGGCAGCACCCGCTTCTCACAACATTATCGTTCAAAACGTAAGTGCCATGGAGTAAGGTTATTTGTTGGACCCAGCAATGTATCTTACTTCATAAGGATTCGTTTGAACAGAATGCAATATTTTGTGTTTAAGAAATATGCAATTCAGCAAGACCTGTTGGGACAATCGGTGGGTTTTTGTCGCTCGTAGGAATTTTGATAATATGTGTGTTTCCAATAACTATGCCACGAAAGGATAAGATCCATTGAAATAATTTGAAATTATAGTACCAATACATTATGCATTTTTCACGATATTTGGGATCACTCCGAAGTAATTGTCGAAAGGGAAACACTGTCCATTATCGAGAGATCACAAGTGATTATATGCCATGCAGGTTCTAGGACGATTGTGGGGCACGGGTGGCCCAGTCGTCTGAGGCGCCGTGATTCGCTGTGCAGAGTTGCATCCCTTGATGATATGAGTATTTCATACTTGTTTGTTATAAAGGTAGCTATTAGCAGGGAAGTTTCTGTTTCAAAGATTTAGGCATGTTTTTCTAAACTCAAAGTGATGTTGTTATTACTCCGGCTGCTTCTGCATTTTCCTGTAATGCAAACACTTTTTCAGCTTCCCAGTAACAGGACACGCATTTGATTGCTGTGTACATTACAAAGAAAGTTTTTGTCAGATATACCATATAATAGTTATTTTCGAGAACATTGTATAATTTCAAAATAGCGATGTGAAATATGTTTTCTAAATTCTATTAGTTTGAACCACATAATAGGTTACACCAAAAACTAATTAGTTTTTTTTGCTAACGTTTATTATCAGTGCAGGTCGTACATATCCATTAGGACACTTTGGGACACGAAGTCCTGTGGTGGAATATCCCCTCGTCACGCCAGGACCTGGGTCCTGTCCCAAGCCTTCATGCACTGTGGGAAATCCTTTCCTAGGTTTCTCTTTCGTGACATGATTGGAACGTTGCTTATGCAGTTAATCCATTAACTAGTGTATGCTCTTGACGGAAGGTATCGCGTTACGGAAAACATCTATTGTCTCTTCAGATAAGTCTCGAAGTACTCATGAAGACATCCCCCCATCACGGCAGGACCTGGGACCTTCATTAAGTCCTTTCTTAGGGTTACCTTTCATGACATGGTTGGAACATTGCTCGGGGATTGTAAATACAAGGACGTGGACGTGCACATGTATGCTCTAGGCGGAAGGTTTTTGTGTTGGGGTAAAACAACTATTGTCTCTTTGGATACTTTACATGTCACGAAGTATTTCGTATGATCTAGTACCCGCTTAGAGCAATATATGTCTCTTTAACACCCCTTTTATCTCCATCCCAGAAAATGTCATCAGGATTAGTGGCTATGTTGGGGATCGGTTTAAGCTGACCGTTAGGGTTACACAAGGTGCAGCTTCTGAACCACCAACCAGAGTGATGTTTCTGGGAGCAGCTTCCAGCAGGGTCTTCATCATGGTCTCTGTCTTTAGTGCTGAACCTGGCTCCTCTCAGATCAGTAATGACATCGTTGATTGGATTCTTTGATGCTGCAGTGTGAGAGAAGTTAAGCCGGAAACCATCTAACTCGTCTGTGAGTTTGAAAGAGTGGCAAATTATCTGTCCCCAGGTCGGTTGACCCTTTTTATACAACATATTGATTATAAGTCTGCCTGGTGTCTTGTCACTGATGGCTTTCATCTTTTCCAAACCCAACCAGAAATCTCCTCCAGGAGTCCCGAACCCGTCTCTGTACTCCTGCCAGGTCCGATAAAAGTCGATGCCCAATGACTGCTTTTGGACATACGTGCGTCCACCGAACCTCATATCACAGTAGACTTGGAAAGGTGTTGCAAAAGGTCTTGGCTGAATGGTGTGTACTCCACCTGCTGTTATACCCATCTTGAATCCCTCAGAACAATCTGACAACAACGCAAGCATTAAATCACACAATGAAAGGGGGACTTCTTTTGAACTCAAGACAAGAGGGACCAATTCGCTGTGTTGAGGTGCGTCCCTTATGCGGGACATAAACCTTTTTGGATTCACAACCCAATTCAACCTAAACATGTTTCATGGTTCGTCAGCATACCATTGCTAGTTTGTTTCGCCAAAATGTTTAATGTGTACTGCCTACATCACTTTCAGCTTTCCTCCAGCATCAATCTCACACACCCTGATCAAGCAGAAATGCTGTTCAAAGTGGCATTAAACCATACTAACTCACGCTTTTCAACGAAGTAAGTGAGTTAAATTGGTTTTATGTCACTTATCTTATCACTGCGTGTCAGCTTGATGTGAGAGGAAAGCCCGAAATGATGCAGGCGAAACCCACGAGCACGGGTATGGTGCTGACAAACCAAGAAACCTAATCGGGACGAACCTGGATTCGAACCCACAATCACACTTTCTGGGGTGCAGGAGGTAGGCAACTCTGCACAGCGAATTGTGGCGAGTTAGACGACAGGGCCATCCATGCCCCCTAGTCAACGAGGAGGTATCAAACCAATAAACTAACTCATACCACGGGGTATCAAATCAGTCGATGTCATATTGAACGTCAGCAACAGGGGCCTCGTTTAATTATCAACCAGTACAGTCTATCCATTCTCGTCCTCGGACTTCTTGGATGCAAGAGGCTGGTTATAAACAGAGCCGATCTTGATACTGCCATGACACCTACCTCGGGAGAAGGCCTTTGTGAGTAGGATATTTTGTTACTTTGAATGAAGATAGATATGTAGAATGGTTACTTTCAATTTAACTGTAAATAAGGTTTGTTTTGCCAAATGGAATGTACGTTGTACAATGTATTCCTTTCTTTTCCAAAACGAATGGTGATGCATCGTTGTTTTGACACGAATACATGATAGGTTTTACCGAGTGGCTAGTTCTTAGATATGTTCACTCTTTCGGGCCTTAGGGGGATTGCAAAGTAGACACAAGTTATGGATAACAACTTCTTTATTTTGACAATTAGGTGGGATTGCTCCTACTTCAAGCTAGTCAGATATCTTTCATAAAGGTAAAGTCGGACACGGGAACATGTGCAGAAGGGACATTTAGGGGATATTTGAAGAAGACTTTAACCTTGGAACAGTACATTTGCGCATTATCTTGATTGATCCTGTGTGCAACATTGCTTTGTTGGCCTTCCTATTCATCTTCCCGAGGCCAGGGAGACAACTGACGTTAAACGTCCAGTTTGAACCCTTGCCGAACTAGGCTGAAATTATGGAGTTATATTTTGGCTGGATTAACGAGTCTATGCATTGTCCAATCAAAATCGCCTAACGAAATGGACATCCGATTAGTAAACTGACGTGCAGCTTTCGGTCGATTGCAGGATTTGCAAAACATGTGTACTGTTAGCGTCAACAGATAATTTTCAAATTTTTCAGTTTTTTTTATCAAGGTGCGCACTTAGCAAAGTAAGATCCGTTTTATTACAATATGGATGTTGATATAGGCATTGGCTGGGTGCCGCCATTTTGTTTGAAGCAAATGCAAGTGATATGAGAGATGGAATCTGATTGGTAAATGGGAGGGACATAACCCGTAATCGCCACTGGCGGCACTGCGATCGAGCCTGGAATTTCTAGCCTAGTTCGGCAAGGGTGAAAACTGGACTTTAACAATCAGTAAACTCTCTTGCCTAGGGAAGGCGTGTACCATTTGACAGTCACTATTTCATTTAACCATATATGAAGCAACGAAATGAAATAATATGTGCTGACCATCATTAGGTCTCCTTTTGATATATAACAGGAGGTCCTTCTAGAATACCGTCAATACAAAAGCCGAGAATGTTGAAATCACAAACAAAGGGACCTAGATGATCAAGCTCAAGGATAACTGTGAAGAAACAAGAAGACATTCGTAGTGGTGGGAATACTAGTCATGGTGGCAGTAGTAGTAGTCGTGGTGGCAGTAGTAGTAGTCATGATGGCAGTAGTGGTAGTCATGGTGGCAGTAGTAGTAGTCGTGGTGGCAGTAGTAGAAGTCATGGTGGCAGTAGTAGTAGTCATGGTGGCAGTAGTAGTAGTCATGGAGGCAGTAGAGGTAGTCATGGAGGCAGTAGTGGTGGTAACAGTAGTCGTGGTGGCAGTAGTAGAAGTCATGGTGGCAGTAGTAGTAGTCATGGTGGCAGTAGTAGTAGTCGTGGTGGCAGTAGTGGTAGTCATGGTGGCAGTAGTAGAAGTCATGGTGGCAGTAGTAGTAGTCGTGGTGGCAGTAGTAGTAGTCATGGTGGCAGTAGAAGTAGTCATGGTGGCAGTAGTAGTAGTCGTGGTGGCAGTAGTAGTAGTCGTGGTGGCAGTAGTAGAAGTCATGGTGGCAGTAGTAGTAGTCATGGTGGCAGTAGTAGTAGTCATGGTGGCAGTAGTGGTAGTCATGGTGGCAGTAGTGGTGGTAACAGTAGTCATGATGGCAGTAGTAGTAGTCATGGTGGCAGTAGTAGTAGTCATGGTGGCAGTAGTAGTAGTCGTGGTGGCAGTAGTAGTAGTCGTGGTGGCAGTAGTGGTGGTAACAGTAGTCGTGGTGGCAGTAGTAGAAGTCATGGTGGCAGTAGTAGTAGTCATGGTGGCAGTAGTAGTAGTCATGATGGCAGTAGTGGTAGTCATGGTGGCAGTAGTGGTGGTAACAGTAGTCGTGGTGGCAGTAGTAGAAGTCATGGTGGCAGTAGTAGTAGTCATGGTGGCAGTAGTAGTAGTCATGGTGGCAGTAGTAGAAGTCATGGTGGCAGTAGTAGTAGTCGTGGTGGCAGTAGTAGTAGTCGTGGTGGCAGTAGTAGTAGTCATGGTGGCAGTAGTAGTAGTCATGGTGCCAGTAGTAGTAGTCGTGGTGGCAGTAGTAGTAGTCATGGTGGCTGTAGTGGTAGTCATGGTGGCAGTAGTAGAAGTCATGGTGGCAGTAGTAGTAGTCGTGGTGGCAGTAGTAGTAGTCATGGTGGCAGTAGTAGTAGTCGTGGTGGCAGTAGTAGTAGTCGTGGTGGCAGTAGTAGTAGTCATGTTGGCAGTAGTAGTAGTCATGGTGGCAATAGTGGTAGTCATGGTAGCAGTAGTAGTAGTCATGATGGCAGTAGTGGTAGTCATGGTGGCAGTAGTGGTAGTCATGATGGCAGTAGTGGTAGTCATGGTGGCAGTAGTGGTGGTAACAGTAGTCGTGGTGGCAGTAGTAGTAGTCATGTTGGCAGTAGTAGTAGTCATGGTGGCAATAGTGGTAGTCATGGTGACAGTAGTGGTGGTAACAGTAGTCATGGTGGCAGTAGTGGTGGTAACAGTAGTCATGGTGGCAGTAGTGGTGGTAACAGTAGTCATGGTGGCACTAACAGTAGTCATGGTGGCAGTAGTAGTAGTCATGGTTGCAATAGTGGTAGTCATGGTGGCAGTAGTGGTGGTAACAGTAGTCATGGTGGCAGTAGTGGTGGTAACAGTAGTCATGGTGGCACTAACAGTAGTCATGGTGGCAGTAGTGGTGGTAACAGTAGTCATGGTGGCACTAACAGTAGTCATTGTGGCAGTAGTAGTAGTCATGGTGGCAGTTGTGGTGGTAACAGTAGTCATGGTGGCACTAACGGTAGTCATGGTGGCAGTAGAAGTAGTCATGGTGGCTGTAGTGGTGGTAACAGTAGTCATGGTGGCACTAACAATAGTCATTGTGGCAGTAGTAGTAGTCATGGTGGCAGTTGTGGTGGGAATAGCAGTCATGGGAGCAGCATTAGTAATCATGGTGGCAGTAGTATTAGTCATGGTGGCAGTAGTGGTAGTCATGGTGGCAGTAGTGGTGGTAACAGTAGTCATGGTGGCAGTAGTGGTGGTAACAGTAGTCATGGTGGCACTAACGGTAGTCATGGTGGCAGTAGTAGTAGTCATGGTGGCAGCAGTAGTAGTAGTCATGGTGGCAGTAGAAGTAGTCATGGTGGCATTATTGGTGGTAACAGTAGTCATGGTGGCATTATTGGTGGTAACAGAAGTCATGGTGGCAGTAGTAGTAGTCATGGTGGCAGTTGTGGTGGGAATAGCAGTCCTGGGGGAAGCATTTAGTAATCATGGTGGCAGCAGTAGTAGTCATGGTGGCAGTAGTAATAGTCATGGTGGTAGTAGTAGTTGTCATGGTGGTAGCAGTAGTTGTCATGGCGGCAGTAGTAGTAGTCATGGTGGCAGTAGTAGGTATCATGGTGGCAGTAGTAGTAGTCATGGTAGTAGTAGTAGTTGTCATGGTGGTAACAGTTGTTTTCTTGGTGGCAGTAGTAGTTGTCATGGTAGTAGGCATAGGTAGTGGTGGTAGTAGTATACATACCATCCCAGTAGCGTTCACAATATGTCCCAGCAAAGCTGCCAGTGCAGTCGCATGACGTTTTGGTAGTGTCTGACCAGACGCCACCATTCTGACACTCGGGGGGTGGTGGGTAGGTCTGCAAAAAAAAGCATGAACTGGAAATAAAAGAGACTTTTGAAACCTACTCATCTGTTTCAACTCAACCACAAAAGAAACGCAAGTTGTACATGCAATGCGGATAACGTTAAGAACACAAAAGATTTGTAGATAATAGTAAGGAATGGTAACAGAGAAAACATTTGATATGAAATGGGCGTTTGCTTGATGACAACAGTTTGTGTTATTGAAAATTGGTACATCCCAAACAGACAAATGACAAGTGTCAGTCTTGTCCATCAATAGCGTGACATCACCATCTCATTGACTCAACATCCATGCAGGTAGCAAAGGTACTGTAAGTCCCCATGGTCCCCAGTATGGTGGTCTACCTTCAGTGGCTGGAGATCTATAGCCCGTTTTTATCATGTTATTGTTAGGTATAAGTGTTATCCTTTTATATAATTCAGTACTAGTTTTAAAACCTTTTTCTGTGATAAGTCTTGTAATTTTACTGTCCTTCGTTGGCAGGTTTTTATATAAGTTAAATTGTATTTATAAGATTTAACCCTTGATAGTCATGATATGGCTGAAATATTGCCGATGTGACTTATAATTTCAACTCACTCACTCACTCATTGAGTCAACAAGTCTTTGGAAGAAGGCTTGAGGCATCCCGTGCCATTCCCGCACCAAAATGGCTTCCAGTTCCTGAAATATATGTGGCTGCCTTGCTACCTGAAGACGTCTCCCAATCTCGTCCCAGACATGTTCAATTGGCGCCATGGCTGGTGCAAAGACGGCCAGGGCATCATAGGAATGTTATTCAATCTGATGAAGTCCGTAGCGACCTGTGCTGTTTGTAGGCGAGCGCTGTTCTGCTGAAAGACCTGGAGTTGAGGTTGACCCAGGAAGAGAGGTCTGACGTGATAAAGAAGAACATCATCCCTGTACACGACAGCGTGTTACGCACTGACGGAACACGTTTAGAGGGGTCCTGTGATGATAACTCCCCACACCATGATGCTTCCTCCTCCCCACCGGTCGACCTGTAAGACACAGCGGTTAGCGTAACGTTCATTGCGTCGTCTCCACACGCTTATGCGGCAAACGGCGTGAGAAACGTAGAACCCTGATTCGTCTGAGAAGAGAAGACAACTGTTGACGTCGCCAACGCAGGTGTTGTTGTGCCCACTGCAGACGTAGTTGGCGGTGACGTTGTGTCAGTATGGGCCCGACGTCATGACGACGACATCTGATTCCCGCCGTTCTTAGACGACGACGAATTGTCTCGGTTGACAAGGGATGACGTGGACCTTGAATGGTTGCAGCTGGCTGTGCTCCTCGTCGCTGTCGGTCAGTAGTACTCTGGAGTAGTGACCCTCTGCCGTCCAGAACGAGACCGGTCGTGGACACTGCATATCTGTTGCTGCTTTGCGACCAATCTGGTGATGGTAGACACATGACATCCAAAGTGTATCGCCACTGCAGTTGACGTTAATCCGGCCTGTAGCATCCCAATGGCAACGCCTCTCTGGAGTACAGTTAATCGAACTATGTTGCCTGTCCTTTTTCAAAGTCGAGTGAGAAATGCTTGGTGGTTTTGTTATATAGTGGCTTACAAAGGATGGACAAGGGAGAAAATGCACGCAAAAACTGAAAATGGAAAATGTGATTTGCGCTAGACGTGTAAAAAACGTCAGACGAGACGAAACGACTGCGTTCCTGCGACATGCTCAAAAAAGAATTATGTAAATAATGAACAGTGTTTCTTCTGTGCGTCTATTTACGTATGTATACATTTCTTTTCACAAACTACTATTTTCTGCATTTTTTCAAACAAAACATCTTGACTTGCGTTTCTTTTGCAGTTGAGCATATTTAGATCTATGCGTAAAGATCCAGAGTGACCAAACACACTCCACACTCCACAAGACTGGATGACAAAAGGGTGGACCTCAACTTTCCAATAATCAACTTTTCCTTTCTGTTGGGCAATATTCCAGCAGCTCAAGCCTTTGATGTCTACATTTTACAACTTTTAAGGCACCATCGAGCATGCTCACCGACGAGGATTTAAAACTGCATCATTGGACTCTTTCTCAAAAGCTGTTTGATCAGGGTTACAACAAAGTAAAGCTTTGAAAACTTTTTATGGTAGACATGTGGTGGAAATTTACAAATTTCTCGCATCGCTGACCAAACTTATGTCGGATCCAATTCCCTATTCTCATGTTCCTAGGTACCATCACTTTTCGATAGCGATTCATAAACACATGACTATGATATAGTCGGAATCGGACAATCAGCTCCGATTTTAGCAGAGAATTCTTATTGTTATGGAAAGGATTTTGTCGCTTATATTTATTGATTTCAACACAAACATCTGTGATATTCCAACCTCAGTTAACTGAATCCATCCATAAAAAGACATACGTATTAAATAAACTACTCAAAAACACCCAATTCTTACATATTACTATAGTTTACGTCATGCCATCATTAACTATAGTAATCTGAAGAATCGGGTGGTACTCAACCTTTTTTAGTATTAGTATTATTATTATTATTATTATTATTATTATTATTATTATTATGGTATTTAAGAACAAACATAGGCTACTGGGGACCCATCGATACCACAGATCTCGCTAGAGGATGTCTCACTAGGGGACCAGCTTAAACCATTTAGATTATCTTCGAGACGTAACGTGTTTCCTTTATTCTATTAGCATATAAATGTTACTAATACTACAAGTAGCCAAGACTTGTTTCTGAGTGTATAGTGTATATATGACATGAAAACCAGTTGTGTTCTTCATACCAAACAAATCGAAATAATTATCAACCCATCCCAAAGTAACTAATGATGATAAAGACAAAACCTTACCTTTTTAAACATGACGTCTTCAAAATCGGACAGATTATCATATTCATCTCCAGTGAAGTAGGAGCAATGGCGTTGAGCGAATAAAACATTAGTAGCTTCGCAAGATGAGGACGAGGCACAGTTTGCCATGCACCTAAACGCAAAAGACGTATCCTGAAACACTGGAGGGTTGGTGTTTGAGAACAATTTTATGAAGTTTGACACCTTTATCGATCCCGTTGCTGTACAAGACGATATTGCCCAAACTAGGAGAACAACCAGAGACATGCTTCACAGACACCCGTCCCCAGACACTAGCAGTCGAGAACTGTTGTTTCCTCCTGCCGCATGACGATTATAAAAGAATGCACACTTTCAGACGTCAGGGACAGTTGCATATGAATTCCAATAGAATTAATCAATATATTCATTATCTTATCAAAGATCGGACAATTCAAGCCCGTCCGCTATTATTTCCTTTGGCTAATGTGTACGTTCCACTGTATCGGGCAATACACGACTATTCCGATGAAAACAAAGGTACTGTCCCTTCTAACGTTTTTCTTCTCTTCACTCAATTATAATTGTTTCTGAGTACCATCTTGCACTTCTGTGTACTTTTTGTGGCATAGATTAAACATTTCAGGATACGTGGGCCTAATCAGAAACATGACAGCTGTTTTAATGAGAATCTAAATGATATGTTATTATTGATATAATATAATTATCATCTTTTTATTCTTATAATTAAAAACTCGTTTTCTTTTGACAGCTGTTTTAGTGAGAATATAAATCATATGTTATTATTAATATAATATTTTATTTGTTTTATTATTATCAAAAACTCCTTTTGTTCATTTGTGAGTGATTGCCCTTTGGGAATTTTATTTTCCTCCCTGTTCGTATACATCTATTTTCAAATTAACCGCTAATTGGTTTCATGAAAGCCAAAGATTTTGCTGTCTTGCGAAACCTAGAGATGTTTACACATCATAGCAACAACATGGCATTCTTGAGATTAACCTCAGTGGCTTAGATATAACTCAGTTAAATTTGACGAATGCTCAAGGTATAGCAACATACAACATGTAAAAGTTACCTGTAGATTTAACGGCCTCAAACAGAATGTCTTCCTCAAGTTCAGCAATGGTAATACGTCTAACTGATAGCATAATTTTTCAGTTTCATTGATTGAATTCTCATTGATGGAAGTTGAGGGCCGTCCAGACCTAGGGTAATCATCAAGGCTTGTTCTCCCATCCTTAAACATAGCTGCCCAACGTTTAACAGTGGAATAGCTAGGGCTCTTATCCCTACATATCCGTACTACATTGACTAGTTCACTTTGTTATGGCCCACAGTACGTTGGAAGGTAGTTAGACTTAGACCTTTCTGACTAGCAGTCGTATTAATGCCACTTGTCTCGAATACTTTCTGTGAATATGAAGAAAGTTCTTCCTTGGTTGTAATAAAGGTAATCTTTGAAACAAGGATTTGGTACATTGGAACCATCAATATATCTCTTTTCACGGATTTTTATGGTGTTTTTGAATTCAGTACAAAAGAGGAATAAGCATGTCTTCAGGTTTAAAGTTAAGTCACAAGTTGATAGCACTGACGCATGGTTTTGGCATTTTTTCTCCTCAGTTAACATATTGGCCTTACATATGGAATTATTGTTATGTCAATTATAATACGTTCCTTGGTCGAACAATTAAAGAAGTTACGCTTACAAATAATGCTTATGTTATTCAGTGGGAACTACAACACACTTTTTATGTAGGGCGAACAGGCTTTGGATCAAGCAGGCTGGGACAGATGGAGACAAGACATGACTCACTGTTATTACGTTGTTATGGCAATGGGAAACATAAGCTCTATTACCCAAGAATTAATTCAGTCCTCGGCGAACTACTTAGATACGGCTAATCGGTCCCTTTTTCTAAACCTTAAACCTTCTAACAACTAAATATAATGCGTCACTTTGGCCATCACACTGCGGATGATAGCAATCATGAAGGGCATGCTCACGCACTCATGTTTGGCTGTAGTGTTTTACAAGCAAAGTATTCCCACTCTATGACCTTATGGGATTTCGATTAGTGCCAGTAAACCGATAAATTGCTTTATTATACACAAGAAGCAAGAGCCTCATCAGAGTATCTACAAAACCATTTTGAATAATTTATTCTGTGAAGATATATTTTTCAAAGCGTATATCTCAAAATGTGCATGACGAATTTTCTTTCGTTGGACTTTACACACCAGTTGACAGACGTTCAAGAAGTAATGAATTGTAACGTTGATTAGCTTTTTGCAAATTTATATACAATGCTTTCATGTTACTATTCATAAACATTGTACTTTACCATTGGATTTGAACAAGTTGGTTCAATAAATACAGCCTGAGGTCCATGTGATGCCGCGTTATTAAATCTGATTGATTGTGTCTCGGTTGGTTTGATGCAACATTGTGTCACTTCAGATTCTTATTGTGCAGAATCAATTACATATTCAATACAGGCTGTAATAACTTGAAGTCTTTCTTTCTCAAATGATGATTTCTTTATTCTTTCATGTTTTGCATTCTTTCTTTTCTTTACATTCTTTTTGTTTCCATTTAGATAAATGTCTTTCTTTTCTTAACTAGAATCTCATTATTTTCAGATTGACTGAAATACAAATAAATAAACAATAATTACTATTTTGATCAAATGATGCATTAATGCAAATAATCATAATGACATTATAATTGAATTAACCTAATAAAATTGACTACCTTTCAGTGACATGAAATACTATGCAAAATGTAAACAAACGATGAAAAACACTTTATGACTAAATAACTGCTCTAAAACATTTATACACAGGTAGATAATGATAAAATAATATATATGACAAAATTTGGCAAACTCACCATTGTTTTTAGACTCTTTTATCCTTAAAACCTTTTCTCATTTCTTTCATTCTCACATGCATGCTGCATGCTTTTAGGGCCACATGGAAGATAATACACGATACTAAGCAGTTATGCCCCTTGGCATATTATGATGAGTAAACATAAATTTGAATGGAGAAGAAATGAAATATGAATTAATACTTGCCAAAAACGAAATATGATTTATATTTTAATACTTTGATAACAAACAAAGGAAATATGATTCTGAACTTTGCAAATAATAACTTAACAATTTTGACACTTACACACCGGCCTCCTAATTGTAGGATGAAATGAAACAATTATCTTAACTAAGAAACAATAACCCACAAACACTCCTAAATAAACACTTAATTGTCAATATTCATGTGTTTACACTTTTACTTAGCACATCCCTTTGAAAGTTCTGTTATGTTTGTATACAGCTCTACTAATTGTCTTCCATAACGAGACACAGTTTGTCAACAGGTCGCACAAATTCTGAAGAAGCAGTCTTCACTTTTACAGTTCGCACAAGGTTTTTCCTGTCGTGATAGAGTTCTGTTACTCTTGCAAGAGCCCACGCATTACGTGGTGTATTGTCCATAATTAGCACAATGTCTCCAATCTGAAGGTTTCTTTTGATCTGATTCCATTTTTGCTTTTGCTGCAGGAGAGGTAGATATTCTTTCTTCCATCTTTTCCAGAAGATGTCTGCAAGATATTGTACTTGCTTCCATCGTCGACGGCTATAGATGTCCTCTTTCTTGAATGTTCCGGGAGGCATCTTTTCACCAGAACGTAGGTATAACAGATGGTTAGGAGTGAGCACAGATAAATCATGCACATCATATGACAGATCAGTGATAGGACGTCCATTGATGATAGATTCCACTTCGCAAAACAAAGTGTTCAACGCCTCATCATCCAGCTTAATGTTCTGCTCTTGTAGTAAACAATGAAGCACTTTCCGTACAGTCCTAATCATCCGCTCCCAGAATCCACCATAATGGGAGGCTGCAGGTGGATTGAAGCTCCATTCAATCCCTTTGTCAACGAAGGCAGAGTGAATCTTTGATTCTTTTAAGTTCTTTAATGCTTCACATAACTCTCGCTGACATCCGACAAGGTTAGTACCATTGTCAGATTTGATGAACTTGGGTGGTCCACGTCGTGCGACAAATCTTCTGATGGCATGGATACAGGAGTCTGTGTCTAGGGTGGCAGCCACTTCCAGATGTATAGCACGAAGATTCATGCAAGTGAATACAACTCCATATCGTTTTACTGAGGTACGTCCACGTATCACTTTGAAAGGACCAAAGAAGTCCATACCTACATTGGTGAAAGGTGGTAGGTCAGGAGTTATCCGTTCATCTGGGAGATCAGACATCTTTTGTTGTCCTGGAGAGGAGTGATATTTACGACATGTGACACACTTTGAAACTATTGTCTTCACCAGTGAGCCTGCTCCAATCACCCAGTACCATTGTCTGAGATGTGACAAGATGGAGTTCTTTCCTAGATGTCCAACAATCTTATGAGTCTCTTCAATGATCAAGCGTGTTACACGAGATTTCTTGGGAAGAATGATTGGGTGCTTTTCGCTGAAGGAAATCTCTGCATTCTTGAGGCGTCCTCCAACATGAATGACGTCATCTTGAAGAAATGGATCCAACTTGTAGAGAGGGCTTGATTTATCAACTGTTGCAGAAGATTGCTTGGACATCGTTGTTCTTTCGAGAAATGTTGTGTCTGACAGTGTTGGACTAGGAGCTTTTCTGCATCTTCAAGGACTTGAACATTCATGGTGTAGTTCACTTTCTTGGTGGATTGAGACTTGTTGACTCTCTGGCGCAAACATCTGATAGTTAACATGATCCATGCTACTGCTCTTCTTAACTTTGTCCAACTTGAGAAGTGGTTAATTAGAATGTCTAGGAAGCTATCCTTCTCCATGATGGTTGCATGAACACATTCCTTAAGTTCAAGATCATCTTCTTGAGGTTCTTGGTTGCTGTATTGCTTCGGCCAGTACTTGTGGTGCTGCCATAGGAATCTTGGTCCTCCCGTCCAATGCTGAATATGGTGCTCATTATCAAGCTTGATGCCTCTTGAAGCATAGTCTGCTGGGTTCTCTTTAGATGACACATACCTCCATTGATCAATATCAGAACAGTCTCTTATCACAGCAATCCGGTTTGCTACAAAGGTTTTGAACCTGGCATTGGTGTTAAAGATACATCTCAACACTGACATGCTGTCCGTCCAGAAGAAAGTTGTGTCTACTTTGACCTGAAGTTCTTGAAGAATAAGGGATGACATGCGTACAGCTAGAGTAGCAGCAGTGAGTTCCATGCGTGGTATGGTTATTTTCTTTAAGGGAGCAACCCTTGATTTAGACATTACCAGAGCACAATGGATCTCCTCATCTTCATTCACAAATCTGATGTAACCGACGACTCCATATCCTACATTGCTCGCGTCTGCAAAAAGGTGAAGTTGACATGATGTTACAAGTCCAAACTCCATAGGCTTGTAGCATCTTGGAATGTGGATATCTTCTAACAAGGTAAGATCTTTCAGCCATTGATGCCATATCTTCTGTGTCTTTGAATCAACATCTTCATCCCAATCTTTTTGTTCTTTATGCAGGTTTTGGAGCAGCTGTTTTGAAATGAGTATGAAAGGAGCCATGAGTCCAAGAGGGTCATACACACTGCTAACCACAGACAGGATGCCACGTTTAGTGTCTGGTTTCATCTTGCTCTTTATCTTGAATCCAAGGGTGTCTGATTGCACAAACCAGTAGACACCTAACGCTCTTTCAGATGGAAGGTCTTCACAGTCCAAGTTCAAGTCTTTAACATCCTTTGCTCTTTCTTGAGGTGGGATTGATTTCATTACTGTAGAGCTGTTGGAGATCCACTTGGTAAGCCTGAAGCTGCCTTCACTGCACAAACTGGTAAGTTCTTTTACAGTTGATACTGCCTTTTCTTCATTCAATTCGGATGCCAGACAATCATCTACATAGACGTTGTCAGTCAACTTTTCTATAATTTCTGGGACAAACTTATCCTGACTGTCCCTTGCAGAAGATACAGCTCCAAAGATATGGACTAACATCCGATACACTTTAGGTTCTTTTCTACAATCTCCGTCCGGCCACCAGTAGAAGCGAAGGAAGTCATTGTCTTCTTTTGGCACTCTGACTCGATAGTACATGGATTCGATATCACCCATGAAGGCAATGTTCTCCTGTCTATATCTCATTAGAACACCGAGGAGGCTGTTGCATAGATTGGGTCCTTGAAGCAAACTACTATTTAGGGAAACACCTTGGAATGTTGCTGAACAGTCAAAGACAACTCTTATTTTCCCTTGCTTGCGTGGATGGTACACCCCGTGGTGTGGGATAAACCATACTTTGCCTGGTTTACCTTTCAGTTCATCTTGAGGAACAATTTCAGCATATTCTTTGCTGAGGATGTCTTCCATGAACTTCTTATAGTCTTTATGTATTTGAGGGTTCATTGTAAATTTCTTCTTGAGTCCTCTCAAACGCTGTAAGGCTTGTTCACTGTTGTCAGGCATGATGACATCCTTGTCTCGAAAGGGCAGATTGACAACATAGTGTCCATCTTCTTTATGAATAGAGTTTGTCACAATCTTCATAAATTCTTTGTCCTCTTGTGACATTTCTTTTCTTTCTTCTGCTGCTTTCTCTGGAAAGTCATAGTTCATGCTGTCTTTCATCATAGTATTAATGTTCTGTAGATCTTCCATTGCTTTTACTGTTATGTCTGTTCTCATTGATGGAAATCTGTTTTCTTTTGCAAGTCTGAGGACATTCCAAAGTATCCATCCAAGCTTGGTTCTTGTTGCATGAGGACTTCCATCAGGACCGGTACGAATCTCTAGTGGTGCATAGGAGTCTGGTACATTTCCCCCGATGAGGATATCTACACTTGCATCAATCTCAGGCAGATATATATCATTAAGGTGAGACCATTTTTGAACGTCAGATGAAACAGGTATGTGTTTCTTCAAAACTGGTATGTGTTCCTTGGAGTAAACGGTAGGTAGTGCGATCGTGTTCCTGAGGTCAAGGTCGTGCACTTGTAAGCCATTCACTGCTTGCACTGAAGTGGTGTAGGGCTTCCCCATTGTATCAATAGTAATATCCATACTTTTCCCACTGCATCCAAGTTTCTTCAAAAGCGATTCGGAACAAAATGAGACAGTACTGCCTGGATCAAGGAAGGCATATGTTGACTCAACCTTGACTCCGTTACTGTATGACACTTTCACCGGAATAATAGCAAGAGTACATTCCATGGCCCCGGCCTCCATAGCTTCACATGTTCCATCTTGTTCGGTACATGCACCAACCAGCTTTCTTTCAGTTTCATACACAACATGCAGGATTCCCTGATGATTTCTGTTACATCTGAAGCAGGTTACCGTCTTCTCACAGGACTTGCTCAAGTGACCATAACACAAACATCGAAAACACAATCCCCTTTTCTGAAGAAATGCCAGTCTATCCTTCAAAGTCTTCTTAACAATCTGATCACAAATCTGCAACTTATGAGAATTGCTGTTACAGTATATACACAAGATCTGCTGACCTTCAGGTTTGCTTGACTGGGTGTTCTGAGTTGTATTCTCTACCATGTCTGTGCTGAAGGAAGGCTTGAATGATGATTGTGAAGCAATTCCTGCGTTTCTCTTTGGCTGTGTCTTTGTTCTGTCATCATTCCTCAGAGCATCTTTTCCATACATTGGATCTGTTGCTTTTCTTGCTTCTCTCTTCACAAACTTGACCAGGTTATGGAATGCTACAGTTCCTCCTGAATCCCTGATAGATATGACAATATTCCTCCACTTCTCATGGCAATGGAAAGGGAGTTTCATAACGAGCCTTCTGATGTTGTCAGGATACTCCAGGATCTTTACTGCTGTGATGGAGCTTACTGCATTCTCACATTCTTGTAGGAAGATGGCATATTCATCCATGGATTTAGGGTTGTCTACTTTTACATTAGGCCATCCCAATGCTTTCTTGACGAGAGCAGATGCAATAGCGTCTTCATTGCCGTATCGTTCATCAAGTTCCTGCCATGCCTTTTGATACCCTTGACTGGCCTCCAGGTAACTATATCCCTTGACAATTTTCAGCGCTTCACCCAATGTGAACTGTTCTAGATATGACATCTTCTCATCTTCTGTTTCTGAGTTGACAACAATCTTCACCTTGAACTGACGCTTGAATCTTTGATATTCAATAGGATCCCCAGAGAACTTCATGATTTCAGGAGGCGGCTTTCGGAGCTGTTGCACAACACACTGAATAAGATTCTCACCGCTTGCTGCAGTAGTTTGTGGAGATAAGTGTTGATTGAAGTCTTCTTGAAGAGGTAAGTTTATGTTATCAGGTAAGTACCGTTTACGTTCAGTGTTGAAATGTTCATTTACATCTTCATTCACAGGAACAGGGACATATGGATCGTGCGGTTGTAGTGAACGTTCTGATTTCACACTACCTCTGTCAGAGAAATAATCTTGAAGCACTTTAGACTTTGCTTGAGAAATCTCCATTTCTGTTTTCAGTTCTAACTCTTCTTCCTTCATTTTCAATTCCATCTTTGCTAAGTCTATTTTCTGTTTCTCTTTCAATGCTTTCATCTTTGTCTCTAATTCAACTTGCTTTTGTTTTTCTTTCAGATGGGCTGATGAAACATGACTTGTTAGTGATGAATGACTGCCTTTAGAGGAGGCTGATTCTTCTTTAAATATACAAGCACTTTTCAGGCTGACTGAACCTTGTCTACTTATATCTTTCTTATCAGTTTGTTTAACTTCTGGTTTCTGTTCATCTTCACTTTTGTCATTCAGTGAATCTTTAACATTCTTTTTCTCTGTTTCACTTGGTTCATGGATGTGTTTGAGAAAGAATGCTTCTAACTTTGATTTACATGTCAGCAGAACAGAGTCTTGTGATTCACATTCTTCAATAAAAGGACTAAGTTCAATTTCATCCAACAGTGATGCAAAGTGTTTCGTAGAATTTCAACCAGCTTCCATGACTACATCTATTCTCCTCTATCTCTTCAGAAGTGAAAGTTTCAACATGAGATTTGGCATAAAGTTTATCAAAATCATCCAACAATTGTTTATATAAACTCTTAATTTTCTTATATTTAGTTTGCTTAGCATACTGCAAACCCTTTTCTGTCATCTTCCTTAGTCTTTGTTTCAAAACATTATCCTTTTCTTTTCCTTCCATACCTTTGTCTAAACAATGTCAATGCTGTAATAACTTGAAGTCTTTCTTTCTCAAATGATGATTTCTTTATTCTTTCATGTTTTGCATTCTTTCTTTTCTTTACATTCTTTTTGTTTCCATTTAGATAAATGTCTTTCTTTTCTTAACTAGAATCTCATTATTTTCAGATTGACTGAAATACAAATAAATAAACAATAATTACTATTTTGATCAAATGATGCATTAATGCAAATAATCATAATGACATTATAATTGAATTAACCTAATAAAATTGACTACCTTTCAGTGACATGAAATACTATGCAAAATGTAAACAAACGATGAAAAACACTTTATGACTAAATAACTGCTCTAAAACATTTATACACAGGTAGATAATGATAAAATAATATATATGACAAAATTTGGCAAACTCACCATTGTTTTTAGACTCTTTTATCCTTAAAACCTTTTCTCATTTCTTTCATTCTCACATGCATGCTGCATGCTTTTAGGGCCACATGGAAGATAATACACGATACTAAGCAGTTATGCCCCTTGGCATATTATGATGAGTAAACATAAATTTGAATGGAGAAGAAATGAAATATGAATTAATACTTGCCAAAAACGAAATATGATTTATATTTTAATACTTTGATAACAAACAAAGGAAATATGATTCTGAACTTTGCAAATAATAACTTAACAATTTTGACACTTACACAGGCAATTAAAAGTTTACTATTCGTACAGTGTTGCCATTCAGTCAGACATAAACGGTCTTTAGGGGGTTGATGCAAAATTCAGAGGGGCTTTGTTTATCCTGGCGGTATTGTTTCCAATAGAATTTTCCTGACTCATAAATATTCTGGTAAAGAAATAACTGTACTGTTCCTAAAAAATGTGCCGACGTTCCTGAAACGGCGTTTTAAAATGTTTCATGTTTATAATTGACGCTTCAGTTTCCAAAATGATGTCCGATGCGATTCCCTATTTTGACTTGTACCCCATGTTCCTGTGTTTGTTCAGGTAAACACTTGTCTTGCCTTTGCATGTGTTTGTTACGGGTGCCGCTGGTGGGGCGGCATACGTTGACCTTTTCGACAACGCCTAGTGTCATCACTATTTGATAATTATTCATAAACACATACTTAGTCGGAATATACATAATTATATCATATTTAGTCGGAATCGTTCAATGGATTCTGCTTTGAGGAGAGTACTTATTATTACAGAGGGTTTTGACGCTACTTTTTCACTGTATTAAATACTCTCTTGATTGCGAGTGAGTGATATATTTTAATAACGCTATTACTTCAATTAATATATTAATAGCGATATTTGTTAATGACAACGTATACATTTATAGTAACGTTTGTTAACCTCAACGAATGTATGATAACCGCTTCCGTGGTCTAGTGGTAGAACGTCTGCCCGGAGAGCGGAAGGTCGGGGGTTCGTTTCCCGGCCGCGTCATACCAAAAGACGTTAAAAGATGATACTTTGTGTTACCCTGCCCTATGTAATCAGCATTAGTCCGGACAAGGTCAAGCAGACACACACACACACACACACACACACACACACACACACACACACACACACACACACACACACACACGTGCATGCACGTTGCTATATACGTGTAATAATCTTGAACGCGACGTTAAACCCTATTTCACCTTACAACCTCGCCACCTTCTTAACCTCAACGTATATACTGGGATCGATGACATGCATCAACCACCCGATGCCGTTAGTCGCCTTTTACGACAAGCATAGTCGCTTTTTACAGCAAGCATGGGTTTCTGAAGACCTATTCTACCTCGGATCTTCACGGGTCTCTCATTTTATCCTTAATTATAACTAATATCATGTTTTGTTGGCGTATGAGTCTCTTCATAAGCAACTTCACACACAACTCTCCCGTATTCTGGTCTAAAAGTCCCGTGAAGATTCCAGGTCGTAGGCTGTTCTCCTGTTGCATGCTGACCAACTTGCTACTTGTCACTTAAAACGCAAAGTATCGACCTGGATCCAGCAGTTGGATCTCGCAGAAACCACTGTCAACAATGCTCACCGGAAGTCTCGAGGTGAGACGCACATAGCACAGAACAAGGACTGGTCGGCTCGGAGTATATACTGTGTCTTAGTGGGGTGTTCATGTTAAACTGCGATATGGTATCTCAGAGGGCTAGCACTATAAATCGGCATCACACGCACACAAGCAACCACACACGCTTACATGAACGTCGCTATATAAGCGCAATAATCTTGGACGCGACGTTAACCCAATTTCACCTCACCTCTATTTCAAACCTATTTGTTCGACAGTCTTGTGATAGGCAATACTACAGTCAGGTGTTGTGTGGAAAATGGTAGTCTCTAGTATCCGTTTCGGTGTAGAGTAAACCTTGCAGAGGAAGTTGCACAGTGCTTCCGACGCCATCGTTCGAATGACCAGCTGATGTCAAAAATAGTACCGCCCGCGTCGTATGTTATTTAACACTGTTTAATAAAGGCATATTGTTATAGAACGGGTGATGTCTTCAAGAATGAGTAATAAATTCATGGGGATCACCTCCACCTCATAACCTCGTTTAAGACATTAAAAGAGGTCCTACAGGAACTAACTGTTTGATCTCTTTTTGTTCATTATAAAGCGGACCGCCTCCGTGGTCTAGTGGTAGAGCGTCCGCCCGGAGAGCGGAAGGTCCGGGGTTCGATCTCCGGCCGCGTCATACCAAAAGACGTTAAAAGATGGCACCTGTTGTTACCCTGTCTGGCGCTTGGCATTAAGGGGCTAAAACAAGGACTTGTGATCTCGGAGTCAGTATACTGTGTCTGAGTGGGGTATTCATGTTAAACTGCGGCATGGTATCTCAGTGAGCTAGAACTATAAATCGGCATCAGTCCGGACTAGCACAAGTAGCCACACACGTGCATGCACGTCGCTATACAAGTGCAATAATCTTGGACGAGACGTTAAACCTTATTTCACGTCACCTCACCTCATTACAAAGTGTAGAGTGGTGTTTTAAGACTTTCATCTTACACTTTATAAATAATTTTGTGTTCCTAATCGATTTGAGTTTATAAGATTTCAATTAGTGCCAGTAAAGTGTTTTCTCCGTGACATGGTTAATTGCCTCATCATTATAAACAAGGTGCACAAAACATATATCCGTTTATGTTCATGTTGACTTTGTTGAACTGGACAGTAGTAAACAGATTGATGCATTTCCTATTCATCATTGCACAGTATATTCTACCTTTGCCTTAATGACCTTAATCAAAACGACTTAAATGAATCAGATAGTTGATCAGCTTTTTAATGATTTAAAATGTAACGATTTTATGATACTATTCATCAACTTTGTGCTTTATCATTTGATTTGAACTGGTTGGTTTTTGTAAGCAGCTTGAGGTCTATGTGATGCCGCGTTGTTGATTCAGTTTGATTGTGACAAGGGTGGATTGATGCGATATTGTGTCTCGTCAGATCCTTACTGAGTAAACTCAATTACAGAATTTCAAAACGTTTCATGGTAGACCTATGAAGGACATTTCCAAAATTGATGTGTACTCCGTGCTTGTTTGACTTGTACGTTTAATGTCCTATGTTCGTTTAGGTGTACACGTCTAGTGGTAGAGCGTCCACCCGGAGAGCGGACGGTACGGGGTTCGATCCCCGACCGCGTCATACCAAAAGACTATAAAAAATGTTACTTCTTGTTACCCTAACTGGCGCTGGGGACATTCAGGGTCTAAAACAAGGACTGGTCGGCTCGGAGTCAGTATACTGTGTCTGAGTGGGGTATTCACTGCGGCATGGTATCTCAGTGGGCTAGCACTATGAATCGGCATCAGTCCGGACACACACACACACACACACACACACACACACACACACACACACACACACACACACACACACACACACACACAAATGTGCATGCACGTCGCTAAATCATAAGTGCAGGAAAGCGGAAAGTCCGTGGTTCGATCCCCGGCCGCGTCACCGCGTTACACCAAAGTGGCGCTGGGCATTAGGGGGGCATTAAGGGGCTAAAACAAGGACTGGTCGACTCTGTGTCTGAGTGGGGTATTCATGTTAAACTGGGGCATGGTATCTCAGTGGGCTAGCACTATGAATCGGCATCAGTCCGGACTAGTAAAAGCAGCCACACACACACACACACACACACACACACACACACACACACACACATACACACGTGCATGCACGTCGCTATATAAGTGCAATAATCTTGGGCGCGACCCACCATACCACCATAAACCCCTATACCACCTCACCTCAGGTGTACACTTGACTTGCCTTTGTATGTTTGTGATGGGAGCGACTGTTTGATAGTGATTCATAAACACATACTTAAGATATAGTCTAAATGGTACAATGGACTCTGCTGTTAGCGGAGATTTCTTATTATGGAAGGGTTTTTTCGCCTTTATTTCACGGTCTTAGATACTCTCTTGAATGCAAGTTCTCTTATCGCGACGGTCATGTCACGCAGAACTTATGGTAAATGTAAAGCAACAATCAATGCACCTTCGCCTACTTATATCCTTGCTGCCACTATATTAGAAGCACATTACAAATTTCACTATTATATCATTTTTTATATTATATCGCTTTTATATCAACGTACATATATATATATATATATACATATATATATATATACATATACATATATATATATATATACGTGACCAGGGAACCTATCTGCCTAGTGGTTGGGACTTACTGCTTTGAGTGAGTGAGTGAGTATGGTTTTACGCCGCTTTTAGCAATATTCCAGCAATATCACGGCCGGGGACACCAGAAATGGGCTTCACACATTGTACCCATGGCGGGAATCGATCACGGGTCTTCGGCGTGACGAGCGAACGCTTTAACCACTAGGCTACCCGACCGCCCCTCTTACTGCTTTGATCTTTGTCGGTGCTAATAAACTGGCTGGCTTCAATTTGCCCTTTGCTATGTCCATTCTTTCACCAATCAGTGCTAATTACCGCCGGCCTCCCGTTTGCCAAGTGTCCATTATCTATTACTTATCTATGATACTTAAGTACTGGCTTCCATACTGTCCTCATAATAAAGAAGTTGACATCCATATATTCCCTTCCTTATATATATTAGTTCTCTTACATCAACATTTTCAATAATATCAACCTTTATTAACTTCAACGTATATCATTATGACTATTGACTATAGATATATTATTCTGCCATGACATTTTAGAATTCTGATTTCTGATTGGTCACTGATTGAATGAACGTTAGACCATGGTCTTGCTGAATCAACGTTAGACCATGGTCTTGCTCAATCAACGTTAGACCATGGTCTTGCTGATGACTCGATACCTCGAAAGAATTTATTCAGAAGCATTTCTTTCGCAAACCCGCGCGTTCGACCATTTCAGATACTGGTCATACGTATTTTAAACGTTGCTTAATAACGTGTTTCGGTTCCTACATATACTGTAGAAATATTTGTTTATGCGGACAACTTGACGAACAAATACTTTCACTGAATTTGCCCTTTCAACCTACTCCTACAGAAAAAAGGCTTAACCGATGACAAATCACTGATCATTTCAGACATAATCAAAGAGTTCGTCTATGTTTTGTCATTGTGTCATCATGGAATGTTGATAATCCCAGTGTTCAATTTACAGGCTATCCTTCCGAGTTCTTTTTCGAATTAATTTAACAGGTATCGAATCTACGTTCGACACTCTAAATTGGAAAAAAAATACCAGTAGGTTCATCTTCTCGAGATCACGTACGTCAGCCATGATCGTGGCTTATGATCTGTATCAACCAGCGCTGACTGTACTCTGTTCTCTGGTTGCAAAGGTTGAACTTAGTGTCTTGTTAGAACATGTCAAGAATGCAAATGCCAGATTGATGGCGAGGTTTCATATATCGGACGTTTTTACCCCCAGAATGTTCATCTAAATTATTTTCATGGTTTTAGCCATTGCGACTAAAGATTGTCCTGGGGTGATTTAATTTCATATGCTGACAACTGTTTAACCCATTTGGGGTTGGTGTATATCTAAGACGAGGAATTGTTTGAACACTGAGTCCGTGACAGTTAGCAGTGTTTTATATGATATATCGGAGATAGCACTGTTTGGATAAGGCGATGATGTGAGTGAGTGAGTGAGTGAGTGAGTGAGTGAGTGAGTGAGTGAGTGAGTGAGTGAGTGAGTGAGTGAGTGAGTGAGTGAGTGAGTGAGTGAGTGAGTGAGTGAGTGAGTGAGTGAGTGAGTGAGTGAGTGAGTGAGTGAGTGAGTGAGTGAGTGAGTGAGTGAGTGAGTGAGTGAGTGAGTGAGTGAGTGAGTGAGTGAGTGAGTGAGTGAGTGAGTGAGTGAGTGAGTGAGTGAGTGAGTGAGTGAGTGAGTGAGTGAGTGAGTGAGTGAGTGAGTGAGTGAGTGAGTGAGTGAGTGAGTGAGTGAGTGAGTGAGTGAGTGAGTGAGTGAGTGAGTGAGTGAGTGAGTGAGTGAGTGAGTGAGTGAGTGAGTGAGTGAGTGAGTGAGTGAGTGAGTGAGTGAGTGAGTGAGTGAGTGAGTGAGTGAGTGAGTGAGTGAGTGAGTGAGTGAGTGAGTGAGTGAGTGAGTGAGTGAGTGAGTGAGTGAGTGAGTGAGTGAGTGAGTGAGTGAGTGAGTGAGTGAGTGAGTGAGTGAGTGAGTGAGTGAGTGAGTGAGTGAGTGAGTGAGTGAGTGAGTGAGTGAGTGAGTGAGGTTTTACGCCGCTTTTAGCAATATCACGGCGGGGGACACCAGAAATTGGCTTCACCCATTTTACCCATGTCGGGAATCGAACCCGGGTCTTCGGCGTGACGAGCGAACGCTTTAACCACTAAGCTACCCGACCGCCCCGCGATGATGAAACGTATTTACCTGCTGAATCCTATGTAGTATCATATACTCATTGATCTGACCACATTGATAAAACAGCGACAAAAGCCTTTCCATATTGATAAGACATCTCTACTAAAAGCTGAGTCGATTGTACGATTCCGACCATGTCATGTGCATGTGTTTATGAATCACTATCAAATAGTGATGACACCAGGTGTTCGCGAAAGGTGAGCGTATCGTGCCCGCCTGTGGCACCTGTCACAAACACATGCACTGGCAAGTCAATTGTACACCTTAAAGTAACATATTCAAGGAACTTATACACTGACAAGTACACTTGATGGGGACTTGACACCCAGAATGCAACAGTAATCCTCAGATGTTCTGAATCCTGAAGTGTCTTGGCAACAGACACAAAGGTATATCATTGTTGTGTGTATTTTCAAAGCAACGTTTTAAGGACAGACTTTGGCAACTTGAGACCATTCGATGCCACAGATCCGGCAAGAGCATGGGTCAGACTGAACCAGCATAAATAACAAACAGGTTGTATCACTTTGCTTGCAAAGCACATTTATTGGACGAGACAATCAGAGACGACGCGAACACAAACACCCACAACGAAGGTGTTGACATACAGACAGCGACGAGGACAGACAGACTGACAGGCAGAGACAGATCATTGCGATGGTATCAGGTCACTTCATGACTTGAGCAACAGATTACAATGTTTTGATTGAGTACAGTGTATTGCATTGAGCAGATTAAACATCGACATTGACTGGTGAGAGTTCCAAAGGAGTTGACCTTTTATTTTTATTTCATAAAAGTGAGTGATACTTTGCGTCGTTGATCAATTGGCGACGGTCAACCGGCACCATTGTCGCTTTGCGAAATCATTCCAAATCCTTCATTTATGTAGTTTTCTAAACAGGTTAATTTTTAAAATGCTTGTTTGTTGCAGCTCATTAAATACACTGTACCCAGTTGGTACCAACACGCAGCTCAAACACAAATGACCTTCATGTTAAGTTCAAGGTCGTGGGCGGTCTGGATGGTTTCATCACTAGCTGCTGAGACAGGTGACTTGCTGGATGACTTGGTAGCGCGCACTGACGGGGAGTGCGGCCACCTTGGCGTATTCGCGTCTGTTGATGAGTCGGCGGATCGCCTTGGCTTCCCTGCTGCGTTTCGGCACACAGTGGAAGCCAATATCTGCGGGACTGCGTTGTCCTACTCTGCACGACCTGGGGCAACGCTTGACGAGGGTGGTGGAGTAACAGATCTCACCCTCCGTCTTGCGGTATTTGACGATTGGAGCCTCCACCGGTGCGCAGGCTGATTCTGTAATGAAATGCACATGATGATTGTGTTTGTTTGTTTGTTGACGCCTGGTGTCATCACTGATTTCCATTGATCCATTCATATACGACCCGTGAAGATTCCGGGATAGAATAGGTCTTCAGCAACCCATGCTTGCCGTAAAAGGCGACTATGCTCGTCGTAAAAGGCGACTAACGGGATCGGGTGGTCATGCTCGCTGAGTTGGTTGCGTGGATCGATGCTCATTATATTAATCACTGGATTGTCTGGTCTAGACTCGATTATTTACAGACCGCCGTCAGGTAGCTGGAATATTGCTGAGAGCGGCGTTAAACAACAAATCAACCAACCAACCAACCATTCATATACTTTTCACCACTAGTTGCCTTTTACGCCCAATAGGATCTCTTTTCGGCAAATAATCGAGATTATTCTCTAGCGTTGACGTCTTGCATGTTTCTTGCGTCGTTTAACGCCTCTCTCAACAACGTTTCACCAATATATCGGCGGCCAGGGCCTAACAATCCAGTGATTGATATTGGGAGAATCGTTCCACGCCTTGGGGACAATATGACACGCAATCTACCAGGTCACCAAGCCTGGTCACCCGATCATTAAGTCGCCTCTACCTACATGCAATGGTTGATGGTGACCAGTTCCTACTCGGCAGACTAGGGTTGGTGAGTGAGTGAATTGGCTGTGACGCCATTTTAAGAGGTATTGCGGGTATATTGCGGAGTTTTGGTCATGTATTCAACATGATAAAAACACACTAAACAAACTCATTTATTTTTTTAGTAAAATAACACGTAAACATAAACTTAAACGAGATCTCTTAGATTATGTTTGACTAATAGACAGATTATATGTTTGTGAGTTTTATAAAAAAAAAAAACCGTATGATTTTTTACGAGGACGTTATTTTAGAAGCAAAGTCTTTCAATTCAAAACTGGGCCGGGCATGAGAAAGTATACACTTGGAAATAGGATTTGACTAAACAATTACAAACGGTATCAAAACGTCAGTAGGCTAAAAAAACAGCCAACCCGAAAAAGCAAACTTATAACCTTCTTCAAATACATTACCACCTGACAACGATTTCGTGGTTCATCTTTAGCCACTATCAAACATGGGTGTATACTTTCTTATACGCGGCACATTAGATAAAGGCTACATCTTACCCATTCTAGTAATGATCTGAGGCAAGTTTGGACGAGGGCAGTTAGCTCCCTTGATAACGTAGCTCGAAATGAAGGGTTCAGGGGAGTTGAAGACAGCTCCGTCAGGTGCCTCGAACTCGTGACGTTGTTGACCGTCCATGTTGCTGCACAAGCCACAAGTCTTCAGTTTGAACAACGGGGATGCCTAGAAGTTTAAAAAAATAAGAAACACATTCAGGCATGATAAAGGAAACTATTTTTTCATTAAAGATTTTGTTTGTTTCTTTGTTGTTTAACGCCGCACTCAGCAATATTCCAGCTATATGACGGCGGTCTGTAAATAATCGATTCTGGACAAGACAATCCAGTGATTGACATCATGAGCATCGATACACGCACTTGGGATTGATGACATGCATCAACCATGTCAGCGAGCCTGACCACCCGATTCCGTTAGTCGCCTCTTACGACAAGCATAGTCGCCTTTTACAGCAAGCATGGGTAGGAAGGCCTATTCTAACCCAGATCTTCACGGGTCTTTAATTTAAGAATTCATATTGGTTAATATATTTGTTTTTTAAAGACCAGTTTTAACCTCTATTACTCGTCTTTACAAACAGAGGTTTATTTATATATCTTAGGATTATTTTCAAACAATTTAAACTTTTCGTTCAAAAACGGTTTACTTCATCATTTCTTATTTCATAAGTATGTGGAGAAAGGATAAGGAAATATTTCATATGTCTACGTCTTCATATATTGACGTTAAATCTACGGGGTACAGATGTATTCTTATGCTCTTTTAAACAAAGGTTATAGGAGATGTATAGCCAAAACTGGCATGATAGTATATCTTCATCACGTCTCCTCAGCCATTACAAGGATATCAAGTCTGCTGTAGAACAAGAGAAGTAGATAAGTATGTTAGATGATAAACCGCTTGTTGGGGCATTATGTAAATTCAGTGTCATTACACAATTTCAGTGTAAACTTTAGACGTAGATGTGAAAAAAAGGGACGTTGAAATGGGTAGCTGTGAAAACTGCAAATTAGGAGAAATTGAGGATGAATTTCATGTTTTATTAGTATGTGATAAGTGTGAACATCTTAGAGAAAAGAATATTCCGATGTTTAACAATAGGCATAAAAACAATATGTTAATGATCAGTCTTACAAACTCCAAGAACTCTGTTATACGCTCGTTGGCCATATTGTTGAAAGATATATTCTCTGTCAGTTTTTTTATATACCATGTATATCACGTGACTAAACAAATGAAACTGAAAATGTAACAGTACAATGGCCTTAAATACCGAATGAAATATCTATCTGTAAAGATAAGAACATATTACATAACAATAATGACACATTTCATACGTTTCATCATTTCTTATACCGTGAGGATACATAACTTCAAGCTTATAAAATGTTCATGTTTTATTATAGCTCGCCATGTAGACACCATTTATCGACCCTGTTGCTGTAACGGTCAATATTGACAAATATGTGTTTTACGCCGCTTTTAGCAATATTCCAGCAATATCACGGCGGGGGACACCAGAAATGGGCTTCACACATTGTACCCATGTCGGGAATCGAACCCGGCTCTTCGGCGTGACGAGCAAACGCTTTAACCACTAGGCTACCCGACCGCCCCCATTATCTGGATACATGGATATGAGGTGATTTTGATGATTATTCATTAAGTCGTAATTGGTCATAAAAGGGAAACAAAACTCGTGGCCATTTCATATCAAGTTTATGTCCCTCTTGAACTTATGTCAGGTAAAATATATTCCACATGGAACATAAGCTTGATACGAAATTGGAACGAGTTTAATATTCTATAAAGTATGTAATCAAGGAAAATATTACATTGTCCGAACTGCCAAGTGAGTACTTTTGTGTTCAAGATGTCATACAATATGTGCAAGTATATTGGTATTGTTTAAAGTGGATAAATGGGTTTATAATTACAAGAGTATACACACCTTGACGGAGATGAAGTTGCCGTCGGTGGTGATTTGGATTCCAAGAAGTGGCAGCTCAATGTTGTAGAAGTGTTCAAGAGTAACCTTCGCAGCAACAGCGGGCCTGATAACAAAAGGGGGAGACTTAGTCGTTATCTAAGACATCTGGGCACCAGGCGTGCCATCTTCCCGAGGCTACAGCGTCTACTCGCCTCATTATCAAAGTCTTGTTTCCACCCTTGCAACATCAAGCCCACTTTCCTGTGCTAAATATGATTGGGCTATCGTATGGTTGTCGCCATCTTTGTGAAGCTGTACGAGATAAGAACAGCGATCTGATTGGCTATCGCGTTTTCATTACAAGGGGAACAACTCGTGATATACGCGAGGTGGCGCCAGGGTCGAGCCAAGAAAAGTGGCCTTGATGTGGCAAGGGCATTCGTCACCACTCGCCCCTTTCCGTAACCTGCAAGAAGACTCGTCCCCCTATCGATAAATGTTATGTCCGAAAATACGACAAACCAATCAGAATGCGCGTATGATTTCAAGTTCTTCGTCAAAGAATCCCTCAGAAATAATTTTTGATTTTACATATGTCCTGCATCTAAAAATATACCTAAGATACAGTTAAATGTTTCAATCATACTTTATAATTCCGCACGTCCCTAAGTGCTTTAAATTGCATCTGAAATATATGTCACATATGGGGAAATATATGCGAGCCATTTCGCAACAAACTGACAATTGTTTTAGGTCTGCCCGTTTGCGCTAAGACGGAACCCGGTCGCAAAAAATGGCCACGAGAGGGGCACGAGTTGCTATTCGGCTTGTCCCGGAATAACACGAGTCGGTCACGAATGGTGGCAAGGGTAGAAACTAGGCTTAGATATAGGCTAGTGGACACGCTTGCCTCGGGAAGATGCCTGACAGCAGGCATTATAAACCTCCAGTTACGTCATCCTATTGTTCTCCAGTCGGAATAAATCTCGTATATAGGCATGTGTCAATCTCCCCTCGATTTTATATAATATCCCGGAATATGTGCTATATAATATGTTATAAGATCCCGAGGATATTTTATCAATACATCTTCCGTTTATATTGTAACACACTGTATCAATGTTTCTCGCGAGAAATTTGTTTTGCATTTGAAGAAAATGTAATGAAATGTAAAATGAATGACAAATGGGTTTTTTTATATTCCCCAGGATCGAACACACGCAACCAAGCTCTGATGAATCACAATGCTTTTTAAGAATGTCCTTTTGAAGTACCGTACGCCAGCAACAGAGATTTTACGCCCGTTTCCTAGAGGACGTAGAAAGTATGTTTGAAACATAAAAATGTTGATAAAAAAAATTTCAGTTTCCTTTTTTTCTTTTTTTTCTTTATAAATTAGATACCCTGACGTGCTTTATCCTACACATACAACACCTGACACTCGGAGATACTACACTCCATATCCGAGAACACCACGCCTGACTCCCGGAAATACTATGCCTAACACCCGGTAATACCACGCCTGACACCCGGTAATACCCCGCCTAACACCCGAGAATACCACGCCTGACACCCGGTAATACCACGCCTGACTCCCGGAAATACTATGCCTAACACCCGGTAATACCACGCCTGACACCCGGAAATACTATGCCTAACACCCGGTAATACCAGGCCTGACGACCGGTAATACCACGCCTGACTCCCGGAAATACTATGCCTAACACCCGGTAATACCACGCCTGACACCCGGAAATACTATGCCTAACACCCGGTAATACCAGGCCTGACGACCGGTAATACCACGCCTAACACCCGGTAATACCACGCCTGACTCCCGGAAATACTATGCCTAACACCCGGTAATACCACACCTGACTCCCGGAAATACTATGCCTAACACCCGGTAATACCACGCCTAACACCCGGTAATACCACGCCTAACACCCGGTAATACCACGCCTAACACCCGGTAATACCACGCCTGACTCCCGGAAATACTATGCCTAACACCCGGTAATACCACACCTGACTCCCGGAAATACTATGCCTAAAACCCGGTAATACCACGCCTAACACCCGGTAATACCACGCCTAACATCCAGTGATACCACGCCTAACTCCCGGAAATACTATGCCTAACACCAGGTAATACCACGCCTAACACCCGAGAATACCACGCCTAACACCCGGTAATACCCCGCCTGACACCCGGTAATACCACGCCTAACACCCGAGAATACCACGCCTAACAACCGGTAATACCACGCCTAACACCCGGTAATACTACGCCTAACACCCGGTAGTACTACGCCTAACACCCGGTAATACCACGCCTGACACCCGGTAATACTACGCCTAACACCCGGTAGTACTACGCCTAACACCCGGTAATACCACGCCTGACACCCGGTAATACCACGCCTAACACCCGAGAATACCACGCCTAACACCCGGTAAATACCACGCCTAACACCCGGTAATACTACGCCTAACACCCGGTAATACCACGCCTGACACCCGGTAATACTACGCCTAACACCCGGTAGTACCACGCCTGACACCCGGTAATACTACGCCTTACACCCGGTAATACTACGCCTAACACCCGGTAGTACCACGCCTGACACCCGGTAATACTACGCCTAACACCCGGTAATACTACGCCTAACACCCGGTAATACTACGCCTAACACCCGGTAAAACTACGCCTGACACCCGGTAATACTACGCCTAACACCCGGTAGTACCACGCCTGACACCCGGTAATACTACGCCTAACACCCGGTAATACCACGCCTAACACCCGGTAATACTACGCCTAACACCCGGTAATACTACGCCTAACACCCGGTAGTACTACGCCTGACAACCGGTAATACCACGCCTGACACCCGGTAATACTACGCCTAACACCCGGTAGTACTACGCCTAACACCCGGTAATACCACGCCTAACAACCGGTAATACCACGCCTGACACCCGGTAATACCACGCCTAACACCCGGTAATAACACGCCTAACACCCGGTAATACCACGCCTGACACCCGGTAATACCACGCCTAACACCCGAGAATACCACGCCTAACACCCGGTAATACCACGCCTAACACCCGGTAATACTACGCCTAACACCCGGTAATACCACGCCTGACACCCGGTAATACTACGCCTAACACCCGGTAGTACTACGCCTAACACCCGGTAATACCACGCCTGACACCCGGCGACATCACACAAGACACCCGTAGATTTCCCACATGACGCCCAGAAACACTAAGCCGGATACTACCGTTCACACCCATAGTTATAGCCTTGCTCCAAGGCTGTACTGATAGAAAAGTCCATGGATGTGTAGTAATTCTAACCTCCTAATAGAAAAGTCTAGAGATGTGGACAGTAAGGACTCCAGTCTCTTATAGGGATATTATTTACATAATCTAGAACTTATGATTTTAACTAATAATGATTGCTAATAGACTTGTGCAAGTCTACCACAGTTACTTCGCCAGACCGCAAGGAGATCCCAAGGGCTCATTCGTCACCACTCGCCCCTTTCCGTAACACGAGTTGGTCACGAATGCCAAAGGGCGATATGCTGTGTGACCGCTACTGTGCACTCACTCTCCATAGCTGACCGTCCTCTCAAGGACGTAGGGCGTAGTGCGGGTGACGGTGATGGGGTCTCCGTTGACACTGAGAGTCGCGCCGGTTGTAGTGGCGGCCATTCGGATCTTCTTACCCTCGGCAATAATCTCCAGGATCTGTGCACAGAGCATTTTTCTTTAAACATCATTCAGGCAAAACACACATATACACTCAATGAATTGGTTGTGAGGTAGCAGACGAGCCTTATTCGTAGCGTGTTCAATTTGAAAAGGACTGCAGTTGATGCCTGCATAGGAGATGCGCATCAACCCGAGGCAAGAGAGTTAACTGACTATAAAAGCCCAGTTTCCAATTGAAACGTCTTTTTGAACGTCAGATAAATGTCGGATAAATTAACTTGCAGCTTGAACATGAAATGTTCCTCTCTGTCAATAATCTTATCAGTCACAGGAAGAGTGTGACGTCGGTACAAGAAGATGAACCATTTACATTCCACGTTTGGAAGATCCCGGATAGAATAGGTCTTCAGCAACCCATGCTTGCTGTTAAGGCGACTATGCTTGTCGTAAGAGGCGACTAACGGGATCGGATGGTCAGGCTCGCTGACTTGGTTGATGCATGTCATCTTATCCCAATCGTGTGAATCAATACTCATGATGTCAATCACTGGATTGTCTTGTCCAGAATCGATTATTTACAGACCGCCGTCATATAGCTGGAATATTGCTGAGTGCGGCGTTAAACAGCAAACAAAAAAACAACCAAAACAGTCCACGTTTGGGTCAAAGGTGAAGGGTGTGTGTGAGATTTCTAAGGTTTTTTTATACATGTCGAGGACACTGACTCCATAAAGTGCACTTCAATAAAGACGCGAATGAAAGTTGGTATGTTAAAACACCGCTTTGAACAGTAGATCAGTCCTGTCGAGGCGTGTCAGTTTACAATAGGAGGAGAGAAGGTGACGAAAGCCGTACACGAGCATAGGTTTAATGTCGATAAAAAATTGGATCATTATCAGGACGAATTTGGGATTTAAGCTCACGACCAACGGGACTAGTTGCCGCAACGGAACTAACGAATGTAATTATAAACCATATACAGTATAAATCATAAGTCACCCAAAACGAAGTTCACTATTCAAAGCTGACACGTGCAAATGTTTACTGCTGTGGGATTGCACTGAGAATCCAGACTCTTACGAATCTACCTTTAGGCATTCGTCACCACTCGCCCCTTTCCGTAACCTGCAAGAAGACTCGTCCCCCTATCGATGAATGTTATGTGCGAAAATACGACAAACGAATCAGAATGCGCGTATGATTTCAAGTTCTTCGTCAAAGAATCCCTCAGAAATAATTTTTGATTATACATATGTCTTGCATCTAAAAATATATCAAAGACACAGTTAAATGTGTTCAATCATACTCTATAATTCCGCATGTCCAGATGTGCTTTAAATTGCATTTGAAATATATATATAATATATAGGGAAATATATGTGAATCAGTTGACAATTGCGCTAAGACGGAACCCGGTCGCAAAAATGGCCACGAGAGGGGCACGAATTGCTATTCGGCTTGTCCCGGAATAACACGAGTTGGTCACGAATCTACCTTTAGGCTGTAATCGGCAGTGGTGGTGCTCATTGTGATCGCAAAAGTCTTAGCAGGCGAGCAGTCCATGGCCAGGACGGCGGGGCAGGTGCCTATGTTGGGGAGCGTGTACTCAACACCATCGAACGTGCGAACAGTCTTGAAGAAAGCCTTGCAGGTAGCTGAAATGAAATTCTGGTTTAAACGACGCTTGGAACATTAGTTCAATCATATCCAGGCCACTTTAATGTACAGTGGCGTATAAAATGCAAGTGATTTAGACTGTTATATATATTATATATTACAGTTTGCTCTTCTTTCATTCATGTGTTATAGTTTTATGGTTTCTGGTTAATTTACAGGTTTGCCGCCGTCTGCTAGTGTCGAACTTGTGGATTAGTTGGTTCGACATTGTTTTGCTGTTGAGCATGCTGTTAAGCATGTCTGTTTTCATCACACTAATCAAACTGTTCTGCACTTATAATGTGTTATGTCCAGAAGGTAGTAGGGATCTTTGTTTCAGATGTCTTGTACGAGCCTGTCTGTGTCTGGTCTGTGTTGAAAAAGCGATATAAGTGATTAAGAAAAGAACGTACTGCAACATTTTCATTTATATTTATATTCCCCATGCTACGATGTACAAGGAAAACCAACCCTTTGTGAGACTGTAATCGACGTTCGCCAGTTAGTGAACCCACGAGGTCGAATCTAATGCTGGCAATTCAGGGAGTGAGTGAGTATGGTTAAAACCGCTTTTAGCAATATTCCAGCAATATCACGGCGGGGGATACCAGAAATGGGCTTCACACATTGTACCCATGTTAGGAATCGAACCCGGGTCTTCGGCGTGACGAGCGAACGCTTTAACCACAAGGCTACCCGACCGCCCCTGCAATTCAGGGACAATACTCTTGACGAATCTGGGATTCGAACCCTTGCCCTCTGTACATACTGATGTGATCAGTACAATACCTCACCCCGTTTGAATTCCGGGTTAAAATGGGTCCCCAGTAGCCTATGCTATCGTAAGACTGACCAGTAAGCCTCGTTCTCAGGCGCCTTGTAATCAGTCACATGACCCACTGCACAATCCGGCGTAGTGATGACGTAGTACACCACTATCAAGGGCTTATTTGCGTATCAGGTGACCAGACCTTTCTATTGTTTGTAAACAAACGTGATTACTCTGCAATCAGAGCAGACTTGCCTAACGGAAAACTTCAATGATTGTTTTGCATAGTTATACAGATATCTCACTACAACAGCAACAGTGATGGTAATGTATCTCTATACATCAATGTTGTCGTATCGCGAGATCTCGGAAGGGCTTCCATGACCGGACGTGGAACCGTACAACCAATGTAAACAAAGGATAAATACGCAAATGGAATTTTGTTTCAAGTTTTAGGATATTTTCTTAATAAAAAGATAACCAGTTTGTGACATATGTTTATCTAATTGTGTACAAACGGGTGAAATAAATGTGATTTGTTGAATAGACAGTGTAAGATGTGACGAATCGTCACATCTTGTTAGCCTGTGGCAGAGGTACCAGGTTGATCGCAAGGAACTCTGGGTAGGAGAGTGGTGAAGCTGTTGATTAAAGCAAAGGGAGGTAATGCTGCCGATGTGGAGTGTGCATTTTTCTCTTATTATACTTCTGACCTCCATTTTTTGGTTCAATTCAGCGGGCAATATTAGACTGCATCAGGAAAATTTTATACAGTGTAGAAATGAAATGTATACTTGCATTCTGTTTTGACTTCTAAACCATTTTAACAGCTTTCCATTTTTGTCTGATCTGGGTTTAAATGGATTGAGTGTTCAAGTTTGGAGGAGATCGTTGCTCATAATATCAAAAACTGGATTCTCTTGTCCAGACTGAATTATGTACAGGCCGCCTGATATAGCTGGCATGTTGCGTAAAACAAACAAAAATAACCTACTTGGAAGATAGGGTCCGAGGTACGGCGCCAGCATCAACCGTCTCTGCGTCGCTGGTCGTGTCATGGCGACGGGGATGGTGAGGATGTCGGTCACGGGAGTCCAGATTCCGTACAGAGCCGTGGTGGCGTTAGGCGTCATGATGAACCAGTCACCCTGCCACACAAGTCATCCTTTACTGGTGCTAGATGAAGGCTAGCTGGTTGTATATACCGAGCGTTCACAGGTACAAATAGTAATTCATTTGAAATAGCAACAGCAAAGTAGAGGGCGACTCAGGCAGCGAATTTTCAATTTGTTGTAGCCAGAATATGTTTGTAGCATTTGACTAGCTCGGTTCACACTTCTGTAACATTTATTGGAGGGATCTTTTGTCTCTATTGGTTATTCCTTCCATGGTAAGTTATGTCGTAGTACATTAAGCGGGTGTGCTAATTATGTGAATAGAAGCACATTACAATCAAATTTCTCATTGTGGGAATGTCAATTTCCTGAACAGTAACACTGTAAAGTTACTAACTGTGGGATGGTCAATTCCCTTGTACTCCTTGCGTGATTGTTAATCCAATCAATAGTAGCAGGGTGAAGTTAGTCGGGTTGGGATTGCCATTCCCTTGATAATAAGAGTAAAGTTACCCTCTGTGGGATTGTCCATTGTCTTAATAATAACATGGTAATATTAGTCATGTATTGTCATTCCATTGATAGTAACAGTAAAGTTAATCTCTGCGAGATTATCCATTGTCTTAATAATAACATGGTAATATTAGTCATGTATTGTCATTCCATTGATAGTAACACAGTAAAGTTACTCTCTGCGAGATTATCCATTGTCTTAATAATAACATGGTAATATTAGTCATGTATTGTCATTCCATTGATAGTAACACAGTAAAGTTACTCTCTGCGAGATGTTACTCACTGATTGATAATTCGCGTAATAGTGACATAGGAAAGTTATTCACTGTGGGATTGTCAATTCCCTTAATAGTAACACAGAAAAGTTACTCACTGCGGGATTGTTAATTCTTGCTTCGTTCATGACGTGGATCAGACCGGGTTTCCTCTCCACAGCGGGTCGGGTAGCAGAGTTCCAGTAATGATATGCCGTGAAGAAGTGAGTCAGTTTATGTAGAGTCATATCCGCCCACTCCGTGACGTCCTCCTGGAAATAAGAGTAAGTGAGTGAGTCAAGGCTTTACGCCGGATCAGAAGTTTTAAGCTATGTTTGTTTGTTTGTGGTTTAACGCCGCACTCAGCAATATCCCAGCTGTATGACGGCGTTCTGGTAATAATCGAGGCTGGACCAGAAAATCCAGTGCTTGACATTCATGAGCATCGATCCAAACAATTGGGATGCGATGACATGCTTCAACCAAGTCAGCGAGCCTGACCACCCGATCCCATTAGTCGCCTCTTACGACAAGCATGGTCGCCTTTTACGGCAAGCATGGGTTGCTGAAGACCTATATTTTTAATCTTCACCGGTCTTTTATGGCATGAGATAATCATGTATGCAATGAAAAACTGTCACCACATGTAGAACGTCAACGCCAGAGTAAAATCAGACTCGATTATCTGCCCAAACAGATTCCATTGGGCTTAAAAGGCAAAATAATGGATCACAGAACATCGGTGATGACCAGGTAAGCATGTCTGCTTACAGAAAGTACAATGCAATTAGCAGCATGATATCACACTTAATGAGGAAAAACCAGTTCAGTACTATCAAAATTAAAATAATAATATGTATCTATGAAGCAGTAAATTCCGGGTTATAGGCAGCCATCAACAACAGTTAGACCACATACATGGAGGTGATGGGAGTAGGAGTTCAGACATACCCAGGCTGGATATGTATGCATGGCGTTTGATATCAATAGATTCTTGGTGGTATTCTGTTTATATCAAGTAGCAGTTAATGATTGCCAAAATACACATAGATCAAGTCTCTGCTTCACCAAGCCATTAGTTTCACAATCTAGACCTTGGCAGAACTGGTCACCAGATTTCTGAGCATAGCTCCCCTTCAATGGAAACTAAGCCAAAGAATTCCCATCGTCATTGTTTGTACTGACAATGTAAATAGTAGCCACGTAAAATTGAGAATTTGTTATGTAATCAGACTATTTTAGATATTGCTTGAATGAAATAGATAATAAAACCAGAATTGTCAGACAAAGTGGTTTTTTGAATGAACTGATCCAAAAGAGCTACATCTACAAATGAACACGACCTTAGTCCCCCTTTAAACGTTTCCGGGATATGATTAACTGTTTATCTCCCCCACACACATTACCCCACAAAATGACCCAGGAAAAGCACGCACTGGGTTATACTCTGCAATGATGTGTCTATGGTGGAGTGAGTTCAGAAGGTGGTAGATGGGGTGTTCTGGCACGTCCTGAATCACGTCCGCTTCTTCACGGGCAATGGCCATCTCTACTCCTTCGTCCCTGACCAGAGGGCATAATTGTTGGCTCTCAAATATCAGCTGCTCTATACTCTTGCTTGCATACAGCTGAAACGTTGACATCGGGTGTTGCAATTAAAACTTGTATAGTTCAATACGTTAAACTGATGTTAAATATATTTTATTTATATACATTCATGACTTTAAAAGGGGTATTATTTCCTGTAAACTGTTATGCTATTGCAAAGTAGATTTACTATGACAATTAATTTGCCAATAATCAACCACATGACGACTGAACACATAATTTACTTTTTAGAGGCCATTCAAAACCGAATGCAACTTTCTGTATGGTTGCCTGACGCAATCCAGGTTGGTATTTTTTCAATATATCTCGCAAAGCTGAACTCACAAGTGATCATTCAATTGTCATTAAACACACTAAACTTTTGAACAATGATTAACGAGTGAGTGAGTTTGATTTTACGCCGCTTTTAGCAATATTCCAGCGATATCACGGCGGGGGACACCAGAAATGGGCTTCACACATTGTACCCATGTCGGGAAACGAACCCGGGTCTTCGGCGTGACGAGCGAACGCTTTAACCATTAGGCTACCCGACCGCCCCCAATGATAAACGAAGAACTGCAATAGAAGAGAGGAATCTCTTAACAAGATAAATTCATTCTAACCAATTGTAAGATATTTTTCAAATGTGTTTGGTACCTTCATAATGATCGTCCTTGGTGTCCTGCCAATGTTGCCAAACGTTATGTTGCAGTAGCCAGTGATGGCAAGAGGAAGGTAATTCGATGCCATGTTGGTTATGGGGTTAATTGGCATAGATGGAATACCTCCACCGGTCTTGAGGGCTGGTATGGGCTTCACGTCGCTCATTTCAACACTACCAATCATGACAACTCTGGCCAGCTCTCCCTGGAGGTCCTCCAGCGCAAAGTTGATAGCCACTGCGTTATCCAGTTCCGTCGCTGCAGATGTCACTAGCTCTTTCAACCTTTTCAGGACCTCTTGTTGAACAGTGATCACATGGGCAAACATAGGACTAAGATGTCCAAGAGGAAGACCCCACAATTGGATCCAGTCAATCTTGCCCTGGATACCTCTACATGTATTAAGTATTGTCTCCATCTTCGGTTGTATGCTCGTCATGGCCGCCTGTTTGGTAGCTGCAGCCAAGCGATCTATTTCAATCTTCATTTCTCCTTGCTTCTGAGATGTTACGCTAATTGCCATCTCCATCATAGCAGCGGACATTGGCATGGCACCTGTGACCTCTGGTTGGGACGCCGTACTCCAGATCTTTTCAAAAGCAGTTGTTGTTTTAATTTCCAATGATTCAACAGTGAGTAGGACAGCATCGCATTTCCTTATAATATCAATGCTCCTTGCAATCTCCGAGCTGTAGAAAAGATTGGTTTTGACGTATACTTTCAATTCCCTTACAACGCTCTTCAGCTGGTAAATGGCAAATGTGGCCTTCTCAAAGATGCTGATGGTTGGTTCAATATTCGTCGAAATCAGTTTTTCCGCAATTATTTCCACTTTGGTAGCCACTGCCTCAGCAAAGTCAATCACACCGTCAGCGATCGAGAAAACTTGTTCTGGAACTTCCAGAGAATTGGAGAAAGGTGTGTACATGCTCATACCGCTAACTCTGTTCATCTCGAAACCAAGTGCCAGCTGAACCATTTGGAGTGTCTTCACAGCTGCCAAATCACCCTCAGCGAGGACAGGAGTTAATGCATAGAGCTCGTACTGGAACTTCACCAGAACGGCAGATGTGATTGTCAACGCTGATACTTGGGCTTTCAGGGCACGCATGACATGGCTGAACTGGCTTTCGTTTGTTGGAGATGGTATCACTTCCGCATTCATGACGAGAATGTCCAGTGCATGGTACACCATAGTATGTTGAACGGCAAGTTTGGTAAGAACTGGAACAATATTGAGATCAATGGTTTCAGATGTTTTAAGAACAGTCTCAAGTACGGGAATGGTTTCCTTTGCCATACCAACCACATCAACTACAGGTTGCAATGATGGGAACGATGTAACTTGTCCAGTTGCTTTGATAGTCTTCAGAACACTAAATTGAGCCTCACTTATTCTTTCCAACTTTGGCCATAGTTTTGCCAAAGTTACCTCCATAGTTTCGGGTGGGGGAGGAATCTTTGACAGAATGGCTGCATGTTGGATTATTTGTTCATCGAGGTTTGTGATCAGCTGCAAGCCCTTAGAGTATAATGTCTCAGCTTCAGGTACAATGGCCATCTTTGCTGCTCTTGAACAAACGCTCGTGATTATTACAAGGACTGCATAGTGTTCAGTGAGGCAATACTCTAGCATAGGGACAACAAGAGATGATGCAGGGGGATCCTGTGCAATTGCCTGAAGCTTCTGGATGATTGACAGTTGGATCTTCTCTGTTTCTGCAAGTTTTGCAACAATGGTGTCAACATGCTTAAGGATAAAGATGGGATCGACAGCCCTTTGCAATACGTCTCCTGCCCATTCCATAAGTACAACAATGTTTCTCCATTCAGGGAGCAGGGCACGGACCTCAGTTGCGTTCACCCTGGCAAAGAGCTGGAATGCAAGCTTCCTCAAAATCACCTCTGGTTTGGGGGTTCCAGTAAGATGTTGTATCCTCCTATTAAGCATGGTCACAACAGTCTGGTTGAGTTGTGCTAGCACAGGGCGATGGCTCATAAAACGAGTCATGAACTGGAGGTCGTGCTGTATTTGAGTGTGATAGCTTGGGTCCAGGAGCATCTTGGGCTCGATCAGGCGATTCGGGTACTGCATCATTACCTGCGTGATCATCTGGAACCGAAGATATTGAATGGGAAATGTACTAACATTAAATAAAGGTAGCAAACCTACATTTTAATTACGTTTATATTGTGAACAAAAAATTAGATTCACCAGTCGTCACCTTATAAGGAATGCGTTTATATATATAATTTAGGTTATTTGAATTTCAAGAAACGTTTTTCGATATAATCTGCAACTGGCCGATGATTCACTGTGATTCACAATTACCCTCTTCTGAGGTTCTTTAAACGTGTTTCAAAGTATTGTATGCTCAAACAAAGTGGCTCTGGAGAAGTGGTTGATCAGGTAAATCATTTTCTGTGTCATGGTAAGTGTGTGCTTTTATGTAGGGAATGATCTGTTCAGCCCTATTCTAGCCAATACGGGGCACAATATATAACATCTTTGAATATTGTATCCATGTCAAGATTTCAACCGGTACATCGGCGTGTAGAACCAACGCTACTCCTGATAAGTAAAACTGTTAACTTTTAAGAACTGAAGTTGCTAAGTTAAGACTAAGATTTCGTAAGCTTTTGTATATAAATGGTATCGTTACTTCAAACCCACCTCCCATGGCATGGGGTAAGCTGGTAGTGCCGTTCTAGCAACCCTCATGACAAACTGGTGCATGTGTCCACGATTAATAGACTGCCATAAGGTCTCAAGCTGGACCTTTCGTGGAGTGGTTGGTGAGCTGGCATCGATGGTGGCAATCAGTCCCCACTTGTGCCCAACAGGGCTGAGCCTGACACTATCGCCCAGCTTAGCCTGGAGTTTGGCTTTAAGTTCAGATATGCTGATATCCTTGGTTGCGAGGTCTGGGAAGTCTTCCAGAGAAGCTGCAGCTTCGATGACCTTGGGATCAGTGACATCCTCTTCTGCGCAGGATACATAACAAAGGGTGAGACGGCCAATAGTGCAGTCACAGCTGGAGACGGCAGCATTGGCTGATCCACCAGATGGTTTGATGGGGGTGCCAGCGGCAACCTGTGCCTGGAAGATCACAGCCTCTGGTGGGCTAGGACCGGGCTTCATAAAGACCTGTACAGAAGCTCGTCCAGCTAGGGGGACAGACGGGACGAAGGTACTGCCGTATGGAGATGCACGTTTGACACGTGCGATGATGTTCAGGCCCATTGTGTTGTTGCCGTACTCGACCAAATCCTGTGATAAATGGATGGATAGTGCATTGATTTATTGAAACTGATACAACATCTAAAAAGTAACTGTCAGGTAGACATCATCTGTAGAGTAAACATAACTGTCAGTTAGACATCATCTGAACAGTAAACAGAAGTGTCAGTTAGACACCATCTGAAGAGTAGACAGAAGTGTCAGTTAGACACCATCTGAAGAGTAGACAGAAGTGTCAGACATCATCTGAATAGTAAACAGAAGTGTCAGTTAGACACCATCTGAAGAGTAGACAGAAGTGTCAGACATCATCTGAATAGTAAACAGAAGTGTCAGTTAGACACCATCTGAAGAGTAGACATGAGTGTCAGACATCATCTTAATAGTAAACAGAAGTGTCAGTTAGACACCATCTGAAGAGTAGACAGAAGTGTCAGACATCATCTGAATAGTAAGCAGAAGTGTCAGTTAGACACCATCTGAAGAGTAGAAAGAAGTGTCAGACATCATCTGAATAGTAAACAGAAGTGTCAGTTAGACACCATCTGAAGAGTAGACAGAAGTGTCAGACATCATCTGAATAGTAAACAGAAGTGTCAGTTAGACACCATCTGAAGAGTAAACATGTAATAATAATGTAGTTGGTACAACTTTATAATTCATGAACACATTCATAAACAGTCTATAAGAAACTGATTTGTTTCCATTCCTTTGATTGGGTTCCGGTATACTGAGTTCGGAATATTCTAATATTATGATTTCTGAGAACGTTTTTTTAACATTCTGTGTCTGGGTATTATATATCATATATAATTACCCATCTTTGTCCTCTCTGAGGATGAAACAAGTTATAACAATATTATTATATATTATTATGTATTATATATTATCCACCTCACAAGTTGAATAAACGTTTGTGTCGCTATTTTATTTATTTTTCGAATATATTTGATGCTATACACTTGTAATGAGTATTATATATCCAATATATATCCAACCTCGACTATTCTGGCGCCCTCTGCAACCTCGATTATCTTCTCTTGGTCCACAGGGTTGATGGTTTGGAAGGTCAAGGGGAAGCAATCCAGTTCTACTAGAGGCTCCTCCTGCAAATGACATAACACCAGCTCCTTTAGGTGAGTTGAGGTGAAATTGGGTTTAACGTCGCGTCCAAGATTATTGTACTTATATAGCGACGTGCATGTGTGTGTGTGTGTGTGTGTGTGTGTACTAATCCGGACTGATGCCGATTTATAGTGCTAGCTCACTGAGATACCATGCCGCAGTTTAACATGAATACCCCACTCAGACACAGTATACTGACTCCGAGCCGACCAGTCCTTGTTTTAGCCCCTTAATGCCGAGCGCCAGACAGGGTAACAACAAGTGCTATCTGTTAACGTCTTTTGATATGACGCGGCCGGGCCAGCTCTTTTAAGTGTCAGTGCGTGCGTAAGTGAGGCTGGCTGCTTTACTAGTCCGCACTAATGCCTGTTTTGTAGTGCTACCCCACTGAAAACTTTTTCCACTTCTTGTTTGATCCTCTTAATGCCGAATGCCAGGCAGGGTAACAGGTACCATATTTTAACGTCTTTTGGTTGGACGAGCCCGGCATCGAACCACTCTTCGAACAGATGCTATGTCCAGTAGAAAACGTAGTTTGTGTTTAGCAGGGATACTTGTTAGCAACATTCACAGTATATCCACACAGTGAAGTCTCCCTAGCACTCCATCATACTTTCAGCACAGCTACGATTGGCAGAACGGACGAAACGCTCCCATGAAATGGGATGTGCAAGAGCAACAACTCAACGTGTATAAAATAGTATTATGATTCGACTTGGACTCCAGATCCTAAATGACTCACCTGAATTGGAGGAACAATGGCAGCAGTGATCTTCCTGCTGGCTAGATGTGCGGTTACTCTGCCTTCCAGAGGTGCATTAACTTTGGTTCTGATACGGAAACCAGCCCCGACTCCCGTCATGAAGGCGTGCACGGCGAGATATCCATTCAGCTCCATCACAGCGCTGTCACATAGTATCTACTGTCAGTTTGTCAACGAATCGTGTTCTCTAAGAAAATAGTCCATGCAGGTAACAAAGGTACTGTAAGTCCCCATGGTCCCCAGTATGGTGGCCTACCTTTAGGTAGCTGGTGATATATAGCCCAATTTTACGTTGTATTGTATTGTAGTGTATTGTATGAATTGTCATGTTTTATGGTCATTTACTAGTTTGAAACCTACAGCTGTGATAATCTAGTTCTTTTACTGTCCTTTGTCAGCAGGTTTGTATTCTAAATTGATGTATTGTATAATTTGATATAGTCACTATATGGCTGAAATATTGCCGATGCGACTTATTAACTCACTCACTCACTCTAAGACAATATGTACATAAAACCTCACGTTTATGTAATTATACAAAACTGCTGGGCAAAAGGTGAGGTGAGATGAAATGGGGTTTAACGCCGGGTCAAACATTATTGCGACGTGCATGCACGTGTGCCGCAGTTTAACATGAATACCCCACTCAGACATAGTATGCTGACTCCGAGCCGACCAGACCTTGTTTTAGCCCCTCACTGCGGGGCGCCAGGCAGGGTAACAACAAGTACCATCTTTTAACTCCTTTTTTGTATAATGCGGCCGGGGATCGAACCCCGGACCTTCCGCTGTCCGGGCGGACGCTCTACCACTAGACCACGGAGGCGGTTGCTGACCAAATGAAGTACACCCATGTTTGATGGTGGCGAAAAATGGAAGAAACCAAAAATGGTTATTCGATGGTGATGTATTTGATACGACTATTATAGTTGCGTTTTGGACCTCAGCTTTGCAGTGTTTGAATGACTGTTTTCAGCCTAATAACGTTTTCATACTGTTTTCAAGTGTATACTTTCATACATTCTGCCTTTAAAGTACAAGAAGGTTTTTTCGTTGGCATCTCACCCAACCATGTACCTTTTCGCTGGGTAAAAGGCTTACTTAGATCAGCGTCACTTTACTTAGGAGACACTCCACGTTTATGATACGATTTGTAATACATGTTTTATAATTCAGTGTGGGTCAGGACCATATACCTCGAAACCCTCGGGAGTCAAACCGTACGAGCACGGTCACCCATCAAGCTACTCTCCGCCTGTTCCAGCGTTGCTTAGCTTTGCCTGATTTGTGTCCTCTGCGTTATGCGCATGACCTTTATGAATGGTGTATGAATGTATCATGGTGTAGAATCTGCGCGCCTGGCCACAGGGTATGAACGCATTTCCTTCCCGCCCCCAGTTAGACCACAGATTCTTTTCAACACATACCATTTTATGAATTACACAAAACTTATATTGAAACCATTTAAGCTTATTTACGCTACTGCTCTTCAGTTATTCAACAACCTTCAAATTGACATTCATTGTTGATATGGTTTGCATTCATATTTAATGAAATTGTAATAGGACTACTAATGGTGTCGCACCTCAAAGTCACAATGTGTTACCTTGGTCGAACTTTGAAAATGGCTTTGGCTTCAACAGGCGCGGATTGCCGTCTGCTTTCGAACAGTGCAGGGGTGACCTTGGCGATGACATTGCCCTTGACCTTGATGGCAGCAGTGGCGGCGAGTCTAGCAGACACGGGCATACCCGCCTCCGTTGGGAGAAGAATGTCGGCGTCTCCGAGGAACAGAGACTCGTGGACGTCAACTGGAACCTCGACGCCGGCCTCTGTCTCCTTGTAACTCAAGGACACCTTGCCTGGGAGATGAGTGAGTGAGTTTGGTTTTACGTCGCGTTGAGCGGTATATCACAACAAACAAGCTTGATGTAATTTGAAAGCACGATGCATGTGTTAGGGATTTAGAGCTTTGGTGAAACCCACACAGCGTGGAATGGTGCTCACAAACCTAGAAACCTAATCAGAGAGGAACAGAATTCGGATCCACAATCGTAGGTTTCTGGTACGCCAATGCTACACTGTGAAGTCAATATTCTGCAAAGCGAACTGCGGTTCCCCAGATGAAAGTGTCAATTAATAGAGATCATGTGATCGCCAGTGTGTTTCCGTATCGTAAATATCAAACCGCGTATGAACACAATTTTGAGTAAACCGACAATTTTATCATATAGTGCAGGGGGCACGGGTGGCCCAGTCGTCTGAAGCGACGCGATTCGCTGTGCAGAGTTGCGTCCCTTGGGCACGCCAGAAACCTATGATTGTGGGTTCGAATCCCGGTTCGCCCCGATTATGTTTCTAGGTTTGTCAGCACCATACCCGTGCTCGTGGGTTTCACCGAGGTGGTAAACGTCTGAGACATGCATCACTTCGGGCTTTCCTCCCACATTAAGCTGACACGCCGTGATATAACTGGAATACTGTTAAAAGCGGCGTTAAACCCAACTCACTCACTCGCTCATTTCCATTATCTACTCAAGTATTTACAAACCGCCATGATATTGCTGGACTAATTCAGACTGATGTGTACAACATTCACTCTCTTTTACTTCAATACCCCGATATTGTTGGAATAAAACCTCACTCACTCACTCATTCATTCAAGAATATCACTTTCATCAGCAAGTTCTGGGGGAAATGATTAAGTAATTCATTAAGTGAATTCATATTTGGAAATAAGGCAATATATTGGTAGGAAATATGTACCTGCAGAAGCCAATTTTTCCAAGGCTTCGTCCAGTGAGAAGTATCGGATTTCATGCCCAAACATCTTGACGTAGAGCGAACCGGATGGAGTAGGAAGACGTCTCGGTTTCACGTTCAGCTAAAATGGGAATATTATTTTTAATATTATTTTTACGGTTCAGTAAGCTTAAAAGTGACTACCACAGGAAGTGAGGTAATCATGTGACTTGATATGCTCTTAAAGTATTTTGTTTCTATTTATCAAGTAATAAATCAGATCTGATTAAAGTTTTACGTCAAATAATTGTTGAATGGAAGTCAAAGACGTCACAACAAGATCCAAAAGGATCCCATAAAAGGGTTTCTGTAATTCTGTAAATTATTAAGAATTCAACGCGGCCAACGATCAGGAAATACTAAGTAATCTGTATTTTCTCAACTGATAAGTTTGTTTTTTTAACAAGTTGCAAATTATACATTAATGAAACAATTAAACTTTAGAATTGTCATCTCCCCGAGGCAAGAGAGTTAACAGACTATAAAAGTCCAGTTTCCACCCTTGCCGGACTAGGCTGGGACTATGGAGTTGGCTTATTAATCTATCTTTTGGCTGGACTAACGAGTCTATACATAGTCCAATCAAAATCGCCACACGACATCAACATCTGGTTCGTAAACTGCCGTGCAGATTTCGGTCGATTGCAGGCTTCGCAAATCATGTGAACTGCCCACATAGTGTCAACAGATATTTTCCAAATCTGTTCATGTTTTTAATCAAGGTGCTCAAGTGATTTGATGCACTTCACTAGGTAAGACCCGTTTCGTCACAATACAGATCTTGATTATCGATCAGATCTTCTACACTGGGCGCCGCCATTTTGTTTGAAGCAAATGTAAGTGATATCAGAGGTGGAACCTGATTGGTCAACAGGAGGGATATAGAAGGAACACAACTCGTAATAGCCACTGGTGGTGCTACGATCGAACCCAGAAATCCGGCCTTATTCAGCAAGGATGGAAACTGCACTTTTACAGTCAGTTAACTCTCTTGCCTCGGGAAGATGAAGAATTGTAAAGAAGGCATTAATGTGGTATAAAATAACTGCGACTATTACCAATGGTAACTATGTCTGGAAACCAGAAAAAGGGGAATATGTACTGTTGTCTGACCTCGACAACTGATGTGTCAACTGCTACTTGCCCTATTTGAGAGTTCCTCGATGTTGGCAGTAGCATCCGTACTCCTTCTGGCTCTGGGTGCAAAGACGTCAAGGATCGACTTCCGGTTTGTTAGGACGCCCTCAGGCCCGAAGAGTTTCTCGAGTGCGGCTTCGAATCCCTCTGTAAACACGCCTACCTGAACACATTCAGAAATTGGACACATTAGATAGAATAATATAGTGATGCAATAACTCTCACGATGGATCAACAGTTTGATTGATTTTCAATTTCATTAAAATCAGATCTAAGTTCTCGCTACCGCAAAGCAAAGCTCTGAGGACATCCCATTAGGGGACACGTCAGAACGACCTTTCATCCGACCAATCAGAGCGTCGCTTACCAGATTATGAAAGTGACAGTCGGAATGTGATTTCTAATCTTGCAACCTCGAAAACTTTAACACGGGGTATTCCGAACGATAGCTACGGGTTTAACGACTGAATCCATACAATCTAGACCATATATTTGCCATCCCGGGATGTTCTTTTGTTCAGGTTTCAAATTTTTAATCGAGAATTTGTCAAAATATGTTTGAAAGCGTAATCGCCAATTTGAAATTTGTGCCATAAAGCCCGAGAAAGCTGCCTTCTTATTGGCTAATGTCGACTTCTTGTCAGTCCTTCCATTGGTCGGTCAAAATTCTCCCAAGGTCGGTCTGACGTGACCTGTAATGTCCTCAGATCTTTGTTTAGCATTAGCGAGAACTAAGATCTGATTTTAATGAGATCGATTGGGGTTTTTTTCAGTGTGAACTTCAAAACATTATTGATCAAGTAACGTACATTTACAACACGTAGGTTTCAAATATTATTTTTGATATCTCCAAATTATTATAAGGGTTTGTTTTCTAAGATGATCTTCTGAAATGATGAAGTAAGACACGTTACCTCCAGGATGTTGGCGGACAGGCCGAAGATGTGGGTGTTAAGCACGGTGCTGATGGCCTTGGGAACAATGCTACTGTTGGAACCGATGATGGCGACTTGGGCGCCAACTCCGGCTCTGATCTCAGCTGGATAACATTGTAAAGAAGGATATATATTGACGTTACTATGACTACTAGTTCTTTCTGATGTTCTTGTTAGAAAGTTGGTGAATTTGGCCGCATTGAACAGTATTGCATTTATATCACGTCGTGTCAGCTCGATTTAGGAGGCAAACAGGTCTGAGACACTCACTACGTTGGTTAAACCCACAAGCACGGGTCTGGTGATGCAGAGAATCTTAATCAGGGCGAGCCTGCTAGTCGAACCAAGGACCATGGGTTTTTTGCACGCACGGACGAAACTGCAGAGCTAATAACTACGTCCATGACGACTGGGCCAAACGCGTCAAAGAAGCAAGGGTCCAGAGGATTCCTGAATGACCCCTTTTTCCGACGCTTGGTTGAGTGAGTGACTTGGGGATAACTCCGCTTTGAAAAATGTTCCCTTTATATCACGGCGCTTGAAGTGAGTTGCCTGAACTGTTGATTCTTTATACCTTCAAGGGGAGACAATTCGCTATAGAGAGTGGTGTCCCTTAGTTGGAGGTCTATGAAAGGTTTGACGGCGGAGTAGCCTAGTGGTTAAAGCTTTCGCTCGTCACGCCGACGACCTGGGTTCGATTCCCCATATGGGTACAATGTGTGAAGCCAATTTCTGGTGTCCCCCGCCGTGATATTGCTGGAATATTGCTAAAAGCGGTGTAAAACCAACACTCACTCACACACCCACTCACTCTACGAAAATATAACTTACGACTTATAGTGTACATCTCCAAGGTGCGGAAGGCGGAGTACTGTAGTCCAGGGGTAACTCTCGGCGCCATGTGGATGGCACGGGCGGCTTCCATGGCGCTGGGATGAGAACACAAATGTTAGACCTCTAGCGTGGTCTAGTGGTACAACGTCCGCCTGGAAAGCGGAAGGTCCGGGGTTCGATCCCCGGCCCCGTCATACCAAAAGACGTTATAAGATGGTACTTGTGGCGCTCGGCACTAAGGGGCTCACTAACAAGGACTGCCCGGTGTCAGTATACTGTGTCTGAGTGGGGCATTCATGCTAAACTGCGGCATGGTACACACACACACACGCACGCACACGCACACGCACACGCACACACACACACACACACGTGCATGCACGTCGGTGTATAAGTGAAGTTATCTTGGACGCGACGTTAAACCCAACTTCACCTCACCTTACATAAATGTTAGCTGCGTTTGTCTTGCCTACACATTTTATAACTGTCACAGGTGCTCGGTACTTAAATAGGAGACATACAGCGTAATGGACACAAGTATGAAATTTGATTCAGCGTTTGTTTGTGACAGGAGGTGAAATGGGGCTCAACGTCGCGTTCAAGATGATTGCATTTATGTAGCGACGTGCATACACGTGTGTGGACTGTACTGGTCCGGACTCACGACCTGTCCTTGTTTTAGCCCCTTGAAGCTGAACGCCATGCTGGATAACGACAAGTACATCATTTATCAATCTCATTAAAATCAGACCTTAATTCTCGCTACCGCCAAACAAAGATCTGAAGACATCTCATTAGGGGTCACGTCAAAACGACCTTTCATCCGACCAATCAGTGCGTCGCTTACCAGATTATGAAAGTGACAGTCGGAATGTGATTTCTAATCATGCAATCTCGAAAACTTTAACATGGTGTATTCCGAACGATAGTTACAGGTTTAACGACTGAATCCATACAATCTAGACCATCTATAAGACATTCCAGAATGGTTTTTTTTGTTCAGGTTTCAAATTGGTAATCGAGAATTTGTTTCGAAGCGTAGTCGCCAATTTGAAATTTGTGCCGTAAAGCTCGAGAAAGCTGCTTTCTGATTGGTCATTCTATTGGTCGGTCAAAGTTCGCGCAAGGTCGGTCTGACGTGACCCGTAATGGGATGTCCTCAGATCTTTGTTTAGCGGTAGCGAGAACTACGATCTGATTTTAATGAGATTGATAATTTATACTCTTATGGTATTACGCGGTCAGAGGATCGAACCACCGACCTACCGATCCGGGCAGAGGCTCTATCCACTAGACCACGGATGCTATTACTGCAACTTAGACGCCATGTTGCCAATTACTTCATTTGACACTTTTAGTACATGGAAATATAATGTGTTAAGACTATAGTTGCTGGAAAACAATCAAAAGGACATTGGTGTGAGACGATTTTACTGATTTCGTTTCTATTCTTTGTCACGTTGTCTCTATTCTGTGTTACTCTGCGTCGTGTTACATCTACTTTTCTAAAGGCTTTCTCTCAACCACTTAATCAATAGCAAAAGTAACTGTGATCGGAATATCATTAAGAGTTGACTTTCTCTTTGTGAGTTCATTGGTGTATGAACCTTCATAGAGTGAGGGGCTAACTGTATGGAAGTTGGATAACCGGCTGTATCGCGGAATAAAATAGTTCCCAAACCGAGAGGTGACATGAGCGTATGTATGCCATTCTTGTTTTACGGGAACATGTGTTGTAGCTTGTCAACAAGAAATGTATTCAAATAATATCATCACTGGGTGACAAAGGACTGTAATGAACTACCTCAGTAACCAAGTCATATGACAGCGCGTCGTAATACATTTACATCAAGTACAAGACGTCAAATGGCCGACACGATATACGATTCCCGAAGTTGTTAATGAACCTGTGTTAAATACCAAGGGAAATTCAAAGATTGGTTTAGACTAGTACTGTCAGTGTAGACACTAATTCTAGTTCGTGATAACCGTAGTTCGTTAAAAGGATATATATATATACAGCATATAAACAACAAATTGCCTTGACTAAAAGATAAGTTCGTTATATCGGTCAGTTTGTTATAAGCGTGTTCGTTATAAACATAAACAGTACTTCATACTGGTTTGACATAGTATTGCACCACCATGGTGATAAGTGATTAGAATAGAACACCCAGCAACCTTTGGTTCCCTTATAGAGGCGACCAAATGGATCGGGTTGCCAGTCTCGGTGACTTGGTTGATCGTCGTACCCCGACAACGTGGTTCGTTGCACACGATACCGATCACTTGATTGTCTGGTCCAGGTTCGATTATTTACAGGCCGACGTCATATAGCTGAAATATTGCTGCGCACGGTGAGATGAGGTGAGGTGAAATTGGGTTTAACGTCGCGTCCAAGATTATTGCACTTATATAGCGACGTGCATGCACGTGTGTGTGTGTGGCTGCTTGTACTAGTCCGGACTGATGCCGCTTTATAGTGCTAGCCCACTGAGATACCATGCCGCAGTTTTAACATGAATACCCCACTCAGACACAGTATACTGACTCCGAGCCGACCAGTCCTTGGTTTAGCCCCTTAATGGCGAGCGCCAGACAGGGTAACAACAAGTACCATCTTTTAACGTCTTTTGGTATGATGCGGCCGGGGATCGAACCCTGGACCTTCCGCTCCCCGGGCGGACGCTCTACCACTAGACCACGGAGGCGGTCCTGCTGCGCACGGCGTGAAACAACAAACGAACATAGAACTGGCACTTTAGATGGTGGACTCACAGTGTCTGGAAACAGGGATGAGTGGTGTTGGCCGTAGTCTCGAGGAAGGTGTACATGTAGGAGGACACCTGGAGGTCAGGCTCACGGGCGATATGGCGCGCAAACATCTCGATGATGGGTCTTGTTGGCCTGGCCTTCATTATAACTGTGAAGACAGCGATCCTGACGGCGGCACTGTCTGTTGTCTTCATGAACACTGGGATGAGCGGTTCGATGACCTGGTGGACAGACGGTGATACATCCATGCTGATATATCAGTGAATGCTGTGGCATTCACACTCTCTACTATCAGCTATACAACATTTGGGATGCACTTAGCAGCAAAGGGACACAACCCTGCATAGCAATCCCCTTGTATATATAAAAAAAAATTGTATTTGAGTAGGAAATTATTGTCACAGTTGTAAAATAAGCGAACAATAGTTAATGGAATTTTGCGTAATGTAAATGCTTTAATAATTATTATTATTATTATTATTATTATTATTATTATTATTATTATTATTATCATCATCATTATTATTTATTTTACTCTTTTTTTTTGTCTATATGAAAACCATGATCATAATTATAAAAAAAAACATCAGCACATATTAATTCAATATATGATAAATCCGTAAATTATTTATTTATTGATTGGTCGTGAGCTTTTGTGACGCCTCATTGTGAAGAATGCCTCATATGATATGAACCTCAAAGTACTGATAACATGCTGTGACATTACTAGAATCCCCTGATCCAGTGGTGTCCGGCAGTGCTGATTCAACCAACTCACCATTCTGGGGGCGAACTCTGCCATCTTGTGCATGGCGAAGACCGCCATAAATCTGACAACCTGTGGCTGGTCGGTGTCGGTGATGATGGTGGTGCAGAGGGGGATGAGTTCAGGCAGACCGGCGTTACCCGCTGTCTTCAGTGCCATGACCTTCGGTTCCACTCCTGCCTTGGTCAGCTGGGATCTTATGAGCTGAGAACAAAATCAGTTTAGAAAGATTAATGTTGGTTTAAGGGAGTTTTATTGAACGCTGTTTTCAATAGTATTGCAGTTTGGCATGTCAGCTTGATGTGGGAGGAAAACCTGAAGTAAGGTCTGAGAGGCGTATTACTTTGGTGAAAACAACAAGGGGTATGGTGCTGACAAACCAAGAAATATAATCTGGTCGAACTTGGGATTCGAGCCCGCGATCATACGTTTCGGGCATGCGTACGAGACAACTGGGCCACCCATGCCCCCGTTTAACGAAATCTGAATGTAGCAAATCAAATAGCGGTAGCAGACAGTGCCATGTGTAGCCATATGGATAATAATGAAATGCGTTCAATAATTAGAAAGCTATTTCCGAAGTTTGACATTTTTAGTAATGGATGCAATTTGACATTGACAAAACATCAAAACAACTTTGACGAGATAACGTCATACCAATAACCCAAGACTAGTTTTAACGTCATTTGTTTAGTCAGCCGCTGTATAGAATCATAGATATATACTACTCTGAGAATTGCGGGAAGACTATTCTTGGTTTCAATATAAGAATACATGCTTAATGAATGATCCTTGGCGTACCCCAACAATTCTGGAGCGGGTGTCACTGTAGAGCTTCGTTACATCTTGCTGCCTGTTGAGTAAATGTTCTTTAACTGCGGTCAGTTCTTCTCTGGCGACCGGGTCCTTCTCGTGAGCCAGAATCCTGGTGAAGACTGGGATGGTCTCTGTCAGGGTCGTCAGCTCGTACCTCTCCGCATACGCCAGCTTGTTGGCAATAGCACCAATGCTAAGCCAGATTGACCGCACAAACTGTGGTTCCTCGCCTTCTCCCAAATCAGTAGCAACAGTCTGGACAATAACGACAACAACATTAACGAATAGTTTCATCCGTTATTGTGGAGACTCAGTGACTGTTTTACGCCGCTGTTAGCAAAGTTTTTGATATACATCAGCGGTCGGTCAGAAGAAACGCGCTTCGCACAATTGACCCCACTATTATTTATCCATTATTTTTGTGAGTAAGTAGAAAATTACGCCGCTTTTAACAATGCTCAGCCCCGAGAGCGGTCGGGAAACCAAAATGGGCTTGGCACATTGAACCTATATGGGAACCGAACCGGCAAACGCTACAGACCACCCTCCAACTCCCCCATAGGTGTACATACGAGTTGATGGGTAAATAAATGCAGCTTGTATATATAGATACACAACACTCCTTTGTTCATATTCAGTACTGTCCATTTCTGTGTCTTAACGGTTTTGTTTACAGACAGAGTAATGAAGATGGCTCACCAGTAGTTTCTCAACTAGGCTATTGTTCGGCGCGTTAGTCAAGGCGACCACATTCATGAGGGTGGCACAGTTCAGGGCGGGGATCTTCTTGGCCACGCATGTCTCCAGGATCAACTTCGCGGACAGATAGTTGCCGGTAGCAGCCATACAGGTCCACACCACCTTCCTGATACACGATACAGTTGCATTGGTACTTAGTTGTAAACTTCGGTTGCGTTATTGCATGTGTGGATGTATTGTTGCCTGATTGTCATCCAATAAATACATTCCTATCGTAATCATGTGTTTGGATTGTAGGAGGATGAGTACACATTGATATTACAGAATACCCGTGAAGATCCGGGATAGACTAGGTCTTCAGAAACCCATGCTTGCTGTAGGAGACGTCTAATGGGTTCGGGTGGTCAGGCTCTCTGACTAGGTTGATGAATGTCATTGTATCCTAATTGTGTAGAGCGATGCTCATGATGTCAATCGCTCGATTGTCTGGTCCATACTTGATTATTCACAGACCGCCGTCATATAGCTGGAATATTGCTGAGTGTTGCGTTAAACAAACGAATTGACATTACTTCCCCCTGAAACAGATGCCTCACCTCATGGCCATTTCATCATCGGTCTCCTCAGCCCTAGGGATGGCGTAAGTCTCCCAGATGTCGGTGAGGATGGTCACGTTGGCTCGCCTCATCATGGTGACAGCGATGACAGGGAAGAGAGCTCCCTCAGCCAACACGGCGGGTCCCGTCATACTCTGCGCAGCCGTTTTCAGGACGTTGACGATCTACAACGACAAACATGGTTGTCATGGATGTAAGATATGGTGGCTTCATCAGTCACAGACTCCCCTTCTCTCTCACCATTCATGAGATAATATAAATGAGTGAGTGAAAGAGTGAATGAGGAAGTTGGGTTTAACTACGCTTTTAACATTATTCCAAAGCGGCGTTAAACACAACTCACTAACATTATTCCAGGTATATTACGGCGTGTCAGTTTGATATGGGGGAAACCCGAAGTGATGCAGGTCTCAGACGTTTACCACTTCGTTGAAACCCACGAGCACGGGTGTAGTGCTGACCAACCTAGAAACATAATTGGGGCGAACCGGGATTCGAACCCACGATCGTAGGTTTCTGTCGTGCCCAAGGGACGGCAAATTGCGGCGCCTTAGATAATTGGGCCGCCGGTGCTCCCGATAAACAAAATATGCAACAAAAATATATGTTAGGAGGATAGAATGTTACAATTCAAAGTGATGTTACTTTTGAATGCTCAAAAGAACGACCCACGCCTAGCGTAGACTACAAGAGTCAAAATGAGAAATGGTGAGACATGGTGTACCGTTATTCCAATGTCCATTGTTATTATTGACATAATATTTACTATCTATAACAATCATGTATCGTTAAACATGAACATACATGTAGTCACGATTTTGATATTAAAGACGGTTAAAATCTTTGTTATGACGAAACATCGATAATAGTTAAGTTAGTTGTAACGATAATCGTATATCCCTTCAAAAAAAATCGTCAAATTGTTGATAGTTCCTTGAACATAACTTTGAAATTTTGTCCAGCCGTCAGTCAAGTTTTAAAATAGGTTACACATCCTCGTGATTTGTAAATTGTATCCATTTAAGAATCACATTCTATTTACCTTGACAAGACAAAGTGGGAATTGTTAAAGGGACATAACTCTTTATTCGTTCTCGTTAACTGCTAGGTGACAAGTTTTCCGACGTGGAGAAGATTTCAATTTAAGTGAGTTGGTCTGCCGTGCACGTCTATCCAGGGGCAGTCTTGAGTCAGTGCTGTCAACTTACGTATTTCTTCGTGGAAAACATCATCTCGTCCATATTTTTGGGTTTCTGGGTAGTCGCAGCGAATGGGAACTGGTTGTCAATGATATTTTCCGGCACAAAGGTGATGAGAGATCGGGGCGCCATGGACATCGTGGCGATACGAGCTATTTCCGTGCTGTCGGCCAGATCCGTCGCGTCGGTCAAATACATGGTCTGACTGGGAACGAAAAATAAGATATTCTATTGATCTCAAAACCTAAACTGATGGTAATATATCTACAAACCTATCCGCGACATGCGGTTTAGGTGTGGTTTAGTTCTCCAACCCAAACAAGTTCTAGCATCTGTACTTGACTAAGAAAGTGCAATCCCAGATATAATATTTGTTACATAAGATTAGCCTGATATCTCGCTAAATTATGTTTTGTTCGGTGCCCCTAAAATGTTTTTCTTTTTCTTTTACATATTGTTGGTTGGAAGAGCATTCTGCGACCCTTCCTTGATTCTCACCGGCACAGGTAAACCAATGTCAAGTGCTTCAGTCAGACCAACCAAGGAATACAACCATTCATGTTTGAACCTACGTGATTATGGTCGAAATGAATTCCTTTTAGTCAGAGAGCACTGTGTCAATATGACCATATTAAAGAAAACGAAACCACCTATGTTTGAACCTACTTGATGATGGTTGAAATGTGAATCTTTTAAGCAAGGGTGATCTGTGTCAATATGACCATATGATAGGCAAGGGGAACCATCCATGTTTGAACCTACTTAATGATGGTTGAAAAGTGACCTTTTTAGCCAGAGTGCACTGTGTCAATATGACCATATCAAGACAAGAACCTCCCATGTTTGAACCTACTTGATGATGGTTGAAAAGTGGCCACGCTCGGCGGAGTACGGATAGAAACTGACGTAGCTCTCCCCGACGGCGCTCAAGATGACGAAATTCTTCCTGTTGCCCTTCAGAGTGTAGCGGACCTGCGCTCCCTCCGTCAGGGCCAGAGTCTGGGGACAGAGGGTCACGTTCAGTCATGTTCATTGTTTATCTTGCTTCATACTTCATGCTACTCCGATTCTGGTGCACATCTGAGATATTGTACAGCCAGGCCCTCGGACACGTTGTGTATATACACCCGATCCCCTGAATCGTACGCATATAGACGCAGCAGCCCCCGATCCACTGAATCAGACAAGTATACACACCCGTCCCCCTGAATCAGACGCATATAGACGCAACAGCCCCCGATCCCCTGAACCAGTTAGGTATACACACCCGTCCCCTGAATCAGACGCATATAGACGCAGCAGCCCCCGATCCCCTGAATCAGACAAGTATACACACCCGTCCCCTGAATTGGCGCATATAGACGCAGCAGCCCTCGACACCTGAATCAGACGCATAAAGACGCAACAGCCCCCGATCCCCTGAATCAGACGCATACAGACGCAGCAGCCCCCGACCCCCTGAATCAGATAAGTATCCACAACCGTTCCCCTGAACAAGACAAGTATACACACCCGTCCCCCTGTCTCACTGAATCAGACAAGTATATACACACGATCCCCTGAATCAGACGCATACAGACGCAGCAGCCCTCGTCGCCCTGAATCAGATAAGTATACACACCCGTTCCCCTGAATCAGACAAGTTTACACACCTGTCCCCCTGTCTCCCTGAATCAGACAAGTATATACACCCGATCCCCTGAATCAGATGCATGCAGACGCAGCAGCCCTCGTCGCTCTGAATCAGATAAGAATACACACCCGTCCCCCTGAATCGGACGCATACAGACGCAACAGCCCCCGACCTCCTGAATCAGATAAGTATACACACCCGTCCCCCTAATTCGGACGCATACAGACGCAACAGCCCCCGTCGCTCTGAATCAGATAAGTATACACACCCGTCCCCCTAATTCGGACGCATACAGACGCAACAGCCCCCGTCGCTCTGAATCAGATAAGTATACACACCCGTCCCCCTGAATCGGACGCATACAGAAGCAACAGCCCGCGTCCCCATGACTCAGATAAGTATACACATCCGTTTCCCTGAATCGGACGCATAGAGATGCTGCAGCCCCCGACACCTGAATCGGACGCATTTAGACGCAGCAGACCCCGAGCCCCTGAATCAGACGCATATAGACGCAGCAGCCCCCGACCCCTCCAATCAGACGCATATAGACTTTCCTGCCCCGACCCCAACAATCAGACGCATACAGACGCAGCATCCCCCGACACCTTACCTTCTCTGCCTCACACTCTGCACACGTGCGGACGGAGAACATGGTCTTGAACCAGGCCGGTCTGACGTGGCAGTTCTTGAAGTCCCTTGTCTTGGTGACGACCATCGTACCTTCCGGCACCTCTATGTTGAACTCCGGATCCTCCACCGTGTACTCTGTACGACACACACCTGACGCGCTCAGCTGGCAAACAGTGACAAGAGGTGTGAGTAATGGGGCTGTGAGTCTCCATGGCAGAAAAGGCGATCAGCATTAAGTAATCAAATGACCGTCGAATATACTTGCTTCATACCTGACATTTGTCGGTGATATTTGTTTGATTCTTCTAATAAAGAGGTACGCGTTGTTATTTGAAAATAAAGCGCAAGATTAGCAGGACCTGGGCCCACTTGCACAAAGCGATCTTAGCGCTAAGATGATCGTAAGTCCCATACTTTAACATAGGCTTACAATAGTCGTAGTGCTAAGATCACTTTGTGCAAGTGGGCCCAGCTCTCATTGGCACGGGAGTAAACCACGGAATATAAAGCCATTCATAAACATCGAAATTCTTACCAGACACTTCCCTCTTAAAAATAACGTTGTCCAATATATGAACTCATCACGCTGCGAGCGCATATTCGAGTCTCTAGAATTGACGTCATGATAGAACAATGTTTTATCGTGAATTAAACCACGCTTCGTAGTTCATTGTTCTTTGCGATTGCGTGTAGCTTTCTTATATAAGGTGATAAGATAATGTCCATGTGACATAGCATCAAGTTTAACATTTGTCTGAAACATATCACCTCGTAAGCGGCGTAGACTGGTGCCTCCTCGCTCTCCGCCACCGGGGTCCATCTCTTTTCCATGTTGACCTCCAGAAGGCTGACAATACCGCGCTTGATGTTCACTGACCAGTAAGCCTCGTTCTCGGGCGTCTTTAAGTCGGTCACATGACCTCTGGTATAGCTGTTGGATAAAGCAAAGGGAGATAATGCTGCGGATATGGAGTAGGAATGTACGGTTTCATTTCTTTCAGCTTAGGGAAGGTAGGGAAGGGTTAGAATAGGCCCCCCTTGCAGCCTGTGCTGGTCGTTAGAGTGAGTGAGTGAGTATGGTTTTACGCCGTTTTTAGCAATATTCCTGCAAAATCACGGCGGGGGACAGCAGAAATGGGCTTCACACATTGTACCCATGGCGGGAATCGAACGCTTTAACCACTGGGCTTCCAACTGCCCCTGGTCGTTAGGAGCGACCAAATTGACCGGTGGTCAGGCCGGCTCACTTGGTTGATTCCGGCTCCGGCTCCGGCTCCGGCTCCGGCTCCCCGACGGCGGGGATCGTTGCTCACGATATCGATCACCGGATTGCCTAGTCCAGGCTCAATTATTTATAGGCCGCCGTCATGAAGTTGGAATATTTCCGAATGAGGCGTTAAATAACAACACACACACGCATACACGCGCGCACGCATGCACATTTTAATCGTTCGATGGGTTAGTAGCTTACTGGTTTCATCTCTCCATTATAGTTATATTAACGCAAATATGACCACATGTCGTCCTACAAATTCAATTCCGCTAAACCTGTTTATGAAGAATTCAGCGAGAAGAAGAAATGTACACCTTGACAAACACACACACACACACCCTGACACACCCTATACCCCCACGTCACCTACCCACACAGACACACCTTATATCCCCAGGTCACCTACGTGAATGTGAAGGGTTCCATGAGCGTCTTGTAGATGACTGGACAGAAGAACCTACTCATCTTGGTTGGGTGAACCTGTTCTCGCGTAGGGTTAACATCACGGAAGGCGTCGTTCATGGTGAATAGGTTCAAGTCTTCCAACTATTTAAAAATATAAGTAATATATAATATAAATTATCATGAAAGTATTATTATTATTAGTAGTAGTAGTAGTTGTAGTAGTAGTAGTAGTAGTAGTAGTAGTAGTATCATTATTAGTCCGGAAACTCGAGTGAGTGAGTGAGTGAATATGGAATTACGCCTCTTTTAGCAATATTTCATTAATATAATGGTGGGGGACACCAGAAATTAGATTCGTGTGTACATTGTAGCCATTTAGGGAGTTGAACTCTGGCCTTGTGCTCTGACCCACCGCCCCAACTGTATGAACGTTCTGTACGAGCCTACAGAGCCTAATATTAAATGTGGTCAGGCTGGCTGACTTGGTTGATGCATGTCATCGTTTCCAAATTGTGTAGATCGATGCTCATGATGTCAATCACTGGATTATTTACAGACCGTCGTCATATAGCTGGAATATTGATAACATGCATCAACCACATCAGCGAGCCTGACCACCCGATCCCGTTAGTCGCCTTTAACGGCAAGCATGGTCGCCTTTTACGGCAAGCATGGGTTGCTGAAGACCTAGTGATGAGGCTGATAAGTGATAATGTGGAACGTCAGTCAAAGACTTTGCTATTTATCGTTTGAAATTCCATCAGATATTCAGAAAACACCAATAACGAGAAATATAATATACCTTGGACGAAAATAATTGTATCGTTTTTATTTCGGAAACGGCTATGCTTAAAGTCAGGCATGTGACTTGCTGTCGCATGCAATGCGAAGCCTACCTGAGCGATGATGACTGACGCTGTGTGGAACTGTAGCCTGACATTTGCCATGACCTTGACCCCTGAGTACACCTTGCTGGCCCCGGGAATGCCGGTCACCGTCTGTGCCATGTAGCGGTACACATACTCTCGCTTACCTGTGTAGCCTGTAATACAGACAGAAGAACGTTATGCGGGTACACATACTCTCGCTTACTAGGGTTAAGGCTGTTCTTAACAGCATTCCAGTTTCAAATAAAATGACGGCGCCAAGTCACTACGATCTGATCGTTAATACATAGTTCCGACCGGAAGCCTTTTAACCAATCAGAGCGATGATCTCCTTCGCTGCCGCATCCCTTTACACTGGGGCGCCATCTTGTCCCCTAAGTGCTAACGTTATCCAAGGCCTTTACAGACACAATCTCGTATTGGGTTCTTTGCACGAACGCGACTTTTTCTAATTTTTAGGTATTCGCATGAAAGCGAATCGCGGTGCACTTTGAAATTTCTTGAATATGGACGAAGTCTGAATTGGATTTAAGAACACCCAAGGACGCTCCGGCAAAGGCCAATTTCGCAGCGGCAATGTCCCGCAAGCGGTGTCTAACTTTTGACGGCGTTGGCACAAGCAAATCGTTTGAGGATTTAAACATGGACGAATATTTTTGCGAACGTTTGAACGCGCATTACTTGGAGCCCGCAATTCCTGCTTGCAACTACATTTTAATTTAGATATGTGATTTGCTGAAGTTGTGTGTATCACATACGAGATGTCTTCCACGAGGAACTTATTTGTGTGATGGTGGTTGTTCAGGAGGATTGATTCTATACCCCAGATTTCAGATTACTGGCTCGATTAATGTTTTGAATAATTTGCATGCAAGAGCTGTAGGTATATGTTGGTTACAAATGGTAGACTGAAGCTTGTGGTAGGCCTGGGGCCTTTTCAGAAGAGGCTTAGGACTATTTTAAGTTTACCATTTGCTTCAAATAATTCAAGTAATTCCTATTTAATCATCTCTACCCGTAACTAGTATTTTTTTATCACCCACTGTCCAAATATTCTTTTGTCTGTTTAACTTAATTTGCCAAACACTACAACATAATTTTGTTTTGTCACCATTAATCGTTAGGTTATTTGTTGCACAAAATACACCTTGACCATGAAGTAACACTTGTAGGTTTTTTGAGAATCGGCATATAGTACTAAGTCAAACAACAAATAACAAATGTTGCAACCATTAAGTGTTAGATTTTTACTATCAGATTCGATATAATGTGGAAGATCACTGAGGCATATATTACATAATGTGGGAGACAACATGCATCCTTGTCTTACCCCGATGGTGGAGTTAAAGGATTGTGAAATCCCCTTGTTGGTTTTCACCCTATATGAGACATCATTCTATGGTGATGATATTATTTTTAATACATTTCCTGAGATTTAATTTGATAATAGCTTTGTTAGGAGTAACGATCTGTCAACTGAATCAAAGGCCTTTTGGAAGTCTACAAAGCAAGTGTATAGTCTTTTCTTTTGACTTTTTGGGAATATACCAGTATTTAAAGAACAAATACATTATCTGATATTCGGTAGCCCCTCCTAAATCCAGATTGATAGTGGTCTTTATTTAATAGTTTCCAATGGTTCCTGTTTTAATAAGACTTCAAGTTGTTCCAGCTGATTTTGTTTATATACACGTTGTTTTCTTCTGAGTAACGTTTGCATTCTTTTTTTTGGCAAAAAGAGCCCTATCATTAATTGATATATATTGTTTTCTTTTAACTCGAGATATTTTCCTCCATATTACGTTTTGTCTCTTTACATTCAAGCTCGTGCCATTGGGTTCTTAATGGTACACTTGATGTATTTTTGCCAGGCTTTGTTGATAATTTGTTGACGGTTTGTAAAATATCTGAGAAGGTACCAACGAGTGCTTCACATACAGAACTCTTTTTCGGGTTGGAAGTTGACATAAAATTCTTTAAGGCAGTTTGAATACTAAGGCTAGAAGTAGCATGTTCAACACATATGTGACTGTTAGAATACCAGCGTCGTCTACCCTAGACTAACATCTAGTCTCTGAAATGAACATATCGTACAGAAAAAACCAGTTGTTCAATTATCTTGATAAAAATAAAAGGGAGCCCAGAGACTCTCTTCATTTTCAGACTTCAGTAATCTAAACTTGCCAAACATTATAGACTTGCATTGGCTGTATTTGATATATATTTGTATGAGGGTCTGTAAGACAGAATACTTCTACCCCTGTATTTAGTAAAGGTTACATTTGTGGCCTAATGAAAAAATATGCCAGTTATATAAAAACATATATTTAAAACACAAAATGCAGAATGGAACCTATAAATATTATGATTGTACTGTTGATAGCCATTTTAACTTTTCATATTTGTCATTCACGTTGTGAATATATCCTATCACTACCATTCAAAGAGCAAACCCAACTCACTGAGCCTCTTATTCTGTGCTGATCATCTTCATTAATATAAACAACGTGGTCAAACGGAGGCTGGTCGACTGGTGCTCTACATGGTCCAGCTATGCAGTGTGGGGGATATGGCAGCAGGTATCATATTATCTGATTTTGATGGTATCTCTACATTTTGCCTCCGAGCATATATAAGGGTCCTGGCAGTAGCTCTCTAGTTGGGAGAAACTCCTTTTGCGGAGTCAGAGTTCCAAATTGGATTTTACCAAATATATTACTCATTTTTATAGGGATATTCCGAGTGTCCAGATAGGTGATAAATCTGGTTGTTTGGAGATATTGTCGTTCGAATATGATGAGAGCTGGTCTGGACATGATATTACATAAATATACAAAAATAAACCTGTTTTTGTCTCCCAACTTTCGTAAGAGCGTGAGTGAGTGAGTGAATGAGTGAGTGAGTTGGATTTAACGCCGCTTTTAACAGTATTACAGTTATATCACGGCGTGTCAGCTTAATGTGGGAGGAAAGCCCGAAGTGATGCAGGTCTTAGACGTTTACCACTTCGGTGAAACCCATGAGCACGGGTATGGTGCTGACAAACCTAGAAACATAATCGGGGCGAACCGGGATTCGAGCCTACAATCATAGGTTTCTGGCGTGCCCAAGGGACGCAACTCTGCACAGCGAATCGCGGCGCCTTAGACGACTGGGCCACCCGTGCCCCCTCGTAAGAGCGTGAGTAAGCTGAGGGCCCTCAGGAGTATTGTGCAGACTCGCGCATTTCGTGAACGTATGTTGTTTGGGGTTTTTTTATAGAAAAAATAAAGCGACAAAACCCTATCCACATCCAATAGAAATCTCTGCATAAAGCAGAGTCGACTGTACGATTCCGACTATATCATGAGCATGTGTTAATGAATCACTACCAAATAGTGATGATATCAGGTGTACATATGCAAAGGCAAGTAAATTGTTCACCTGAACAACAGGGGGACACATAGTACAAGTCAAAATAAGGAATTGCATCGGACATCATTTTTGTCACTGATGCGTCAAATTTGGAAATGTTCTCCACATGTCTGCCATAAAACATTTTGAAACGTTTACTGAGGCCTTGAATGTTGTAACCTTGATCAAACAGCAACTTCTATGAAATCTTCTAGTCGTGTGACGTTCTTTGAAATCTTAGTCGAAAGAGCATGTTCGATTGTATCGCAAAAGTTGTGAAATGTAAACACCAAAGGCTGGAGCTGCTAGAATACTGCTCGACATGAAGGGAAAGTTGACTATTGGAAAGTTGAAATCATCCCTCTTGTCATACAGTTTTGTGGAGAGTGTTTTGCCACTCTGAATCTTTATGCATAGATCTAAATATGAAACAGATGAGGCTGTCTCAATGGTCGCTTTTATTTCTAGTTCAGGTGGGTAAATCAGTGGAAGAGAATTGGCGTTTTGATTCTTATTGAACGAAATCAGATCATCGATATACCTGAAGCTTAAGTTAAATTTCTTGGCCAAATTACCTTGTTTTGACTTTGCCAATCCGAGCAGAAATTGCGATTCATATGCATGAAGAAACAGATCAGCAAGAAGGGGAGCACAATTAGTCCCCATGGGGGATGCCTGCTTCTTGCCTTAATTCATTGAAACTCAACAGCAAGAATCATAATCGGAGGGAATCTAGGTTTCGAACCAACAATCCCTGTTCGATTAAATTGTAAATATCAATGGGATTAGTGTTACTTTATGTAGAGTAGTCATTTTCAGTATTAAAAAGGGGCGGAAAATAATCCTTTTCCCGCTAAGCCTTCCGACAAACATCTTGCAAAATCAAACAAAATTCAAATACATTTCTATTCGTATCTTGACCCATGTCATTGACTTAATCATAATCAATAAACGTGCTGTCAAGTAGCTCACGACTGGTTCGTGGTACAAACCACATTGTTCTTATAATATCAATGCACACATATACGTAATTTAACAATACTTACGCGATTCATGAAGTTTCGGGGCTGTAACAAAGACGAAAACAAACATTTACAGCAATATATTGATAAAAAGACAAACAATGTTCGACACATCTTCAAGAAGCATGATGTTGGTTGGTTGGTTGGTTGGTTGGTTGGTTGTTTAACGCCGCGCTCAGCAGTATTCCAGCTATATGACGGCGGTCTGGTAATAATCGAATCTGGACCAGACAATCCAGTGATTAATATCATGAGCATCAATCCACGCAATTGGGATACGATGACATGCATCAACCAAGTCAGCGAGCCTGACCACCCGATCCCGTTAGTCGCCTCTTACGACAAGCATAATCGCCTTTTACGGTAAGCGTGGGTTGCTGAAGACAGAAGCATGATGTAACACAGTGATTTTCACGAGATTTTGCGAGAAACGTGACAAAATGAATCAAACTGATGACCATTTTGTTCTATACATGTATACCACAATCACACACATATCCCCCGCACAAATATGAAATATATGCCACACGCTACATATAGATAACATTCAGTTGGCTTTTACTGGGCCCAGAAACTATTTCTGATATTAAAGGTACCTGGTTGTGTAATAAAAGGTATTGTCTCATAGGTCGAACGTGGCTTAAAAAACAAGCCTTGTGATTTGTAAAAATGTAAACGTGTTCATATGATTGTACAGGTGAAAAGTAAACAATTCAATGTTACTACAAATGCTACAGCTGCTACTGCTACATCTAGTTTAGGCATTCATCCCGGATGTCCATATCTTATGTAATAATGGCTACATTCAACACGCCATTCGATAGTTAATGTAGTTAATAGAAGTACGGTATGATATGAATTGCAAAAAAATTGATTTTGACGGAGTATTCAGCACAATCAACGGACATTACTACACCCTGTCGATGACATGATGTCACCAGCAAATCCTCGCGTATAAATCTTAAAAATGATTGTGCATGTTCGTTTCTATCATGTTAACTAAAACATCCCAAAATTAATGAAATAAAATTTACAAAATAACAATGTCTAAACATACCGGCCACAGGAACCGTATTAATAACTTATACAGTATAAAATGGTCAAGGCACATGTTTTTAAAAAAATGATACAAAACCAAATTTACTTACTTGCCACCCCTAGCGTCAGAGCAAGCACCAAGAGAGACAACATAACTGCTATCTACCCTCGCCGGTTCCACAGTCGCTTCCTCTCTCGGCCCTTATAAACCATCTCCTGGCCTTGAACTTTGGAATTTTCCCCCTGCACGGTCACTCGTTCCTCTAAAAAGCGCCTGTGCAGCAATCTGTGCCCCGCATGCACTTTTAGTTTACAACTTGTGCAATCAAAGGGCGTGTGTGAACCCCCCATTGTCGGGAGTCCATTCCGGACCACTCTCTATACCTGTCAGTCAAAGTTTGAAACTTGACATTGCGCGTCATTGTATCATCCTGTTATGGGTTATCTAGTTTGCTACAATGACTTGACAAGGCGCATTCTTGTGGAAATTACATTTGTCTACATTTTTACACACAAAATACGTCTAATTTGTATTTTCTAATTAAAAAAACAATGAAAATGGTAAGATAAAACCGAAAAACCGATTCGTTTGAGAGGAAAGGGGCAGCCGGTTAGTCTATAGATAGATAGATAGATAGATAGATAGATAGATCTTCAGATAAATCTTTATATTCCTCAACTTCATGAAGATTACAAGGAATACAGTAATAAGACAATATTTATAGGATAAGTGTGCATATATTACATATGATTATGCATGATTACATCAGAAGAAGTTTATATACTTATGTATCAACCCATTCTTTCCGTAAAAGGCGACTATGATTGTCGTAAGAGGCGAAAAACGGGGATCGGGTGGTCATGCTCGCTGACTTGGTTGATGCATGCCATCGACCCCTATTGTTAGGATCGATATTCATGATGTCAATCACTGGATTGCCTGGTCCAGACTCGATTATATACAAACCGCCGTCATATAGCTGGAATATTGCTGAGTGCTGCGTTAAACAAGAAACAAAACAAAAACACATGTATCAAATTGTTGTTTTTAGTGTAAATAAATGGTCAACAAGCATGTGTTATTTACAAGTGTACACTTGCTTACAGTATATACAGCCTAGTAGTTTAAGCGTTCGCTCATCATGCCGAAGACCCGGGTTCGATTCCCGACATGGGTACAATATGTGAAGCCATTTCTGGTGCCCCCCGCCGTGATATTGCTGGAATATTGCTAAAAGCGGCGTTAAAAAACCCATACTCACTCACTCCAATATATACATTATTTAATATAAGCAGCTTCGGATGACTTCATCCCACATTTAAACTGCACCACCAATATTTATCATGCTCTCTGCCCATATATTGTAGTCTAATTCATCTTCAAGTTGTTCAGGTGGCACGGGTGGCCCAGTCGTCTTAGGCGCCGCGATTCGCTGTGCAGAGTTGCGTCCCTTGGGCACGCCAGAAACCTATGATTGTGGGTTCGAATCCCGGTTCGACCCGATTATGTTTCTAGGTTTGTCAGCACCATACCCGTGCTCGTGGGTTTCTCCGAAGTGGTAAACGTCTGAGACCTGCATCACTTCGTGCTTTCCTCCAACATTAAGCTGAGACGCCGTGATATAACTGGAATAATGTAAGCGGCGTAAAACCCAACTCACTCACTCACTCAAGTTGTTCAGGTAAACCTCCGAGCAGAAAGGCATCATCATCTGTCCAAATTCTCACAAATATTTGAACATAAAGCAAATCAATGATTTTATCAAACATGATATTTCTTTCTTCTAATGTCTTTCTTTCGACATGACATGAAAACGTGTTTTACGATATCATTAGCAACTGTTCCACAAATACGTTCCTTTGATTCTATTGACATTGAACTAGTCCTGAAAAAAAAAAAAAAAAAAGATGTTCTGGTCTATCGAGAGCAGGTTTCCATGACCTATGTTCTCGTCCAGATCGTATTGGGGCGGTCGGGTAGCCTAGTGGTTAAAGCGTTCGCTCGTCACGCCGAAGACCCGGGTTCGATTCCCGACATGGGCACAATGTGTGAAGCCCATTTCTGGTGTCCCCCGCCTTGATTGTGCTGGAATATTGCTAAAAGCGGCGTAAAACCATACTCACTCACACCAGATCGTATTGTGAGATATCTTGATGGCGATAATCTGCTCAGAAACGCATTGTTTAGTAGCTAGCTGTAGGTGAATCTTTTCTTTCACCAGTTTTAACCACAATCGTTTCTTGGTGAAATTTGAACACACTATGTAATCATTAACCTCGTCAGACAAATCATATTTGGAGACAAGACGTACTACTTTGGTATCGTTATTACAATTATTTTCTCGAAATTTCGATCTTTTTCTCGTTATTTCGAGTTTATTCTGGTTGCTTCGATTATTTTCTGGTTACTTCGATTATTTTCTTATTTCGAACACTCAAAATTTCGAGCTTTTCTCATTATTTCAACTAATTTCACGAAATTTCGATATTTATTACTCGTTATTTCACTCTCTCACTCACTCACTCACTCACTCACTCACTCACTGTTAAATATACGCCTACATGTTAAATAAGTGGGACAATTCTAGTTCCGATAACTCTCCCTGGCCTTTGCCATATGGTAACCTTAACATTGTCTTTGCTTCGTAAACATCGCAGCGTCACACGTCACCACCGACACACCAGCTTACCATAGACACACATGTCAACAATACAATCGACATGACTAACATCGAAATGGCCTTAACGGTATATTTACATACCGGGATTAGCTCAGTGGAGAACATTTAATTTCAATTTCACGAATTTTTTATCTTGAATTGGTATGGTTTTGTTGTCTTTTGTTTGACGCGGAACTCAGCTATATTTCTAGCTGTGATGGCCTGTTTGTAATCGAGTCTGCATCACGTTATAAGCAGCGTTTCAACGCTGTCTTAGAACAAAGATACGCAATCAGCTTTGTTACCGATCCAGGCCGACGGATATATGTAGTCGCCTCGTACAAGTTTACGGCTATTGGGGACCTATTCTAACCCCATTGGTGACCAACTCGTGTTATTCCGGGACAAGCCGAATAGCGCTTCTTGCAGGTTACGGAAAGGGGCGAGTGGTGACGAATGATTCTAACCCGGAATTCCAAAGGGAAAGATGACAATCACAATAAGACATTTTGTTCAAAAATACCATCCCAATTGATTGTGTAATTACTGTTGTTTCTAGCAACCTGTATTTTAGATTATTTATAACATCTTTGTGAATTCCGGGGCAGAATAGGTCGATATGTTTGTCGCAAGAGCCATCTGAAATTATAACTAAGCGTAGAGAATGCGTGACCTGGCTGATTTCGTGACATTGTTCCCCGACGGCGGGTATCGTTGTTTGTCATCAAAGACCCAAGTGGGACAGGTTAAAAATTGTCCCCAGCAACCTATGCTGGTCGTAAGGGACGACATAATGGATCGGGTGGTCAGGTTGATGGCGTGTAATCGTCCCCCAACGGCGCGCGTCGTTGCTCACAATGTCAACTAACGGGAGAGGCGACTAACGGAATCGGGTGGTCAGGCTCGCTGACTTGGTTGATGCATGTCATCGTATCCCAAATTGCGTAGATCGATGCTCATGGTGTCAATCACTGGATTGACTGGCCCAGACTCGATTATTTACAGGCCGCCACCAACAAAATGGAATATTGCTGAGTGCTGCTTTAAACAGCAAACGAACAGAGAATTGCTTGGAAACCAGATCTTCAGACGGTCGACTCTTAAGTGAAACCTGCAATATCGGTTACAGTTTTCAAAACATTCAACGCGTATTTTAATATTTTACTGAGGATACATATTTTTTCACGATATTCCCCGAAGACACCATTTATATGCAGTATTTTTTTGTATCGCGAAACAGATTCGCAAGCACAATGTTAAATGTGAACTATAGCTATTAGTTGATGAGTTGAAAAACTATTTTATTCATTTTGAATTCTATCTGATGGCATTAACTCGCTCCAGAAGCGTCAAACTACCCCCGGGGTAGCCTTTAGGTAAAAGCGTTCTCTGATGCCAAAGGCAAAGTTAGATTCTCGTACATTGTGGGAAGCGCATCTCTTGTGTCCCACGCCAGGATACTGCTTGAATACTGCTTACAGCGGCGTAAAACAAAACTCACTCATGATAATGAATAATCTGTGAATTGGATAACCGAACTAGCGAAACATAATGATGCTATGAAGGTGAAGTTGTGCTGACCTAGATATGGGATCAACATTAATTGGTCTTAAGGATAAGATATAATACGGCTATGTATTATTATACCGTATTTCCTCTATTAGACGCCCGGGCTTCTATTTATTTCGGACAAGCCTTTGACTCGGCGTCAATTAGAGGCCCGGCGTCTATTGGAGGCCCGGCTTCTATTAATACTCCCATTTCACTATGACCACGAATGTCCCGAATCGTCACGAAATGGAAATATTTTGTGTTCGTAGATATCCGTATCAATTGATCGACCCGGCGTCTATTGGAGGCCCGGCTTCTATTGTTTGCACTGAACAATTGACCCGGCTTCTATTAGAGGCCGGCGTCTATTAGAGGCCCGGTGTCTAATAGAGGAAATACGGTAAATATATTGATGGTATGACGACAACATTGCCATTCAATTATATATGTTACCCTGTAAATAAAAGCGACAAATGCCTTTCAATTGCCACGTGAAATCTCTGCTATAAGCAAAATCGAGTGTACGATTCCGATTTTATCGTTTAGCTACATCTTTATTCATAGTTTACAGCGTGACGCGTTAAGGATATTACGTAAAGAGGTATCTCTCATTTTGGTCGAAATTGTAAAACAGGATCAGCACTCCGGTGCTGGAGCTTGTTCAAGTACACCAGTACTTCAGGGACTCATGTGACGGTACCTGTCAGTCACAGAGCCTGTGATCTCATTAATCACCCGTGAAAAACCTGAAAGCACTAGGAGCAGGGGTTTGTTGTGAGACTATGTGTCTGGTTTGTGTCACCGACTCTGACCCCATGACATCCGCGAGAAGCAGAAAGTGTGTGAACAGTTGGTCGCCAGTAACCTATTACTCTTGAGTAGAATAATAACGCTTATGTAAGGAGAACGTCTATATCTACGTAAATCTCATTATGTTTGATCATAACATTGTCCAGTTTAAAATTGCTTCGCATAAGAAGTTGATAGAAACAGTACTGTGTTTGTTTCTTTATTTGTTTCATTGTTTGTTAGACGTCGCACTCTAATATTCCAATTATATGACGGCTTTCTGTGAATAATGGAGTCTGGATCACACAATCTAGTGATTGACATCCTGCGCATCGATCTACGCAATTGGGATACGATGACATTCATCAACCAAGTCAACGAGCCTGACCACCCGATCACGTAAGTCACCGTAGTCACCAGCATGGGTCCCTGAAGACCAATTATCATCCAAAACTGGCTCCCACGGAAGATATGGGCTGCATTGTAAAGCGCCAATCGATGTACAGCGATTCGCCTTACAACAGTGTGCTAACTTTCAGCCGCTTGCAAGCGAAACAATCGCTGGCTGAGGTCGCTTCGTTCTCAAACCAAAATGGCGCCTTGGACTTGGACCGCGGAACAAGAAATTCTTGACTGGGAAATGAACAAGGGCAGCTTTCACCCCATCATCCTCAGTCTGCCCCACGTCTTCAAAGTAGTCATAATTTTCATCAGTTCATCAACGAGCCTCTTCTATTACGTTCTTCATTAAGGCAACCAAGCGGTAGTATTTTGAAAGTGCGCAAGCTCTTCGAACTGTTGCAGACCCCGGATGAGCGATTAATTTGCTGACTCTAAGCGATTCGTGGCTTGCTACGCGCCCATGGTTTGGGTGAGATCAAGCGATATCGCTGCAATGAAATTGCATCACAATGCTTTGCAGACCCTTGTGACGTCATTGGTTGGTGATGTGAGTGGATGACGTTTTACACCGCAGTCAGCTACAATCCATCCAGCAATATCACGACGGCATGTAAATATTAGAGTGTCCAGACACACCAATGGCTAATAGCATTTGAAACTAACTATACATGACCAGTGACCAGTCAGACATGTAACAGTTGTTTTGTTTTTTGTTCAACGCCACACTCAGACGAAACGATCCAGTTATTAACTTCATGAGCATCGATCCAGGCAATTGGGATACTATGAAAAGCAACCAACTAAGTCCCCGAACCTGACCACCCGAATCCATTTTGTCGCCACTTACATCCAGCAGAGGTTGCTGGGAACCTATATTCTTTCCCAGCATCCCCACGGGTATCAGTCATGTGACCACCCGACATGTAACATGTGACCTGACCGCCGCCGTGGTCTGGTGGATAGAGCATCGGCCCGGAGAGGGGAAGGTCGGTGGTTCGATCCTCTGGCCGCTTCATACCAAAAGATGGTACTTGTTGTTAGCCTGCCTGGCGCTCGGCATTAATAGGGCATTATAAGGGAATAAAACACGGACTGATCGGCTCGGAGTCAGTATACTGGTTCTGAAGGGGTGTTCATGTTAAACTGCGGCATGGAATTCAGTGGGCTAGCACTTTAAACCGGCATTAGTCTGGACTAGTACAAGCAGCCTCACACACGTGCATGCACGTCGCTAAATAAGTGCAATAATCTCGAATGCTGTCTGATGCATCAATGACACCGATAATAATGATTACGATGATGAATACACTGCAATGCAGCCGTCTGAAAGTTAAATCTCGGGTGGTCAGGTTTGGTGACTTAGTTGGTTGCATTTCATCTTATCCCAATTGCTTGGATCGATCCTTATGATGTTAATAACTGGATAGTTTGGTCTGAGTGTGGCGTTATACAACTGTTACATGGCTGACTGTGTCATCTGTCCCCGATGGCATGTATAGTTAGTTTCAAATGCGTTTAGTCATTGGTCATCTTCCCGAGGCAGGAGAGTTAACTGACTCTAAAAGTCCAGTTCCCACCCTTGCCGAACTAGGCACCAGTGGTTATTATGAGTTTTGTCGCTTCTGAGCCTCTCCTATGGACCAATCCGATTCCATCACTTGCATTTGTTTCAAACAAAATGGTGGCGCCCAGTCAAGACGATCTGATCGATAATCAAGATCTATTTTGTGATAAAACGGGTCTTACATCGCGAAGTGCATCAAATCACGTGAGCACCTTGATTAAAAAGAAGAAAATAACTGTTGACGAGTTGGCGGTGCACATGCTTGTGTGTGTGTGTGCTTGTACTAGTCCGGACTAATGCCGATTAATAGTGCTAGTCCACTGAGATACCATGCCACAGTGTAACATGAAGTCCCCACTCAGATACAGTATACCGACTCCGACAACAGGTACCATCTTTTAACGTTTTTTGGTATCTCCGGGCATACGCTCTACCACCAGGCCACGGAGGCGGTCTATCATTATTAGAATGTGACCCTGTGTTACTGCATGTAAGTTACTTCGTCATCGCTATCAATGATACCTTAAAATCTGTAATTACTTTGAAGTAGAAACAGGGTAAGTAGGTACTTTTGATGGGTTTTGTTCACTTTTGAAACCAGAAACTAAAATCGTGCCAGTAGAAAAGTAGAACATTTCCTTGTTCCTCAGTATTATTATATATTGGCAAATTGATCGTTTAACAAGTGGGGCGGTCGGGTAGACTAGTGGTTGAGGCGTTCGCTCGACACGCCGGAGACCCAGGTTCGATTCCCGACATGGGTACAATGTGTGAAGCCAATTTCTGGTGTCCCCCGTCGTGATATTGCTGGAATATTGATAAAAGCGGCGTAAAACCATACTCACTCACTCACCCGTTTAACAAGAAAGGAAAACACACTCTGTCAGTTCTGAAATTGTTTTAAAACCGTGTATCTATTTGTTGCGTAGTAATTCAACTTTGTTGCAGTGTATTAATGTAGTATGTGAAGCATAGTATGTTATTTAAAAAAATGGAAACACCTTTGTCGGCATGCAAACAGGAGAAGATAATGAGTTTGGTCAGTACTTGATTTGCCACTTAACGATAGTTTTTATCAAAATAATTTCATCAAAATCTTCAGTCATATATCCTGGCGAGCGTCATTCGGCGTCTGTGTTGTCGCGAAGTCTTGGTTATATTTTCTCTATGCCCTCACAATACATGTCACATTGATAATCGTATATGCACATGTATACTTTTTTTCAGATGATATGCTTCGTGCAGTGATTGTAAAGGAGTCGTCAATTAGTTTTCGGGTGTAAAATAAATTCAATTTGTGCCCAAAGATATTTTGAAATAATGTATGAAGTCAATTATCGATTCGTAGGCATTTACAATATATATATAGTCAAGATTTCGTAATTCTTACTCTTGACAGCCTTTAAAGAACAAAACAGGGAACCTGAACTCAGATGTACGTCCTTCAGCTTCCGTTGGTAATTTGAAGCTAAAATTTACACAAGATATTTCAGCTGTTTCGTACACAGTTACATATGTAATAAACTACCGATACTACTCCATTGATAATATTGGACAGTATAGTTGTCGGAACTTTAGATTCACAAATTAAAACTTATTATGCAAAATCTTTACACAGAAATTTCATATGCAACCTACCCTTTATAAGCATCAGTTTAAACGCTTTAAATATCTCTATGTAACTTATATTCTTTTTTTTGTTTAACGCCGCACCCGATCCCGTTAGTCGCCGCTTACGACAAGCATAGTCGCCTTATACGGCAAGTATGGGTTGCTGAAGACCTATTCTACCCCGAATCATCGCGGATACTCTATGTAACGAAAAGTTTTCGAAATTACTTCAATACCGGGGGGGGGGGGGATAAACCCGCGATAGCATACAAACTTCAGGCTGAGACAGTGTGAACGCGTGAACGTGGAATCAACGATTACACTGTTTACCTTCACTACACTTCACAGCAAACCTGGTTAACTCCAGGTCTTGGGGTTATCGAGTTATACACTAGCGGAAAACCCATATGAAACCCATACCCCCGACACCTATTTTGTGGTCACGATGACTTTAAACAACGCTTTCATTGATTAAGAGTTTTCACTTTAATCCAGTTTTCGAAATTAAAGGGGTGGGAACTGGGGCTTGCACCCCCAAACTATCTAACTTCTACAATTGTTTTGTGACAATGACCCCCAGACTTTCTACCTAATTCACTTCACCCTCCAGGCTTCGCCACTAAAAATGTACAGCACATAAAACCAATGTTCATGAAAACAGATTTAATAAATTTGTAACATCGAAATATATTGCTTTCATAACAATTAACAAATGCACTTCCCCCAAAGTACATATCTGTTTCAAAGAATGCAATTCTTGATGCAGATTCTTCCCAGCATATTTGATTTCATGATGTTAAGTTTAACATGTAACAAACGTCATTTCACATCAATTTTCTTTTTTCAAGAATGCATATCTTGATACAGAATTTTCAGGGCTTCTTTGAATTCATGTAGCTCAGCCTCAATCTTCTCGATACGGTCAAGGCACATGTAGAGCTCCTGTAACTTCGCTTGAATGAGGTCTCCGATCTTCTCGTATCCTAAGAACATGTGTTGCTCCAGGCGATTACATGCACTTTCCATCTACAAAAATATCATATGTATGTCATGCCGATCATATTTGTTCCTTTGCAATTTCTGTTAAATTGTGTAATAAAGGACACTATTGTGTTTGTTTATTTGTTGTTTATTTGTTGTTTAACGCGTCTCATTCCAGAAATATGAGGGCCATCTGCAGGGATAATTCCTTGTGCTGTTAGCCCCTAAATCTGAAAAAAGGCCCACATTGTCAAATACAATGGGGCATTTTAACACTGTGTTGTGTGGGCGTACCTCTGGCATGTTTGAAATTTTTATGTAAAGTCCCCATGTCAGTAAATTCCTAGAGTCTGGACCAGACAATCCACTTATTGACATCATCCAGGCATAGGTCCAGACAACTGGGATACTATGACAGGCAATCAACCAAGTCGCCAAGTCACTTACCACAAGCATAGGTTACTGGGGACCTAATTCTTGAAACTGTGTATTAATGTTGTCAATTTCATTTCTTTAAATTGTATATACAAAATGATTGTTGTTTGTTCAATATGTGTAATATGACTGAATATGTGTGAAATAAATATATTATAAGTATAATTGTGTTCAGTGCCCTTCTCCAACTGGGCCACCCGTGCCCCCTTGTGAATGTGTGAAGATGAAGTCAATCAATTAAAATTAAAATAAACAAGACTACTGCAGTAAACATTCTTTGAAATTAACCTGCTCATGTAGGGCTTTCTTGAAGTCGGAAAGTAGTTGCGTGTCTTGTTTCCTCTTTGAGTTGAGATCATCCACAACATGCTGTGCGCTGGCATAGAGTGACTCCCGAGTGACATCACTAAGGGCGTTTACCTTAGTCGTCAGACACTGCTGTGGAACCGGCTTTACACAGCTCATGGCGGACGGCTCCAGTTCTGGGCTGATGAAAGACATACAGTGTTATAAAAACCTACTTGAGTATAATTTCGCCGTTTCTTACCACATCAGGACGCAATATTAGGATATTACCATGTCCTATCGAAAATATAATTTGCTTTAAAACTTTAAACAATTAAAAACAGACAATTCGCATAATACACAAATGCAGATAGATCTTGGTATCTTGGATTAATAAAAAAAAAATCGGAAAAAAAATACATTTCAAACATTGTTCAGTGGTTGCAAATTCATTTCTTAACCCATTCTTCATTGAAACAATTAATTTTTACTCAAAATTACCCAGCCACAGATAAATATTTCTAAACTGTCGAGGGGACCCAAAATCAGCGATGATTAAATAATCAAATAAATTAACGACTTCAAGTGTAAATTACATAAAAAACAAACTCGGTATACTTTCTTTTGCCCCTCAGTTGATGTTTCAGTGATACTCTCGGAAATTGTTCAATGTGTCTACGCTTTCATACATCTAATGTATTGCTCTTGATGTGACACAATACAGAGCAAGCATGTCAATATGTGTCAAATCGTACTATGGACGTCTACACTTTTTGTTCTGTCACTGTGCTGTACGACTGTATCTCTCGACTAGGGCTGGGACGGGTAACTCGGGTACTCGGAGCGGGTAGGTACTGAGTAGGACCCGGGTACCCACAGGACTACCCGGGCCCGTGGTTAGTCACGTGATATATTATTTCATGACAAAAATTCACAATACAACTACATGGTTACACGACAATTTTAATTCTCTAATGTTCGCATTTCTTCATGACTATGAACACGTTCCTTCTGACTTATATATGTTTGAACAAAGCTAAAACGTCAATCAACTTCAGTGTATGCATGACCACATCTTTTTATACGTATATCTAAATACATTCTGCTAGGGCTACTGTCAAACTATTCCCTATCAGACATTTTGTACCTATCTCTTGACACCAACAGTTGGTACCCGGGTAGGGTCGGGTAATAGGAGTGTTGGTACCCGGGTAGTAAAATTGGTCCCAGCCCTATTCTCGACCCGTGTTGTATGAAACTTATCCCTTGCGCGTTTCAATCCTATGTTACAATATCTTTGTACACATATAACTTATGTCTAATGAAAATAACAAAGAAAGTAACGTAGATTTTTACACACGTACTTCGTCTGCTGCAACTCCATGCTCCGTACTCTGACAAACTTCCGTTGAAAACGGTGTCCGGAGCTCAGGTTACCGTTCAGAGTTATTGCCCCTTAACTTACCGTCTTTACTCTGTAAAACTCATCGGCTATTGTACCGCGGGATTGGGGGTAAGTACCCTTTTTGATGACGTATACAATTGTCAAATATTGTGTTTTTAATCAGAAAAGCCTGGCTTAAAATGGCAATTGGGAAAAATAGATATACTTTGTGAAATCCACTTGGTAACATTCGTATGAAGTAGATGAAACTAAAGAGCGACCACGAGGCAATGAAATAAAAAACGATTTTGTGGACACAGTAGATAGAATAATAGTTTGTTCCCAATAGCCCTTCCCTTTAACGATCGTGCAAAGCAGGATTTTTCTCATTTCAAATGGGCCTAGAAACACAACAGAATATTTTCGAACCCTCCCGTCAACCGCTTATAGTTAAACTACCAGGGCACTATTGCCGATGCGACCCGGGGTAGAAAAGGTCTTCAGCAACCCATGCTTTCCGTAAAAGGCGACTATGCTTGTCGTAAGAAGCGATTAACGGGATCGGGTTGTCAGGCTCGCTGACTTGGTTTATGCATGTCATCGTATCCAAAATTGCGTAGATCGATGCTCATGATGTCAATCACTGGATTGTCTGGTCCAGACTCGATTATTTACAGACCGCCGTCTTATAGCTGGAATATTGCTGAGTGCGGCGTTAAACAACAAACATCATGCATACACGCTCTTTCATATTTTCGGAACCTTGTTTCGTATGTCAACGTCAAGAACTGAGAGATTTTATGTACGCCTCAGATGGATGATATTTTGATTTACACGACAATTCTTGTGTTTCTGTATGAAATATTACATTTACAACCCCTTATGTGAAAACAAATGTGATTCGTGCCTGATTGGAAACTCCTATGTAACACATATTACACACCTTTCTGATCTCGTACAATAATCGATGTTTACCAACAATTGAATCTGTGTTATAGATTGGTCCCCAGAACACTATTCTGGTCGTTAGAGGGGACATAATGCATCGGTTGGTCAGGCGCAGTATCTTAGTTGATGACGTGTCAAAGTACCCCGATTGCGTGGATAGTTGCTGACAGTATCAACCACTGTATTGCCTGGTCCAATAGTATTGTAGACGCCGCCTTACAGCTGACAATAGTGCTGAGTGCGGCGTTAAACAACAACACACACATTCGACAGTAGTAGTAGTAGTAGTAGTAATAGTAGTAGTAGTAGTAGTAGTAGTAGTAGTAGTAGTAGTAGTAGTAGTAGAAGTAGAAGTAGTAGTAGTAGGAGGAGGAGAAGTAGTGGGAGTGGCAGCAGAAGTAGTTGTACGGAGTGAGTGAGTGACTTCGGTTTTACGCCGCTTTTAGCAATATTCCAGCAATATCACGGCGGGGGACACCAGAAAAGGGCTTCACACATTGTACCCATGTCGGGAATCGAACCCGGGTCTTCGGCGTGACGAGCGAACGCTTTAACCACGAGGCTACCCGACCGCCCCTAGTTGTACGGAATAGCAGTAGTAGTTGTAGTTGTTGTATGTAAATTAGTAGTAGTAGTAGTTCGGCGTGACGAGCGAACGCTTTAACCACGAGGCTACCCGACCGCCCCTAGTTGTACGGAATAGCAGTAGTAGTTGTAGTTGTTGTATGTAAATTAGTAGTAGTAGTAGTAGTAGTAGTAGTTGTAGTAGTAGTAGTAGTAGAGTAGTAGTAGTAGTAGTAGTAGTGGTAGTGGCAGCAGAAGTAGTTGTACTGAATAGCAGTAGTAGTTGTATGTAAATTAGTAGTAGTAGTAGTAGTAGTAGTAGTAGTAGTAGTAGTAGTAGTAGTAGTAGTAGAAGTAGAAGCAGCAGTAGTGGTAGGGTTGAGTGATTAAGAGTATACAGTGATTTATTTTTGAGCGAACATTTATAAGACAACAACACAAGTGTGCATCAACATTCACTGATTCAAAGTATCACCCGATTAATATTGAGTGAGTAATTGTGACCGCTACAGCTATATATAATCAGTTTTGCTACTTAGTCCAACCACCGTAACTCGCTGTGAAGAGTTATCTCCCTTATATGTGCCTGGTCCCTGTGGTGGCGAGTTCGAATCCAAGATTCGTAACCCTTGGTCCATCGGAACCACGTCACCCTGGGTTCTCCTCCTTCATGCCAACTGGAGTACCTTTCAAAGCGGCCTTCAACCAACCTCCAGCAACATCCAGCAACCTCTTAAAACATCCAGGGGGCTCGGGTGGCCCAGTCGTCTAAGGCGCCGCGATTCGCTGTGCAGAGTTGCGTCCCTTAGGCACGCCAGAAACCTATGATTGTGGGTTCGAATCCCGGTTCGCCCCAATTATGTTTCTAGGTTTGTCAGCACCATACCCGTGCTCGTGGGTTTCACCAAAGTGGTAAACGTCTGAGACCTGCATCGCTTCGGGTTTTTCTCCCACATTAACCTGACACGCCGTGATATAACTGGAATACTGTTAAAAGCGGCATTAAACCCAACTCACTAACATGAACATCCATATTCACATTAAGTCCTTGTTTGTGAAATATTCAGCTTTGTAGACCCACAAGGCGATCGTAGCGCAACGACAGCCGTAAGTCTATGTTAAAGTATGGGAGTTGCGATAACCTTAGCGCTACGATAGTGGAACGGAGCGCTGCAGCCTTACAGCTGAGTAATTTGCTATTGACTGCCTCCACACCTGGCTGCCTCCTTTCAATGGATGACCTCTCGTACACCAGCCGGTCTTGCATTCTCATTGTGACGATATGGAGACTGGCTGTGAATACCTTATGTGCAACGCCACGTGATTGACAGCAATTACAAGGCAACCTATATATAGTTTAGAGTTTAATTTGAAGTCAAAACATGCAGTGTTCTGTAAAGTGTTATGGCGATAGAATCCGCCTGCAGGTCGTAATAGCACGTGGTTGACTGAGATGGCGAGTAGACGTGTGTGGAGATATAGACAAGTTATCATCGTCACTGGTTTGGCGGGAACGGTGTCACTGTTTGTTATTCTCGGAGCGACATTCGGTGAGTGTTTACGTTTAAGGACTGTGGGACGCATGTATGGATAGTTTAGTGAAGGCTTCGACAGAAGTCAGTACGAATCATTATTGAGCTATGTCGAATGATTGGCAGCCCTGACGATTTGATGAATGACTGTTGATGTAAGACGTGGATACATTTATATCAGTATATCACAGAAATTTTGAAATATTTAATAGAGGTCGAGAGACGACACGTTACTGTACCGAAAACATTACGTGGCGCGGCTGTTAGTTTCATATGCAAGTGGGCCACTGCGGCTTATTCTCATATTTCGCTGTATGTATACCTGTTTAAACCAGATCCAACGTGTAAGTGGAATAACATTACAATACAATACAATATAGTTTATTAAAGTCTCACCATTTGTACAGCAGGGGTTTAAATAAAGCATTTTAAATATCTAAAAACTTAAAAGTACAAATGCTACCCAAATGGGTTACGAGAGACTATATCTTACACAAATGTAAGTGCTTTATAAAATAATGTAAAATGAGATAAAATTATACATAATATTATAATCATAGTCACAGTTTAGGAATATAAATATTAAGAATGTAAATGATAAGATAAACAGTTAAATATATTGTTAAATTATACATAAAATAATTTTCTTCACATAAACATTTTGAAGCACATGCTTCCTAAAAGTGGTAAGTTACAATGGTTATTTAAAATGGTGATATCTACAGGTGTAGGATAGAACATATTCTTAAGATATGATGTACGAATATCGTCATAAATGGGACAGTGTAAAAGTAAGTGGGTTTCGTCTTCAACTTGGTCTGTACAATATTTACAAAAGCGTTGTGTAGCCGGGATAGGAGGGGAGCAGTATCGGCCCGTTACAATCTCCAGTTTTAGGGAACCACATCTCAGGGAAGCAAGTATGTGCCTCCTTATCCACGACCAGTCGGAGAGCTTTACAACTACCGTATTACCGGAAAGTTATAAACCTATTCATTGGGATCTCTATTAAGTAAGAGAGTTCTTTCTATAGGCATTAAAACCTATTAAGAGGTTTTACTTTCAAAGTAAAACCTATTAAGAGGTTTTACTTTTAAAGTAAAACCTATTATGAGGTTTTGTTTTCGTTCTGGAGGTTTTACTTTGAATGTAAAACCTCAAATCCCAGATTTCACCAAGTAACTGAAAAAATGACTACAAGTAGCAATTCAAAATTGTAATTCAATTAAAATTGAATGTCATGTGTACAGTGAATGAAGACTGGGTAACAAAATGAAAGTCGTCGTCGCTCATCTTTCCACTTCAGAGTCTCTGGTTAAAGGACAGCGAGGTTTCAAAACACGTGCTTTTAAACAAGTGCTTATCAATGCTGCACAATTTGCACGTGAAGTAACTGCTAGCCGTTACGTCACAACTACCTCTGCGTAACAGTTGGATTGTTTAAAGTCGTAAATCTTGTAAAGCAAAAGACACCTTTTAAATTTGCGAATTTTCGTTTTGAAAAGTTTAAAAGAACTTGAATATTGCAACACAAACATTTAGAGACCGAAGATTTCACTTTCATTTAAAAGTAAGTATTTTAGTTGTGTTTTGTTGTTGACACATCCAAGTGCTCTTGACCGCCTGGCAAGTCAGCGAATTTCACGTGCAAGTTATGATATCACGTCTTCAAGGAAGCGCTATAATGAAGCGCCTCATTTATAGATGCTCGTTATAACATTTAATCAATTTAGACGGTTTATAAGTATGGAAAAACACTTTCCCTCGGTTTTGGTAGACAGAGCATGCCCTGTTTTTCCCTCTCCCCAGGGCATGCTGTGTCTACCAAAACCTCGTGAGCATGTTTTCTCCAATCCATAATTACTGTTGCATTTGTGATTCGATTACTGGAGAGAAAAACTAAGCCCCGGCTGTCCCCGCAACTCTGATCCAAGTCACTTACAAAACACCAAGTCTTTGTTTTAGCAGTTACTCTAAAATCACAAAAAAACAATGACAGACCGCTCCGTGGTGTAGTGTACAGATCGCGTGACCGGTGGGGGGGGGGGAAGGTGTTTCCCTCCCCGGCGGTGACTTTAAAATGGAACTTGTTGTTTCCTGCTAGGGCTGGGACGGGTAACTCGGATACCCGGGTCGGGTGGGTACTGAGTAGGACCCAGGTACCCACGGGACTACCCGGATCCGTGGTAAGTCACGTGATATATTGTTTAGTGACAAAAAAAGTATCTAGAACTCTATGGTTACGCTACAAGTCACACATGTTCCTTCTAACTTTTCATATCTTTGAATAAAGATATAACTTCAGTCAACTTCAGAGTATGCATGACCAGATTGTTTAATACATGTATCTAAAGACGTTTTGCCAGTGCTATGGTAATAAAATGCCCAATCGGACAGTTTGTACCTATCTCCTGAGACCTACAGTGGGTACCCGGGTAAGGTCGGATAATGGGGGGGGGGGGGGGGGGGGGGGGGTACCCGGGTAGTACATTCGGACTCATCCTCGTCCTCGCCCAATTTCATGCTTGGTGCTCGGCATTGAGACAAAACAAAACAAGACAAAACAATAATTAATCTGCTCGGGGCAGTATAGCTTGGTATCTCAGCGAGCTTGCACAAAAGCATCGTTAGTCCGGCCTCACAGAGACACAAAGAGACACGCAAAGACACGCAGGTGCATGCACGTCGATATAATAAATGTGCGATAATCTCGAACGCGACGTTATCACCATTTCACCTCACCTCCACCTTCACACAGAACACTGATTTCTCCAAGGTCAAGTCTGGGCACTGTAGAACGTATGGTCATACCTGTCATACCTCCACACTATTTTGTACAGTTCTACGGGGCATGTGTAACAAATACAATTCATGATAACGGGACGTCTCTATATACTTATAAAGACATTATTAGTAATAGAAGTAGTAGTAGGAGGAGTAGTAGTAGTAGTAGTAGTAGTAGTAGTAGTAGTAGTAGTAGTATCGTCGTCGTCGTCGTTGTTGTTGTTGTTGTTGTTGTTGTTATTATTATTATTATTTTTTTAACTTCGTGTCCGTCATCTTTTCTCACATAAAGTGAACTAAATTTGTTTTTAATGCCTCACTATCTTCGTGGGTGTGTTGTGGAGATTCGCATATAATTTCAAGAAGCATCTGTTACTGCCCGACGTGAAGGAAGCTTTTTCTATTTTTCGAAATGATTCTGGAGCATAAATTTCTGTTTATCCTTTTTTTTTAATGAGTGTTTACGAAATCATTGTTGCAAGTTGCCCAAATCACGAGCACAAAAATTGTATTACCAAAGGCAAGTAACTGTAATTATATAATTGATTGACAATGGAAAATGTGGAACAGGGTGCTATGGACTATCTGGCTTTACGAAATGACCAATCAACCTGACTGTATGTACAACAGTTTGACTGTTTATTTTTTCTTCTAATCTGGATATACCAAAACAGCTCGGGACAAGTACAGAGTTGTGACAGCCACACCATCCTGTTGTCGTCACGGTGTCACGTACGGAGGATGGATGACGCCCCTTGAGGAGGGGGGATGTGTTCCCGATACCTCAGTACACACAGGTGTGTTACAGACACAGATGCCCACGCCATCTTGGACACGTGTGGACTTCTCGGACACTTTCCCCGTCGGAGATGGAGGGGGGTCAGTTATCTCCCCTTGGATACGCAAAATGTCAGCCATCATGTCCATGGACGTTCAATGTAATGAAACGTACGAATTAGGTAAGTTGAAATTCAACAGGCACCCATAACATTTGATTACATTGTCCAAATATGTTTTGTATTTCGAATAACAGGAAATATGCATAAATCAAATTGTTATTTTTTATTTCAATATTAACTTTTACTGAAACAGGTTGAAACGTTGACTATAAGTGTGTGGTTCCCTTGCAAATTATTCATAATTTAATGCCATACGATAAATATCGACGTATATCAAATGACCCGTGAAGATCCGGGGTAGAATTTATGTTCAGCAACCCATGCTTGCCGTAAAAGGCGACTGTGCTTGTCGTAAGATGCGACTAACGGGATCGGGTGGTCAGGCTCACTGACATGGATGATGCGTGTCATCGTATCCAATTGCATAGATCGATGCTCATGATGTCAGTCACTGGATTGACTGGTCCCGACTCGATTATTTACAGACCGCAGTCATATAGCTGGAATTTTGATGAGTGCGGCGTTTAACAACAAACATCATGCATACACGCTCTTTCATATTTTCGGAACCTCGTTTCGTATGTCAATGTCAAGAACTGAGAGATTTTATGTAAGCCTCAGATGGATGATATTTTGATTTGCAGGTGAAGCCCGGGTCCTATTATCGCATTGGGACGCGGCATAATTATTGCTCCACGGCTTAAAAGAATACTCACTCACATAATTGTTTTATGTTACTGTACAGGCCACCACCCATCACTCACAATGGATGTCCGTCTAGGCTACCAAAACAGGGGAGACTACACAACGCAATGGACCCAGCTTGCCTACAGGACAATCTCACGCCAACTCGATTGTCGACTTAAACATGCCCGTGTAAGCGCCCTAGGTTCACTTAATACATCTTCCCGAGGCAATAAAGTTCACTGACTTTAAAATTGCAGTTTCCACCCTTGCCGAACTAGGCTGGAATTACTGGGCTCGATCGTAGCACCACCAGTGGCTATTACGAGTTATGTCCGTTTTAAGCCTCTCCTATGGATCAATCAGATTCCACCTCTCGTATCACTTGCGTTTGGTTCACACAAAATGTCGGCGCCCGGTCAAATGTTAAAATCATTCAAATTTAATCCTAAATTTAGTTTATTTTAGAAGGAGCGAAGAGTTTCAAGGTAAATTGATTGATGTATTGGGGAAATCTGGTCACCTAGAGTATATATTTCACTGTTAGGTGGATGAGAGATGGGATTGACACACTGATTTTGGCCTCATTCAACAAAGTTTTGTTTGTGTGTTGTCGTTTAACGCCGTACTCAGCAATATTCCAGCTATATAACGGCGGTCTGTAAATATTCGAGTCTGAACCAGACATTCCAGTGATTGACATCATGAGCAACGATCCACGTAATTGGAATACAAGCATAGTCGCCTCTTACGACCTGTAATGTAGTTAACTAAATACAACCAATACTCTTACTTACAATTCCTCGCCCATTACTAGGTCCGTCATGGCAAGCAGTACGAGTGTCAGTTACTTCCCTTGTTTGAGATGTATGACGTGAGGCACAACGTCTACATCATCAACATCAGGCTGAACAACACCTTCAGCAACGCCGTCATCCAACCTGAAGATGTACATCAGCTACAGCTAATAGTGAGTCCTGTTACTACTTCAGCATTACTCGTCGTCATTATCATCATCATCATTATCATTATCATTATTATTTGTATTTGCCATTACCGAAGGTCCCTTAAAATCTCAGCTGACCGATTCTTCTGTCAAAGACGTCAGGAACAGACAGTAACAGTAACACAACATTAAATGCCTAGAACATTGCATTACCCGCTAACCAATGGCTAGTGAAATGTATAATAGCTGTAGGGGTAGAGCGGGTGGCTATTTTCTCTGGCTAGTTGCGTCTCACAGAAAACTAAATGTTACCACCTGTGTGATGAGATGATGACGCTGCAGTCTGTAGATACCTTGCAGGTCGGTTTCCTCGTCCTATAGTATAATTCGAGTTAAAAGAGTTCGAGTTAACGAGGTGTCAGTGAGTTGTGCTTTTTACAACACTGTGTGTACTCGTCGAGGCGCTGGAGTAGCCCAGTGGTTAAAACGTCCTCTCGTCATGCCGTAGGCCCGGGTTCGATTCCCCGCATGGGTACATTGTGTTAAGCCCATTTCTAGTGTCCCCCGACGTGGTATTACTGACACATTGCAAAAATCGGTTTAAAACCCAACTCACTCGCTCACAGTATGTACTAAATGTCACAATCAATTGATCAGCAAACACTTCTTTTTACCAATTTCCTCTAGAAAATACATAAATAGATACGGGTTAGGTATTGTTTCTATACAATGTATCATAGCGCTCATGGTTCGCGAATCTTTCGTGTAACTTTAAAGGTGCAATAGTCCAGACTCCCTTCGTAGCTCCTTGTGATAGACATGCTTTGCTTCAGACGATACTCGACAACCCTGACTTCACCAAGACGTTTCTGTACATGAAGTCGTGCATGATGGTGCTGATGCTTGTAGTCACGGTCGCCTGCTTCAGAAAAATGACAAGCAACTTCACAGACATCCTCCTGAATAGGTTTTTAACACAATTATTCCACTAACTGATCAGTCACGCCTTGAGATTAATGAGTAAGAAATATATTGCAAGTGATTCCGTGATATTTGATTGGCTAGCCAAAGAGCTCTTTTGCGTTTGTTTCCACAAACCGACAAAAATAAAACACGTACACAAACGTACCAGTGTTTCCTAACCGTCTGGACCCGTGAAGATCCGGGGTAGAAAAGGTCTTCAGCAACCCATGTTTGCCGCAAAAGGCGACTAAGCTTGTCGCTCACTCCTAACTGGCTCGCAACACAATGGGAGTGTCTTGTGTTATTTATATAGAACAATGACGGGGTTTTTGCGTTAAACGGAGTTATAAACGTTAAAACCACTTTCCATAAATCCGCTTCTCATATCTCCTTCGCTTTTACTGTTACATTTCCATAAGCGTAAAAGAATATTGAAGTCAATTCTAAATAAAGATTACATGATTTAGGTTATCAAAAATTATTTTTTAGGACAATTGTGGCAGTTGGGGTGATTCAGGTCATATATAACATACCAACTGCATGGTTGACGACATTACCTTTCACCTACATCATCAACGACATTTTGGAAGTCGGGCTACTATTCGCCATCTTGTTACACGGCTCAGCTCTTGTTAGCGGTGACAAAACAGATCTCAAAGCGAGGCTGAAGATTAACCGGAAACTGCTGAGTGTCGTCTGCCTCATTTCTTTGTTGATGGTGCTGTATAGAGTTGTAATGAGGTTTGACTGGTTTTGTTATTCGTCTTCGTTTTTTAAGAAGCAAATACATAATTATCAACATTTTAATTTTAGCGCTATAGTTTATTAGTTTATTAGAGTTCGCTTTTCAGTCTAAAGAATCGGTTCATTTCCCCAGATTCCTGCAAATTTATGTGTAAATATTGTGAATCAGCTTAAATCCGGAAATACATGCTCACTAATTCACGATGACTGGGTCATTGTCTAACAAATAGAAAAGTCAATATGCTACAAAACAAAAATTGTAAAATATCGTGTGCATTCATTCTTAGAACAAAGTCTTTGAGTGACCCCTTGTCATCCATGTGGACAACTGTCTTGGCGAAGCAGATGGCGGTGTCTCTCCTCATCCTCATCAGTTTCTGGTTGACGTTGGTGCTGATATACTTGACGTGGGTGGCCACGGTCGACAGCCCTTCCCACAGACATGGCCAGATGCACAATAGGAACAATTTAGTATGTATACCGTACGGGAGTTTACTGAAACCAGGGTATGAAACTCCCAAAAATTTCAGCCAGACCACAGGACTGGCTAGCTGAAATACTTGCCAGCCCTGACCAAAACCTGCCTGCCCACTATAATCATATGTTTCTCAGGATAAGCTAACGGGGTTTCTTTTTGGTTACATTTTATCATTCATCTTTACATGTGAATTAATGCTTATCATCGGGAAATATTTAGAATATTTTCACATATGAAATATAACCCGACCGTCGGGCAGGGGGATTTGCAAATCTGGCAGCCCGAGTTGAAATCAACCCGTCTCGGACGGTCGGGCAGGCAGGTATTTCGAACACTGAGTGAAACACCGTGGTATTAGTCATATTTCCAAGAATCCCGAGGTATTCAGATACCACAGTTAATAACAGTATCTCACAAATATCATTCAACCTTGGGGATAGCGAAATCGTTACAAAGATCCCTAGTGCCTAGTTATTTTTTTAGGTATAAAACAACATTCCAAATTGTTCTGGTTCTTGCTATTAAGTTATCATCACAATTCAATAATGTGGGTATATGTAATAGTTTATAAAATATGTCTCACTGAGAGGAATACGAAAACATGTTGTACATGAATTGTCACTTTAATACATACGTTTATGTCATATGTTACTAAATTACACAAAAGTCTTAAGTCCTAATGACTGTCACAACTTACTTAATGTCAAGCAGCGTTAAGGAATTCAAGGAGTCTTCAATCCCGCTATGAACTGGTCCCTTAGTCTGGACAACCTCTGGCCCCTCTCATGTCCTCTTACGAGTTGTGTCTGTGGGTGTGGGGGTTGGGTGTGGGGTTGGGGGTTGGGTGTGGGGGTGGGTGGGGTCATGTGACGACTCAATATTCGAGGTCAATGTCAGTCACATGATTAGGGACTCTATATTGAATTGCATTGGTTCGTTACGTGGAACGGATTAACCAGTGGAATTGCAAGATTCTTAATAGCGGCATAACGAAAGAAAATATGGACTGTCAGGTACATTTACGGTCTTATACGTGCATTGGTTCGTCACGTGGTACGGATTAACCAATGGAATTGAAAGATTCTTAATAGCGGTATAACGAAAGTTAAATATGGACTGTCAGATACATTTTTGTTCGTTTTCGGGGGATCTTACAAACATTACTTACAGATTGGCCAAGAAGTTGGCGCTTTTTGAAGACGAATACAGTATATCTCCCACACCGATTCTGTGTAAGATACATATTTTTTCTTGCCGTAGATGCTGGGATACCGTCGTCACGTCTATGCTGTTGCTGTATGTTCGGCGTTGGTGTTGTCGTCCATCGTCGTCCATGACGTTGGCGATGGGATATACAGATGGGGAAGTGATCTCAGCACAGACAACACTGGAGTGGTATTAATTGGTAAGACTAATTCCCCACAGCGGTGTTGGGGTAGCCCAGCGGTTACAGTGTTGCCCCGGCGCGGTTCGATTCCCCTCATTAGTACAATGTGTGAAGCCAATACATTATGCACGCCAACATGATATTATTGGGGAAAAAAGCCCAGACATGAAATACAAAGAATTATCACTGTATTGTCTGGTGGCCCAACCTCGATTACGTACAACCCGCAGTGAAAACACTTCAATATTGCTGCGGCGGACTTCAACATGTACTCAGTCTTGAATCGTAAAACGATGGAATTATTTCAATAAGGTTGCAAAATATAATAATAATAAGTGCATTTATAATGCGCCAGATTCCATTCACCAAGTGCTCATAGCGCTACACTATTACTACCCAGGTCAATGGATCAGTGAGCACTCGATTTTCATTCTCATCTCCCTGGGGAGTATTCAACCAAAGCCGCCTGTGAGGAGCTAGTAGGTTAACAGCCACATTACCATCTCATCCTACCGGGTACCCACTCACTGCTGGGTGAACAGAGGCACATTTCGAACAAAGTCACTTGTCTAAGGAGACACCACATGTAGTACATGTGCTTCAGTGTGGGGCAGGACCGAGGCCCTAGAAACTCCCAGGAGTGGTCACCCATCCAACGACTCTCCGAGACGTTGCCTAACTTCACCTGATTTGTGATCTGTGCGCTGTGCACAGGACCACGTGTCACCACCATATGAGTGACTTATTTGGGTCCAACGCACGTAATCAATGTGCACAAGGCTTTGACAACGAAGGGTTTTGGTATTCGAACCAACCATAAGCCGATCCTGGCACAGATAAGGGACTCAACTTTACACAGCTACTAGATTTTATGGGAAGCAAAGTCTCCATTGTGCTTTTCACCCAAAGAACATGTCTCCAAGAGTTTGAGTTGTTTTGCTAATTAAATCCATCTGTATATACCATCTTCCCGAGGCAAGAGAGTTAACTGACTATAAAAGTCCAGTTTCCATCCTTGCCGAACTAGGCTGGTATTATGGAGTTAAATTTTGGCTGGACTAACGGGTCTTTGCATAGTCCAATCAAAATCGCGCAACGAAATCGAAATCTGGTTCGTAAAACCGTCGTGCAGATTTCGGTCGATTGCAGGATTTACAAAGCATGTGCACCGCGAACTCGTTGTCAACAGATCTTTTTCAAATCTTTTCATGTTTTTAATCAAGATGCTCGCGTGATTTGATGCACTTCGCGATGTAAGACCCGTTTTATTACAATATAGATCTTGATTATCGATCAGATCGTCTTGGCTTGGCGCCGCCATTTTGTCTGAAGCAAATGCATGTTATACGAGAGGTGAAATCTGATTGGTCCATAGGAGAGGCAGAAGGGACATAATTCGTAATAGCCACTGGTGGCGCTACGATCGATTCCAGGAATTCCAGCCTAGTTCGGCAAGGGTGGAAACTTAACTTTTAAAGTCATTATTCATTATTCAGTATTACTCATTATTTTGCGATACAGTTTTCAGTATTATTTCCGGATCCATGGTAGAGTAGGTCTTCAGCAACTCATTCTTGCCGTAAAAAGTGAGACGTTAAACCACAAGCAAAACTTATTATTTCAATTTCATTACCAACAAAGGCCTGACATAGTTATTTTAACTGTCAAAGTCAGTCGAAGCGTGTAATGTATTACCATGCAGTATCATACACTTATAAAGATTCAAGGACGTCAAGCTGTGTCTTGTTAACACTATGCGGAATGTATATGTTTCAGGCCTGTATGGGTGCATCAACGTCAACACAGCATGGATACTACTGACGTTCTGCATGCCTCCACAGTGTGACCAGTCCAAGAGCACTGTGGTCTACACAACTGACGCTGGTCAGGTTGACATCCAGACGTTCAGGAGTGAGACGGGCGGGACGCAGAGAGAGGTTGATGTTGAGGGACTGGAGGAAAACCGCGTCCTTGTTTGTGGTGTTGATGCTGACTATCTTCTTGACCCGACAATCACGACCTTGCATGATTGATTAGGAACAGAGAAACTGCCTAAAACAGTTGCCAAAATGATATACATCGAATGGATTTCCGTTTCGGAAGATCCAGTGTGGATTTGTTGCTGAGTATGAAGGAATTTGGATGGTGATCTTCCCCGCTCAGCCTTGGCCATCTTCCCGAGGCAACATGTCCACTAGCCTATATCAAAGCCTAGTTTCTACCCTTGCCACATCAAGGCCACTTTTCTTGGCTCGACCCTGGCGCCACCTCGCGTAGATCTCGAGTTGTACCACTTGTAATGAAAACGCGATATACATTCAGATCGCTGTTCTCAGGGGACCCAGTCGTCTAAGGTGCCGCGATTCGCTGTGTAGAGTTGCGTCCATTGGGCGCGCCAGAAACCTATGATTGTGGGTTCGAATCCCGGTTCGTCCCTATTATGTTTCTAGGTTTGTCAGCACCATACCCATGCTCGTGGGTTTCACCGACGTGGTAAACGTCTGAGACCTGCATCACTTCGAGCTTTCCTCCCACATTATGCTGACACGCGGCGTTATAACTACAATACTGTAAAAAGCGGCGTACCCAACTCACTCACTCACTCATATTTCGTATAGCTGGCGACCACAATAGGCGACGACCAAGTCGTTCAGACAACGAAAACATTCGCGATTTCATCATGGACACAAAAACATAGGCAATCACTTTCACACGAAGGTGTACCATTCGTCACCACTCGCCCCTTTCCGTAACCTGCAAGAAGACTCGTCCCCCCTATCGATGAATGTTTGTGCGCAAATACGACAAACCAATCAGAATGCAGTATGATTCCAAGGTCTTGGTCAAAGAATCCCTCTGATACAATTTTTGATTTTACATATGTCTTGCATTCTAAAATATACCCAAGACACATTTAAATGTGTTCAATCATACTGTATAATTACGGATGTTCCGATGTGCTTTAAATTGCATCTGAAATATATATAATATATGGGAAATATATGTGAACCATTACGCAAAGAGTTGACAATTGTTTTAGGTATGCCCGTTTGCTCTAAGACGGAACCCGGTCGCAAAAATGGCCACGAGAGGGGCACGAGTCGCTATTCGGCTTGTCCCGAAAGAACACGAGTTGGTCACGAATGGAAGGTGTACCAGTCGTGGATGTTGATTTTGTGAAACGTTCTCTGATTGGACTATAGATATGTGCGATAGTCCAATCACATTTAGCACAGGAAAGTGGGCTTGATGTGGCAGGGGTGAAAACAAGACTGATTAAAAAGGATAGTGGATGTTCTTGCCTCGTGAAGACGAGCCTCGACATACCAGGGTACTTACAGGGTACGACCAGGTACAGCTGTGATGCTACCATGTAAAACAGCATTTACTCACTCACTCACTCACTCACTCAGCCATGAAGTATATAAAGACACGGGTATATTTGAAGTTTTGATTTAACAATGAAATCATATCCCATTTTTCATTAACCACGCAGATTCATGTGACAGAGGTAAAGTGAAGGTCGGGGTTCATATCCAGAGAAAGGCAGGTCGTTGAAGGGTCAGAGTTCACAAAATATCAAGGTTTTTTGGCAAAGAAAGGTCAGGATCTGTATATAAATGTCAGGGTCCAAAGTGGAAGAGCCTGTACTGGTTTGAGAAAGGTTGGGGTCTACAAGGGCTCAGGATTATTTGAGCGAGGGAATGGTCAGGATATGTACAGGCTAAAAACAGGTCAAGGTCAGTTAGGGCCTGGGGCGTTTGGGTGTGAGAAAGGGCAGGGTATGTAATTGTATGGCCGCCAAGTCGTCTCCTGCCCGACTCAAAAATATTCCAATTAAGTTTTCATACCCAACCACTCGCCCGCCTGAACACATGGCATCACTTTTTTTAAAAACGAATGAATTTCCGGTTTCGTAAAACAAATCCTTACTAAATTGTATTGGTAGGATATTCGAAAATGTGACTCTGTCTAAAGCTTCGTTCCGTCCGTCTTGTAAGCTCTTTTCTCATCTTTTTTAAGCTCTCAAAACTAATTTCCCTTCACCGTTGCACTTCAATATAGCTCCTGAAGGCCATCTTCCTGAGGCAAGGGAGTTAACTGACTGTAGATGCCGGAAACTGGATCTTTATAATCAGTTAACTCCCTTGCCTCGGGAAGACGCTGAAGGTCTACGTAAACAGTCATGTATACTGCTGTACACCCATACAAAACTTAGCACAACAAGAGGTTAGATACTCACATAAACTTTACTAAACCTCAGTCCAATCCCAAATTCACAAGTAACTGGACAGGGCAAGCTCTTTAAAGAATGGACAACCGGAAGTGACCGAGGATCGACTCGATCTCAAGATCTCGGAGCACTACTTGCTTAACCATGAGAAGTTATTTTCAAGGTGTTCAAGCCCGGCCTGCCCGTCTCGTGCTCTGAGATTCCATTTTTATAAGAAAACAATATGTGAAATGCTGGACTTCCTCATAGATAACATCTACGTAAGATTTGGAGGTAAGACATTTAGACAAGAAGTATGCATCCCACGGGTGCCAATTGTGCTCCCATTCTTGTGGATCTGTTTCTTTATGCATATGACTGGGAAATTCTGCTTGGATTGGCGAAGTCAAAAGCAGTTAATTTGGCAAAGAAGCAGCCCTAAAATTATCGTAAAGTTATCGTAAGGAAGCCTATTTTCGGAACTATCGTAGCCTTAAGATATCGTAAGATTGTCATAAATCTAAGATAGCCCCATACCTGTCGTAAGTTTATTTTATCCTCATCCAAGATGGCGGCATACTTTGCCAAACAATTAGTCTGCTTTACGTTCAAACATTGACATTTCATTTTGTTAAACTGTGTGATTCGAATTGACACTTCGAAAACACGAAGAACGTATCAATGATTCCACGTCAGAAATGTTCTTAATCGCGACAGAGATCCACATAACTATGAAGTCGATAGCTTAAAATATATTTCTATCCAAGTCCATGCTGAAGAAGTGTGAAACAACATACCTTTTCGATAACTTGGGAAGGATAAATATGAAAGGTGTCGGCAGCCTATGGTAATGTTGTTATTGTCAGCGGCTGGGAAATCCCCGTGACGTCATTGGGAAACACCACGTTTTTTTCAATCTCTAACACACATGAGTTTTCTGTCCGAGTTACGATAGTATCGTATCTTTGTGCGATCTGCGGCAGGTTTACGTTAGTTGCGAAAATCTATCTTATCTTAACCTTAAGATATCTTATCTTGGAACGTAAGTTGTTAAGATTTATCTTAGCTAAGATCGTTTTCGAAAATCTAGGCCCAGGAATATCGACGATCTGATATCTGATAACAATCAAATAGCCAATTTACCCACCTGAACTAGAAATAAAGGAGACCAGTGAGACCGCCTCATCTGTTTGTTTCATATTTAGATCTATGCATAAAGATTCAAAGTGACAAAACACTTTCCACGTGACTCTATGACAAGAGGGATAACGTCAACTTTATACATTTCACAACTTTTCAGATACAACCGAGCATGCTCTCTCTCTCTCTCTCTCTCTCTCTCTCTCTCTCTCTCACACACACACACACACACACACACACACACACACACACACACACACACACACAAAAGCAAGTGTAGCCAGCTCTAGTTTGCTCGATTCCACATCAGCATCAGAATAATTTTGTTTTGTTTTAATTTTAGAGGAGAGAAGAGTATTGTGTAATATAAGACATCATAGACTAAATGTTGGTCTATGGTCAATTCTGTGTGCACGAAGTCATGGCTACAGCTGACAGGATCTAATTGGGTTTTTTTTGTGCTTGTTTACTCAGAGGTCAATCTCGGTTTCTCAGTGAGCCTCGTGAAGGGAATATATCATATTGGCATTACAGCACACCATCGCCTTAAACACATCTGTTTGTGTTTTTTGTTTTGTTTGTTTGTTTGTTTGTTTGTTGTTTAACGCAACACTCAGCAGTATCCCAGATATATGACGGCGGTCTGTAAATAATCGAGTTTGGACCAGACAATCCAGTGATTCACATCATGAGCATCGATCCGATGACATGCATCAACCAAGTCAGCGAGCCTGACCACCCGATCCCGTTAGTCGGCTCTAACGACATGCATAGTCGCCTTTTACGGCAAGCATGGGTTGCTGAGGATGTATTGTAACGGGTCCTTAAACAGGTAGCTCCATTCGTTGCGCTGCGTTACGGTTAAGCGTGCCTAAAACCTATGGTCGTGGGTTCGAATCCCATATTTGCCCTGATTATGTTTCCAGATTTGTCAACACCACATGGGTTTTACCAAAGTGGTAAATGTCTAAGATTTTGTTTGTTTGTTGTTTAACGCCGCACTCAGCAATATTCCATCTATATGACGCCGGTCTGTAAATAATCGAGTTTGGACCAGACAATCCAGTGATTGACATCATGAGCATCGATCTACGCAATTGGGATACGATGACATGCATCAACCAAGTCAGCGAGCCTGACCACCCGATCTCGTTAGTCGCCTCGTACAAGCATAGTCGCCTTTTATGGCAAGCGTGGGTTGCTGAAGACCTATTCTACCCCGGATCTTCACGGGTCTGAATATCTAAGACCTGTATTACTTCGGGCTTTCCTCCGGAATCAAGCTGACACAGCTCAAAGCCGCGTTAAACCAATCTCTCGAACTTTACACATATCAACAGATTCGTTAACGCGTAATGTAATTATCTCAGGTGCGCGTGATGCAACTTGACGCCGACTGTAGATATGTACAGCAGCAGGTTGGGACGACATGTGGCGTCATGATGACGCCCACGTGTCACCTAAGTCTCCAGACAGGCATTCTGTTGCAAACACATGTTAGCGTATTGCCGACCCGATGTAGTCGGTGGTAGATATAAACCGAACACGCAAAAGGACACACCACTTTTAGAAAACCTTAGCTCAACCAAATTCCATACGGTTAGGATTTCCCCAACAGGGCAAGCATAGAAATTACGAACGAAGACGTTAATGTTATGTTATGTCATTATAAACATCATCTTTTGTACTTTCTAGGCTCGCCATATTTATACACACACACACACACACACACACACACACATACCCATAGAAGAAAAATATTGATTGTAAATACAATTTTTCTGATATGCACTTATACCATCTACAATGTTTGTTAACGTAAGCGCCCAAACACACCAATTTTCGTGCACAAGGGCATTTTATTGTTTCTTTCATCATAGTGAGCACAATTTTCACTTGGCCTATGCTAAAGGCCTCATGCACGTGCAATTCATGGAAAGAGCAGTAGAAGTATGGGTTTATAAAAGCACGTGTTGATTAGCGATTCACTCTATCATTTTCACCGAAAGACAAGGTCGAATATGCCACGGTTGAGTGCTGCAGATCGAAATATCGCCATTGGTCGTATTGAGGCCGGACAAAGATTTGGAAACGTTGCCCGGCACCTCAATGTTCATAAAACAACGATTTCCCGACTTTGGAGCCGATACACCCAGTTTCATGCAACTGAAGATCGCCCCAGAAGTGGTTGGCCAAGGGTTACCACACCACCTCAGGATCGATTCATCCGGGTCACCCACCTACGTAATCGGCTAGCCACACCTACCGTCACTGCAACACAGGTGCCAGGTTTGAGAAGAGTGTCCGCACAAACAATTAGGAACCGTCTACCAGAGGCCGGTCTACGTGCAAGAAGACCACTTATTGGACCTGTTTTACGCTACCAACATCGACGCCAAAGACTCAGGTGGTGCACCAACGTTCGGATATGGACCCTAAGAAACTGGAGGCGCGTCTGGTTTAGTGACGAATCACGTTTTCTCTTACAACGCCGTGACGGAAGACAGCGTGTCTATAGAAGAGGAAACGAACGTTTTGCCCCGAACTGTGTTCGGCAGGTCGACAGATTTGGAGAAGGGAGCGTCATGGTGTGGGGAGCCATGTCTTTCAACCAAAGATCAGACTTGGTGATCATTCGTGGCAATTTGACAGCCCAGCGCTATATCAATGATGTCTTACAGCCTCATCTTCTGCCGATTATCGACCAACAGAGGGAGCACTATCAACACGTCAACGCCCGGCCGCACACTGCTCATGCAACAGTGAATTTTCTCCAGAATTATAACGTCAACGTGTTACCATGGCCCTCCCGATCACCAGACATCAACCCAATCGAACATCCTTGGGATTATCTGGACCGACGAGTACGTGCACGTACACCGCCGCCGCAGACGTTGGATGCACTAGCCGTTGCACTGCAGGAGTGGAGAGCAATCCCTCAGGAAAGAATCCGGCGTCTAATCCGTTCTGTTCCTAGGAGGTGTAATGCTGTGATCGTGGCGCTCATACGAGGTACTGAGAAAGATGCCCCATAGCGTCAAGTCAATCTTATTGAGAGAACTGTCGAAGTCTGGACTTAAACTTGCATAACTGTACTGCCACCATGCCAAATTTCATATTGTTGTCTTCAATAATAAATGTGTTATAATAACTTGAATATTGAGATAAACATCTTAAAAATATAGTGGTTGCGTTTCTTTTTTGAGAGAGTGTACATACATACATACATACATACATACATACATACATACATACATACATACATGATTACCGAATAAATAAGTGGAGTAAAATTGAACACAGAATAACAAAACAAAAAAAACAAGTCCAGCCAGCTATATGAATTCATCATCAGGAAAAAAACTACATTGCAAATGATTTGCATTTTGTAATTAAATATTTCCTAGACGATTCTAAGTCTACAAGCCCTGATCTGGTAAGGCCGCCATGTTGCCCCGGGCACTGCAGGCGGAGGTAATCTGGCGACTGGAAGTGTCTAGAAGATGTTGTTTCACGGAAAGGTTTTCTTTGATGTGCATAATGAACCTGTCGGTTACTCTCCGCGGAGCCAGGTTAACGGTGTGATCGAAGATGCAAAAGATGAATAAATGATGTTCTCCCTTCCTTCACTCTCTCGATGAAATGTGTTGGAGATTTTAGTTTTTCATCCAAATCGTATGTTGTTTCAAGATATGAATACACAATGCCTTTTATGGTGCCTCACTCTGAGAGTGTTGGTTCGAATCCTGCATGGGACTCACCCCCCCCCCCCCCCCCCTAAAAAAAAAGAGTACTAAAATGTGCACTTTACCAAGAAAGTGTTATCTCAAATATAACATTTGTTATTTCAAGGTGTCAATATAAATCATTGCATGCTCAAGGGTGATTTGGAGAATGTTTTGTGTGGATTATATTTATTACAGCTGCAGACAGAATGGTACATATCATTTATATTTTGAGTGAATTCAAAAATAAGGGAGGACTAATTCCTTCGTGTTCATAATAATTTACTGTATGAAAAGGTATTTGAGAAAAACATTTGGCAAGAAATCGCAGCATCCATAGTGTGAGAAAATGTAATAACTGGCAGAACTGACTGTATTGAGTCTCAGCAAAACGTGATTTTGTGAAAAGATGCACAAAAAATCCGAAATACTGAAATTGTGGAACGAAGTATTGAATCTTTCACTGGCGTTATAAATTCAAATTTTAAAACATCGAGCGTGTTTTTATGTCTTTTTCAGTGTGTTGGCTAACAAATATGTATGTTTGTATGTATGTGTGTAATATATGTAATTTAGATATTTGTGGCACGTCCAACATCATAAGGCTGCCGTTGGTTCATGCTTGTGCGTATTGTGTCCAGTGACAAAGTAGACACAATTTATAGAAAACAACTTTCTTGTTTTACGTCGTGTCTAGTGGTAGTCTAATAAATGCCAGACAGTTAAGTTATCTCCCTTAGTTTCCAGACGGGCAATAGATGGCGCGCACATCAAAGGGTTTGGAGGATTGCCGATTGACACATTATTCAGAAAGTTATTGTCAAAATGGCCGGGGTGGTCTTAGAAAACTTGAGCAATAGAAAACTTTCGATACTTGGAGTGTCGCTTTTGTTGGTCCTTGTGGGGTTTTTCCTGATCGGAGGAATCATAGGTAAGAATGTGACTGATGAGCACGTTACTGCAGTGTGCTTTTGTTTATCTTTTTGCGAGGTTGTTTTGATTTGCAATCCTCACTAGCAGACAGACACTCATCATGGCTGTTGGACGCAGGTTCACCCAGTACAGTCTTTGTCCAAGGAATCGTACAAATTGGGTGACAGGGTTGATCATGTGGATGTTGAGACTGATCGGGACACTTAGGCACTAAAATACTAGCGCTGAAAATGATTTTGATACGACAATGAGTCTAAGCAACTTGATTTATCCATTTAAATTGCAGAGCCCCAGTGAGATGGGAGATATGCTACCTGTACCTGCTGGAATTCTAGACTTGCTTCATGTATGTCATTTATAGCATAACAGTAAGGGCTGGGCGGAAGGGAATATAATGTTTCAGGGACTGTGAGACGGACTAGGGTAACTGTAGGCAGTCGTGTTGTTATGGGATGTGACTCGAGAATTATACAGACGTTCTAAATCAGAATTGATGTTTTGACAAGCCTGTAGTTTACCCTTCCGTGCTATTTAGCGAATTGGATCCAACTCACCAGTGTCTCACAGTTCACTGGAGGCCCATTCATCCCATCTCTGATCAGACCCTGGAAGATCCCGGTTAGAATTGATCTTCAGCATTCCATGCTTGTCGTAAGATGCGACTAATGGAATCGGATGGTCACACTCGTTGACATGGCTAATGCAAGTCGTCGAATCCCAATTGCATAGATCAATGCTCATGATGTGTGATCACAGGATTGTCTTGTCCAGACATGATTATTTACAGTTCGCCAGTGTTAATCAACAAAGAGACAAACAAAATCCCTGATCAACAGCTGACTAGGGTTATCCTGGGTTAGGCCTCTGGGATTCAACTACTGCACAATATTTCTTCTGTTAGGCCAATCACTTTGCATATTTAACTGAGCTATGTCCAGTATAAATCTAGCAGATACCATTGTCGTCGCTGGTAATGTAGAATTTCTGGTATGGTTATCATTATCATTATGGTTATTCAACCATATGAAAATTCAGAAGGAATGGGTGCATAGTCAGAAAGAAATGCGAACAAAAGTGACTTGTAAATTCCAGATAATTCCGGATAATTTTTGTCCATAAACAATATATCACTTGACTATCCACGCAGAACCCACACGACCCGGGTACCTGAGTTGCCCTTCCACCCCTACCTCCATCCTCAATGAAACTTAAAATCTCTTTAAATTTACTGAACATAGAAAGATAATTTTCATATAACATGTTCAATATGTCCTTGAATTATGTAATAAATATCTATTTTCATCGAAAAGCTAATGTAAGCTAATGTTCGAGAAATACCTGATTCCTCTTGGTTTCCCTTCTGAACATGACATTTTAATCTTCAACTTTACCAGTAATTTCACCAGAGCCAAATCTCTCAGCCTCTGTTCAAATGTCAAAAAGTCCTGCGTGTGACCTGTGTAAAGCTATGTTATCAATTTGGTAATATACATGATATGCTGATATTGGTATATTGGCTCTGTTGGAAGCCATGGCTATCCATGAAGATCCAGGTAAGAATTGGTCTTCAGCAACTCATCCTTGTCTAAAGAAGCTGGATTATTTACAGTCCCATCATATATCTGGAATATTGCTGAGTGTGGCGTTAAACTACAGACAAACAGCTACCTAATATTAATAGCTGCATATACTGCAGGTCGTTCACCTATACTTGGCACGTTTCATACATCCCCCACTTCGATTATATATTGGCACCTCTATCAACCTTTCACAATGGCCAAAATATTCAGTGTTGTAAATCAAACACTCCCAGTTAGACTCATTTAATATACAGTTTTCAAGAAAAAGGTTTGATGGGTTTTTTTCTTAATAATTTTGACAAATTCAGAGATTTTTTCAAACAGATTTTCTCCAATACTATGGGTCAGCCTAGTTGGTTTACCCAGAATTGAGTTTTGTGACGTTGGTCGTGTGTTTACAATGGAAGCATACACAAACTCAGACAGATATCTCTAAAACGGAAATGTGTAAAGTTGTGAAAAAAAACATCGTCATATCTTTTTAGGAATGATGATTGCAAGTAAATTTTGTTTCAGAAACTTGTAGAAAAATGATTTACTTTGACCTTGTTAACTTCGATTCATAGTTGTAGAAATAACCTGATTGATTCCTGGATAAATGAATCCATGGATTCAAAATGACAGATTAATAACATTGCATTATCTTGATATTATTGATCCCAAGTAGAAATTCTGGATATTTGAGCAGAGTGATGCCAGGAGATTTGGCTGTGGGAATGTTACTGGTCAAGTCATATGTTCAGATGTGATTTTTCTCATGTTACTGGTGCTAATGGGTTTCACCAAAGTGGTAGACAATGGTAGACAATGGTAGACATCTAAGATCCGCATCACTTCAAGCTGCATCACATCAAGCTCGTATTTATCGTTTCAATGTTTTGCATGTTAAGTGAATATGTCCTTTTGAACATATTAAATGAAGCAATTCATGTAGAAATAGAAATCAAAGGATTAGCATTATTTAACTTTTATTATTTGTGTTTTCTTCTTATAAACATATGAACTTGACCAGTGAAGATGCTGGTTAGAATAGGTCTTCAGCAACCCATGCTTGCCGTAAAAGGCGACTATGCTTGTCGTAAGAGGCGACTAACGGGATCGGGTGGTCAGGCTCGCTGACTTGGTTGATGCATTCATTGTATCCCAATTGCGTGGATAGATGCTCATGATGTCAATCACTGGATTGTCTGGTCCAGACTTGATTATTTACAGACCGCCATCATATAGCTGGAATATTGCTGAATGTGGCGTTAAACAACAAAGAAACTAACAATCATATAAGCATAATCAAACTTTTCATAAATTATGTAATACACACAGGTCCTTAGATTAGAGGGTTAACATGGTTAATGCTTAAACACCAACACTGAATTGACAAAGTTTATTCAGCACTTACTTTCTATTGCAGCACCATCACCATCCAATGTCATCAGTGCACTGACTGTGAAGTGTATTGACTCTAAGAAGGCCTTCAATGCTTCCAGTTGGTTCAATCCTCGTTCAAGCAAGTCAAGAGATGAATGTTATCAAGTCAGTAACTTGAAGGATGATATAATCCAGAAAAAAAGAGTAGAGGCCAACCAGATAGTGTTTGCCCAATGGCTACCGCTGCCCCGCGGTGGAAAACAGCTCGACATGTCCAGGTGGTTTCAGAACCTCATCGCAGTCATACAAATTGACATTGGCTACAGTTCTAAGAACCCTATTGGTAAGTAATAAAGTATGTAGCGAAGCATGTCATGATCCTGTTTTTTCCCCTTTGAAGTTTTGTTTCATACCTTAGTTTTTGTCTATATTATCCCCCGCCTTGAAGTAGGAGGGGGATATAGAAATGGGTGCTGTCCATTCGTCATCCGAAAAAACTCAAAAGCCATTCACTATTTCTTACCAAACTTTGCACACATATCGTTTGGGTACTGAACTGGTGTCTTTTGCCACTTAGAGATTTCTAACATTTTTAGCTTTTCTGGTTTCCATGGAAACAAGTTGGACTCAGTACACATTCTGGGGAGGGCTCTTTTCCTGGTTATCACTTGTAAACCATTACATATTTTTTCACAAAACTTTGTATGTGTAAAAACCCGGGGACATCTTCCCGAGTTAACAGACTTCAAAAGACCAGTTTCCACCCTTGCCGAACTAGGCTGGAATTCCTGGGCTCGATTTTAGCGCCACCAGTGGTTATTACAAGTTATGTCCCTTCTAAGCCTCTCCTATGGACCAATCAGATTCCACCTCTCGTATCACTTACATTTGATTCAAACAATATGGTGACGCCCAGTCAAGACAACCTGATCGATAATCAAGATCTATATTGTGATAAAACGGGTCTTGCATCGCGAAGTGATTAAAATCACGTGAGCACCATGATTAAAATCATGAAAAGATTCGGAAAATATCTGTTAAACAACGAGTTGGCGGTGCACATGCTTTGCAAATCCCGAATCGATCAAAATCAGCACCACGGTTTAGGAAACGGATTTGTGCAAATTTGATTGGACTATGCATAGACTCGGTAGCCCAGCCAAAATGTACCTCCATAATCATGATAATACCAGCTTAGTTCGGCAAGGGTGGAAACTGGACTTTTATAGTCAGTTAACTCCCTTGCCTAGGGAAGATGACCTGGGGATGAACAAGTGTCTTTTGCCAATCAGGGCATTTGATGTTTTTCATTTTTTTGTTTTTCATGACTTAGTGCATTTTTGGGTGGTGTTTCATCTGGGTTGCAATTAAGAAACAATCCTACATTTTTGTATGAATGTTTGCATATACACACGTCAAAGAACCAAACAGTACCTTCTCCTTATATGGATATACTGGTGTTAATTTGTCTGCCGTTAATGAATACATTAGCTGAATCTAATACAGAAAGCACCCATGGCAGGGGATGTGAGTATCTTATGCTTGTTTTTACTCAGTTTTATTCAATTTCAAAGTACAGTAACCATGGTAACAAACTCAAAGGGACCACTATTCTTAGTTCGTTATTTCCGTAGTTCGTTATAAGCATTTCGAGGTGTGTCTGCCAACGCAAGATTATCATGTTTATCGATACTTAATTTCCCCACTCTATTTGTTGCATTTTACACACAGATTATATCCACTTCAAAGGCTAAAGTCTCATCACTGTGATTCTATTGTTAATGTGGGTGTATTTGAGGACAAGGTGTCGATAAATCAATTGCCTTCAATTGTTAATTGCAGCTTTGAACAGCCGCGAGTCCGTGGGTGTTTTGATAGGCAGATTTGTGACACGTGAGCAGCTCAGCTCAAGGATTAACAGTTAGTTATAAACTTAAACATTATCGTTGACAGAGTACTCACAGGACCACAAAGTGAGTCTGCTATGTCCGTTATTTCGTTATTAGCATGTGGTTTTATATCTACCAATTTCATATGATAAAATAAACTGCATATGGCCGGACCAAAAACACAGTTCATTATAAGCGTGTACATCATGGTACATTATAAACATACACTGTACATGGTTACAACTATATAAAGAGGTATATATTCAAGGTAGTTGACATGATCATGATGATAAAACCATAGATGGAAGGCTTGTATACTGTATTTGAAGTCGACAGTATAATTACTTAGGCATTGAGAAAATATTTTATGAAGGCTTCACTTGTCCTGCTTGTTATCATGGTTATGTGGGGGGCATGGGTGGCCCAGTCGTCTAAGGCGCCGTGATTCTCTGTGCAGAGTTGCGTCCCTTGGGCACGCCAGAAACCTATGATTGTGGGTTCAAATCCCGGTTTGCCCCGATTATGTTTCTAGGTTTGTCAGCACCATACCCGTGCTCATGGGTTTCACCGAAGTGGTAAACGTCTAAGACCTGCATCACCTCAGGCTTTCCTCCAACATTAAGCTGACACGCCGCGATATAACTGTAATACTGTTAAAAGCGGCGTTAAACCAAACTCACTCACTCACTCACTCACTATCATGGTTATGGGCAGAGGGTAGTAGTAATGGTTAAGGTACCTGATCATGATGCTTATCAGTCTTCATTTTCTTGATCTTTAAGTTTAAGAAGTGTATGATAAACAGTGATGATATCCTCATTGAAAATAGGGGCATTGTTGATCGAGGATGGACCATGTTCGATCATCTTCCAAAACTGCTATGATTCCCTCTACTGTCTGATGATCAACACCAGATCCAACAGAGAGTTTCGTCCCAGCTCTCCACAACGCTTCCTTCGTCGGAGGTTCCGACTGAGGATTTGACGAGACCTTATGAAACTTTGGAGAGGATTTCACATGGTTCTGCAGAGAGTCATCGATCTTCACTGTCGTTATATCGAGAGGAGTGCTAGATTATATCAATCAGGATAAGGATTGTCATTTACTCCATCATTTAGGAGGTTCGACAGGGATCAGTTGTGTTACTCCCCTAAGCAATTGTCAGAGGATCGGAGGCTTTTGACAGCCTGGATCGGGATTGACGAATCCCACCACTATCATCTTACCAAAAAGATTGGGGAAATACTCCACTTCGCTCAAAGTACCTTGAGGATAGATGACGATACAATGGTCATGAATGAGCTGTGCATCATTTAATGAACTTGGAGGATCAGTGATTGCTCGATGTTCGGGGCCAGGATTATCATCGTCACAGTGAGGATCATCTTTAGAGCTGTGATATTTGCTGAAAGCCGACTTATTTCAACGATCAGAGAGTCTGTTGTGATCGGTAGTCTTGCAAATTAATAAGCCAGCTACGATCACTTCCACAGCTTCTTATTGAGATAATGACTTGGGACGCACTCTTCACAGGGATTTTGTTACACGTTCAACCAAGGACCGATCGGACAATTAATCAGGAGTCCCAGGGAGGTGATTAACTATCTCAGATGATGGGAACACAGGATTGTTCACTGACCGACGACCCTTGAGGATTGGAAGAGGTTTGACAATCGACCAGGGATATTCAGCGTACATTTGTAGATTTATATAATCGTCCAATGTATCCATGCCTGGAGGATCGGCAAAATATTTACGATCAGGATTGGGAATTTTACCACTATCAGGAAAGACATCGCCGAGAAAGGGATGATTGATAGGATAGTTCGTTGAACTTTCACCAGAATGATCGGCAGACAATCGAAGATTTTTTACATCTTCAAGATTTATTCACATGCATAAAATAGCACAGAAGATCACATTGTTAATGCGCCATGAAGCATTCTACAGGAAACTGGCTGCATGTACACCTGTTTTTTCTTCGGAAGTTGGGACACCACATTGTCTGCAAATTAGTGCAATACAGTTCACATTATCAGCGTGAGAAATTGGCACTGGTCCTGTAGTCCTTGCCAAACTGCCCATTAGTTAAGATATCATAAGGACTAGTAGAAATTTTAACTTTTTGAGGGTGTTGCTAGATGTTATCATTATAAGGACTAGTGGACTAAAACTGTTAGTTTCTAACACTGAATTGTATTGTCACATTGTATTGTATTGTCATCATCCTAGGCTTTTTCAGAGTGGTCAGCTGCAGTTTTGACCTTTTAGTAGTTTTACAGTGGTTTCTGAGACCATTTCTGAAGAAGAACAATTGCAAGATCAAGATTCGAGTCCAGATGTCGTAACTACGTCACCTTCAAGGATGGCTTTGGGAGTCAAACATCTGCAAAGGAATCTTCTTGACAATGCACCACCTGTTTGACGACGCTTCGATGATCGATTTGGGAGCTCACTTGTTAGATCAACTAGTGACAGGGTGTTGGTCTGCAGACAAATGAAATCTACACATCAACAACCTACACTTAAAAGAAGTGATGTTACAAGTAACAGACTGAGCGGAGGTACTGCAATCGTCCCCACTGATGGTTCAATCAGACAGTGCATCATTTGTGTGGTACATCAACGAGATAGGACTGGCGATATATGCATCACTCCCACAAACGACAATCCATTTTTTTTAAACTGGTAGACTTGCTTCACATTCTAATTCAAGCCAGGCACATTCCGAGGATTCAAAATGTATCAGATGCGCTATCCCGACCAGATCAACCATCCATGATGGAGCGACAGCTTCTTCCGGAGATCTTTCAGTGGATTTACTAGCTCTACCAGAAACCAAAAGTCGACCTATTTGCGATCAAATGCAACACTCAATTATCGAGGTTCATCTACCCACCCCACCCCACCCCACCCCACCCCACCCCACCCCTTTTGGAAAGGACTGACATGACTTCTGCCTCAGGTGTTGCAAAATTTCTTAGACACTTCATCTACTTTCAGTCGCACACTTCTGGCCAGTGAGGAGTTGGTTCAACGTCCTTGTAAACGTTTGAGATTGAAGACATCATCGTCTACCTCAAGGGACAGACCTACTACTTCACCCACTCTCAAGCCAGCTAGTTCCAAAACCGGAAACACTCCATTGGAAGCTTACGAACCACTAGCGGATAAAGACTTTCAGCACATCACGCTGCAGACAGTCTTCCTACACCTGAGATGGGACTTTATTGCAAAGAACCAACTCCCTAGACAGCCAGACATGTTATTCACCATCCCTCTGCTCTCCTCTATTTAAGGCCTAGCAATCTAAAGACCACTGGCCCAGTGAGAGCCTTACCTTCAAGCTTCCATGCATCTACAACGCTCATCAAGAAAGTTGTTTTTCCCCCCTTGTCAACAGCTTCGACTACAGAAGTATCCTGGACCACAGTGTCCTTTTGGCTCCTATCAAGCCAATACATTCGCAGGATTGTTTTAAAAATTTGGAAATTTTTAATAAATTGTATATTTTATATTACATATCCTATCTCACATGCGAAACTCCCATCCAACCATCCCCACATCACAGTTATACCAGCCTGTATGCTCTACAAAAGAGTAAGCTGGGGACCTCACATGAGCAGGTTGCCCAAACAAGTGATGGTGATGGTAACCATAGTTGCGACTGGAATGTGGCATATTTAAGAAATAAACGAGCGGGAGGCTCTACATAATGTTGATGTCTCATATAAGAAATAAACGACTCACGGGAGAATAATCCACTCGCGCATCAAGGATTATTCTGTGTTTTATTGTACGATAAACGACTCACTAGGCTCATTAGACACTCCTAAACAATAACATTGTCCAATATATGATGTCATCAAGTTGCGAGCGCAAATTCGAATCTCTAGAAATCTCAAGCACAATCCAGTGCTTGTAAAATTGAATTGATCTGCTATCTGCAGGCCCTGACCCCGTGCTGCGGATGTTGGCCAGCATCGCATACCGTGACAAACACGAAGATGACTGGAAGGAACTTGCAAGGGCCACCGAGGACCGCCATCTTGAATGTCATCTTGAAGAACATGAAGTAAGTCACCCTGGTTGTGATCCTTGTCAGCACCATACTGGTGAATGTCCATGACCCAAATCCATTTGAATTTTTTTCCTACATTATGCTGCTACAGAGTACAGAGTAGTTACTGAAATACTGTTCAAAACAGTGTTAGACTTAACCCTTTAAATGGTATGTTCTTAGATCAAAAGAAATTACCAGCTGATCGTGGTAAACACATCTGCTAAAGGATCTATAATTGAACTCACTTCCTAAAGCTAACAGATTACAGAAATGTTAATGTAATAAGTATTTTATTTCAAGGTAGACACAATTTTATAGATAACAACTTCTTTAATACAGTATTAAAGAAGTTGTTATCCATAAAATTGTGTCTACCTTGTCATCTGTCAACTTCTAAGTAATGCCTATCAAACAATTTATTTTATGTTAGTTGACAGTGCTCATTATCGAATAATATACACTTTGAACTGGTATAATGAAGTGTTTGAATATAGAATGTGCGCGGATATATCAATGTAACCCAGTAACATTCAATGCATCATTATCCGAGTCACAAATAACGAGAGTCGTGAAGATCCGGGTTGGAATAGGTCTTCAGTAACTAATGCTTGCTGTAAAAGGCAACAATGCTTGTCGTAAGAGGCGACTAATGGTATTAGGTGGTCAGGCTTGCTGACTTGGTTGATTCATGTAATTGTATCCCAATTGCCCGTGGATAGATGCTCATGATGTCAATCACTGGATTGTCTGGTCCAGAGTCGATTATTTACAGACCGTCTTCATATAGCTGGAATACTGCTTAGTGCGGTGTTAAACAACAAACAAACAAACAACCACAAACGGCGAATATCAAATAGTTTCCACAGTGTGGGTTTGAATCCCAAATATAAGGTTTGTTACAGTTTACACTGTTTGAAGACAAAATAGCTCTGATAATTAGCAAATTCTCATTACACTCCAAAAAATCTCATTGCTTTTAGACTGGGGAGATTTTCTCTCATTGGTTAAAATTTCCAGGATAATCCAGGTGATTTGAGATCCCGAGAACCAAGGGAATGATCCAGGGGTCAGTGTAGGTTTAACAAAATGCAAGGCTGGAGATATAGAGGATGATCTGAGCTATACCATTTGGCATTCATGGTTGGTTTACTACTATTGCATAGTGGTAGCCTAGTGGTTAAAGCGTTTGCTTGTCACACCGAAGACCCGGGATCGATTCCCGACATGGGTACAATGTGTGAAGCCCATTTCTGATTTTCCCTGCTGTAATATTGCTGGAATATCGCTAAAAGCGGCGTAAAACCATACTCGCTCACTCACTCGCTCACTAAGGTCTTCTACCTGTTCTAGACATCAAGGTAGAGCATCCCTATATAAGTGCAAAAATCTTGGACACGACATTAAAACTAAACTCACCTCACCTCACCTCACCTCACCTCACCTCACCTCACCTCACCTCACCTCTAGGCATCAAGATTGATATTTAGTTGAAAATTGGGAATACTTAGTCTGCTCCCACAAATGAGCCGGGTAAATTGTTTATTATTTCCTGTTTAATTTTCCAGAAAGAAGAAGGAGCACATTACCACTGTAATCTCTTGCCCTTCTTTGAGCTAGGAAGTGTGCACTATGACTACTACCTGGTCAATATCCGAATCCCGGTGCTGGAGTCCCGAGGCATTAACCTTGGAATTGGCGAGATAGAAGATATCCATGTTGTGGTGAGAGCTCTTGGACCATTGATCACACTGTTTGCTTTTCATCATGTTCTACGTCAGCATCATGCATGTTGACACTGTGGACTTGTTCCTCCAGGCGCAATTTTCCCGAGGCAAGAGCGTCCTCTAGCCTTTTTAAGCAAAGTCTTGTTTCCACCCTTGCCACATCAAGCCAACTTTCCTTTGCTAAATATGACTGGACTATCACTTGACTATCACACATATCAACAGTCCAATCACAAAATCAACATCCTTGACTGTACACCTTCATATGAAAGTGATTTACCGCTGGAATGTGTCTTTGTTGACACGGATATGCCTTTTTCATCTTTTAAACAATTGCCTATGTTTTTGTGTCAGGGATGAAATTCGCTAATGTTTTCGTTATCTGATCGACTAGGTCGCCTATGGTATTTGCCATCTTTGTGAAGCTATATGAGATCATTAACAGTGATCTGATTGGATATAGCGTTTTCATTACAAGGGGCACAACTTGTGATCTACGCGAGGGTGCGTCAGGGTCAAGCCAAGGAAAGTGGCCTTGATGTGGCAAGGGTAGAAACTAGGCTTTAATATAGGCTAGTGGACACGCTTGCCTTGGGAAGATGATCTCAGCGAGAGTCAGAAGTTCATTTTAAAATTCATTTATGAAATTTAATCATATGTTAATAAATAATAATAATAAATAGTCAACTAAAGTCTTGTAATGTGCATAACGCCATGGATTTGCACCTGTAGTCACGTTGGATTGTTTGATGGTTTCAGGCTATCCACCAGAATGGTGGTTTCACCAAGGTGTGGTTCTCCATGAAGACTACTGTCTTCCCTGTCCTCCTAGCTGTTCTGGTCTGGTTCTGGAACAGAATACAGAAACTCAGTCGTCTCCCCAACCTGCTGGAAAGGTTTGTGTTTGACTTGGACTTGGGGGTACGGGTGGCCCAGTCGTCTAAGGCACCGCGATTCGCTGTGCAGAGTTGCGTCCCTTGTGCATGCCAGAAACCTATGATTGTGGGTTCGAATCCCGGTTCGCCCCGATTATGTTTCTAGGTTTGTCAACACCATACCCGTGCTCGTGGTCTGCATCACTTCGGGCTTTCCTCCCACATCAAGCTGACACGCCCTGATATAACTGGAATACTGTTAAAAGCGGCGTTAAACCCAACTCACTCACTCAATTGACTGGGACTGGGACTCCTGTGTTTGACACAAAGTGGAGGATTTCCGTGTGCAAACCAACAGTGGATCCAGTATAGACTGGTGTCTGTCAATCTGTCATTGTATTGTAAAGAATGGGTTACCATGTTTACACGGGAATAAAGCCACACTGTGTCATTAAGCTGTATGGCTTGTCTCATATACATATTCATTAGTGATTATCTGGCTTGGCATTAGTAGAGGTAATGGAATTATAATTTGTTTTTTACATTTCTGTTTTTTTGGGGTGGTGGATCCATAAGCCAATTAATAAATAGGATTCCTTGACATTTTTGATAAAAATGAGATGGTATCCTCGAAGATGAACCCAACTGATAACCTACCGAACTGCACTTAGAAATGTCATTCTCTTTTGCAGTAATCACATATTACAACCTGTTTATTTCAGGACTCTTTTCTCTCTGGGAATAATCTTGTCTATCATGAACCTGCCTATTGAGTGGCTGACCTTGAACTTCAACATGCCGTACATGCTGCTGGTGGGAGACATCCGCCAGGGGGCGTTCTATGCGATGCTGCTGTCCTTCTGGGTGATCTTCGCGGGGGAACACATGATGGACCAGTTGGAGAGGAACAAGCTCAGCGTGTACTGGAAACATCTCGCCGCAATCATCTTTGGATGTGTCTGTCTGTTCGTCTTCGAGATGTGTGAGAGGTAGGTAATCAGTGGTGGCAGTTCAGACTACAGGTTTCAGGGTTCATATGTGTCATACCTACAGGGTTCAAAAGGTCATATGTTCAGGCACGTGCATGCACGTCGCTATGTAAGTGCAATAATCTTGGACGCGACGTTCAAACCCATTTCACCTCACATCACCTCATATGTTAGGGTTCATAAGGTCATATGTTCAGGGTTCATAAGGTCATATGTTCAGGGTTCAAAAGGTCATGTTCAGGGTTCAAAAGGTCATATGTTCAGGGTTCAAAAGGTCATATGTTCAGGGTTCAAAAGGTCATGTGTTCCAGGTTCATATGGGTCATACTTTCAAGGATGATAAGGTCGTATGCTCCCTATATACGGCTGTTTCACTCACCCGAATCTGCGGATTTAATGGGTGGCATGGCTGCTCTCCATTCTTGATTGCAACATCAAGGCATTTTGCTGGTAGTTGCAAACGCAATATTGGCTTAGAGGCGGGATTCCATGGTTTGCTTTTTCTCAGTAGGGACATCATGTTAACTTAGCGATGTCTGTGGGTCCGCTAACTTAGCAATGTCTGTGTGTCCGCTTACTTAGCGATGTCTGTTGGTCCGCTTAAAACTCTATGATCCTAACTGGGTCGTGGTTCACTCATGATAACAAAGAACCTCTTATGACTCATCAAAATTACTGATCCTCTAGCCTGGACATGTCCCCCCTCAATCAGCATGATCAGAGAGATTCAATGGGAGTCAGGGGGATTTTGCAATGAGTCGCCCCAGAGAAGAATTATGCGAAAATTATATAAAAATCAGCAGTGATTTATAGGTAATTGATGATAAGTCTTCTCTGGGTGCGACCCTCCCAGCCTTCCCTCGTACATGTCTTGAGGTCATGGTTTACTTCTTGATGTGTACGAGAAGCTAATTGACGTTTAGCAGGCCTGTGGCAAGCATGTTGCTAGGGGTCTGGTCATACTGGAATTAGGTTAGTGCACACGCAGTTTACACGTAGGGATATTCGATGATAATGCTACTATATGTTGTTGTGTTTTATCAATCTTTTATTAATACTTTTAATAGAGTTCTGTAGTTAGGATAGAATTTAAGAAGTTAAATGCAGTGGGTTACGCGAGAGTAGAATTACCCTCAAATACTTATAAATCACTGCCGATTTTTTATAATTTTAGTTTTGCTAATTAAAAAAATTTAATTCATTTGCAATTGTTCATTCCCAGAATAAGACAGGGAACAGGAGTATTGTGTATTGTGGAAGTGTCGGGATGAATGTTTAATGATGAATCTGTGATAAACATGATAAACAATCAGCAAAAGATGACTTTGATTATTTACAGAGGTGTCCAGCTGACAAACCCCTTCTTCAGTATCTGGACGACGAAGGTTGGCACAAACCTGGCCTTGACCTTCATTATCCTTGCAGGCATCTCGGCATGCCTGTATTTTATCTTCCTATGCTACATGATCTTCAAGGTCTTCAGGAACATCAGTGCCAAGAAGGTGTCCCTCCCCCACATGAGCAGCCTGCGACGCAAGTTCTACACGGTATGGCATTAGTGCACTGGGATAATTCTAGGTTGGGGCCTTGTGCTTTTAGCCCCTAAGTTTGAAAAAAGGCCCACATTTTCAAGTACAATGGGACATTTTAACATCGTGCTGTATGGGCAAGTGTGGGTATACCTCTGGAATATTTGAAATTTTCCACATAAAGAGCCTGTCAAAAAATTTCTAGAGTGCATTTTCATGAGGGAGCCATTCACTGATCTTAAGAGTCACCGGCATCTTAGGCCCAGCAATTCTCTTGCAGAGTTGCTTTCTCTTTCCAGTCCAAAAACCTATTGTCATGGGTTCGAATACCCGTTCTCCCGGATTATGTTTATAGGTTTGTCAGCACCATACCCGTGCTTATATGGGTTTCACCAAAGTATTAAACATATGAGACCTACCTCACTTTGGGCTTTCCTCCCACGTTAAACTGACATGCTGTGAAAATACTGGAATATTTTTAAAAGCTTGGTTAAACCCAACTCACTCTCTCCAGTGATCTTAGTATTACACTACTGTAATACCCAGTCTTTAACTGTAATTGCAATGGCCACTTGATTGTTACATAGTCAAGGGGTAATTTCTACCCACTAATCCTCAAGGCTATTACCGTATTTTCTTGAGTATAGTGCGCACTTTTTTTCGAAAAAACACAGCTGTGTAGAAGGGGGTGCGCATAATACACGAATTATGAGTTTGGATGTTTTTTTCCCCCATGGAAAGACATTACCGTGAGCACGAAACACCGGGAATACCATGTCAACAAATCCATACTGAAGTACGCAAAATAATTATGTAATTACACTGTCTGGCTATAAAAAGTGTTCTTTGTATATCAGGACTTATGTTTGTAACTTATTTCATTGATTTTATTCAAAATTCCTTATAATCTGATAATATTGTTTTTATTAATTTCGGCGAAATCGTGTGTGAAGCGATCGGAAGATCGCACAACTCACCGTTATTAACAGCAACCACGGTCAGAATACCGCTATTGACGCCTTGAAACAAACTTTAGTTGACAGAGAATGGATACATATATCATAAATGACATACTTTGACTCGTTAAAAGTCAAATTTGTTTTTGTTTGACGATTCTATGTCAACATGAAATTCTCGCGATCACGTGATCATGTGCGCGTGAGCCTTGACGGTGACTGGTCAGACATGTTCCATGTAAAAAATAATGCCCGGGAATAGCGATCAGCTGCTTCGCTTAGGGTTATTATTATTTTAAATATGTTTATTAAAGGTTGCATATAATTAAGAAAATAATGGAATATATTATTCCTGATAAATAAAATAGTTTCAGATACAATTGTTGCCGATCCTTGCATTAAAAATCTTATAAAGTTATATCATTGGGTGTTTCTTGACCGAATCACCGGTCGATTCCAAGAAAACGTGTGTACAGCTGATTGCTGTTTCCAGCTTAGTTTACGAGAAAATACGCAAGGTAATCTTAATCCCTAAATATAAAACAATGCCTAGCAGAACAATAAATACTATTTAAACGGTAAATAAACATGTCTGGTGATTTTTTATCTCAAATTTCGAATTTGTACTGACGAAGTTTCTCAGCACCCGTTCGTTTGCCGGACTTCGCTGAAAGGGTACGGTGTAAAAAATTTCTGCGCATAATATTCAAATTTCTTTTTTTCCAAAATATTGAACCTGCTAGAGGGGGGTGGGCATTATACATGGGTGCGCACTATACTCAAGAAAATACGGTAAAGGCTATACTGCTACCTTGTAGTGCCTGTATTCTTATGGAAAGTTTTCCCCATGTTTTATTGATCATGGTTATACGGAAATATATTAAACCAAATACGTAAGACAAGGGAATTCATTATGCAAGTTGCAGAAACTGTATCTTTGCTCCCTACAAATGATTTTGATATTGACTTGTTGCTACACAGACCGACCGCCTCCGTGGTCTAGTGGTAGAGCGTCCGCCCCAGAGAGCGCTCGGCATTAAGGGGCTAAAACAAGGACTGGTCAGCTCGGAGTCAGTATACTTTGTCTGAGTGGGGTATTCATGTTAAACTGCGGCATGGTATCTCAGTGAGCTAGCACTATAAATCGGCTTCAGTCCGGACTAGTACAAGCAGCCACACAAACACACACTTGTACATGCACGTCGCTATATAAGTGCAATAATCTTGGACGCGACGTTAAACCCAATTTCACCTCACCTGCTACACAGACCTACTGGCTGTTCCATAGTGTTTTCCTAAGAGTTTCCTGATTTTGGATGGTATTATAAACAGGTTTCACCTGGGTCCTTTTGCACAAAGCGATCTTAGCGCTACAATTATTGTAAATCCTTAAGATCACGATCTTAGGCTTAGGCTACAATCGTCATCCACTTGCACAAAGCGATTGTAGGCTAAGATCATTGTAAGCTACAATCGAAACTTACAATTGGTCCGGAACAATCTTAAGTAGCTAAGATCTTTGTAGTCCCTGAATAAACTTGACAAAATGGCTTGCAAGACATAAATAATCTGCTTTATGTTCAAACATTGCCTCTTTATTTTGTTAAACTTTATGATTGGAATCGACACTTTCACAACATGAAGAACACACCACAGATTTAACGTAAAAAATATCGTTAATTGCCATAGTTAACCACATCGAGTCGATAGATAAAAGGAATATTCCCATCTGTCCTATGGTACAATATTTAAGATCAATTTTAGCAATCCTAATTTGGTCCGGAGCAACTTAGCATTTTGATCTTAACTTACAACTCTCTTAGTTAAGATTGCTTTGTGGAACGGGCGGCTGATCGTAACAAAAATTTAAGATCGCATACTTAGTGAGTTACAATCAACTTAGCCCTAAGATCGCTTTGTGGAACGGGGCCCTGGTCAATAAGTGTGAAAGTCAGAGTTGCACATCTGTGTCATGAGTGGTATATTTTCAGGGCCTGATCTACCGCTTCAAGTTCCTGATGCTGATAACCCTCTTGTGTGCCGCTCTCACTGTCATCTTCTTCATCATCAGCCAAGTCAGTGAGGGGTCATGGAAATGGGGGGATGAGAACATCAGCCTAGAGTACACCAGCGCCTTCCTCACAGGTAAAGCATAGTGATATCATATGACAAAGTCTGAGGGCAGTAAGATAACATGATGGTTAAAGCATTGGGTAATCACACCGGAAGACCCTTTTTTTTATTGCCCACGTGGGTACAATGTGTGAAAATCTTTTCAAATGATAGTTACTGGAATATTGCTTAGAGTGGCACAAAACTGTACTCCTTACTTGAACACTAGCTGACGCTGATGGGTTGATTATTGTTAGCCAGGAGATAGAGGACTGGTGTGTGGATGGTAACAAGACATACCAGGGTCAAAAATGAGAACTGTCTGAAAATAGCTAACAGTTATTGCACTAGAGTGCATATTTTATGCATGTTGGCGTTTTGTGATACCAAGGGGCGACCCAGGTACCAAAAGTCCTGTAACTGGCTCTGTAGAGTTGTCTCCCCTAGCTCTGCCAGGGGCTGATCAGGAACCTTGGTATGTCCCAAATATCCCCCATCTTGCCTACAATGTTATTCTCTGAGTCCCCTGAGATAAGTGCCTCAGCAACCTATGCTTGTCGTTTGATGCGATTAAATGGATCAGGTAGTTAATGGACTTGGTTGATATGTCATCGTATCAAAACAGTGTGGCTTCATGCTCATGATGTCAATCACTGGATTGTCTGTTCAACCTTGATTATTTACATACTGCAGTCATATTGCTTAGAGTGGCAATAACGAAAGCAACTAACGAACGAAACAAATAAATTATTTTTCTACTCCAGGTGTATATGGAATGTGGAACGTGTACGTAATCGGCCTGCTGTGTATGTACGCCCCATCTCACAAGACTATCGCAGATGATGGTAAGTGGTGCCGCCACACCAGGCTGCAGATAGATGAATGACCTTTCAGCTGGTTACATTAGATGGTGTTTGTTTTCAGCTTCCCACAACATTCTGAAGAGCTTGTATGATTGGTCATTTGAGGGCATGGACTTGATTGGCCTCTGGGTAAGAATAGGTCGACAGTACCTCATGCTTGTGCTGGGGGCCGACTAATATTGAGACTGGATGGTCAGTGTGACAAAGATCATTGCCCCGTTGGGATTCCGGGTTAGAATAGATCCCTAGCAACCCATGCTGTCGTTAATAATATCAATTACCGGTACTGGACTGTCTGGTCCGTTATTCACAGGCTGCCATCATATAGCTGGAATATTGCTGAAAGCAGTACAACATTTGAACAAACAGACATTGATCATTGCCTGGTCCAGACTCTTGTGTTTACAGGCTGCTCTGATATGTCTGAATATCGCTGGAACTCACTCATCTTGATTAAAAAGTTAGGGATTCTGAATAATTTCTTTTGTAGTGAAGAGAATACAATTTCATAGAAATATTCCCAAAACTCTTCATGATCCCTAACATTTTTTATTCAATATATTTCATAATAATTCTGCTGGCTTTAGAGCTGAGTGGCTATATTTTTTGCAGTTTCTGTCTTTCAGTGGAAACAAGATTTTCACATTACTGAAAAAAACATTCAATGGATTTTAAGGGAACATGATACCGAAAATTGTAGTTGTGTATTTTGCCTTTTGGAATTGAATGTTTCATGTGTGTGTCTGTGACAAGCCACACTGATCACGTGGTTGTCTCTGTTTACAGAGAACTATATGTATTTATTTGAACATTCTGAACAACGTTTAAGGTAGGCGTAGCAAATATTGGCAGTCTGCGCCAAACACTTTTTTGCATACAAGCACTGTCTTGTCCTTCTTCATCCTTTCTGTAGAATTTTTTCTAATTAGTTTCAACTTATTAGACGATAGAAATTTTGTGAGACTCTGGCTTCAGACAAGTGGCTTATGTCGCTGACTATATTCATGTCATTATTATAAGACATGTGAAATATGCAAATGCTTACCGGTACTCTGATTGTTTTACCATGTCAGCTGGCTTGACATTCTGGATCAAGGCGAGGGTCATTTCAACTATATTTGCAGAAAATATTCAACTTTATTCAAGGAAAACAGATACAAATCATGTTTATGTATGGAAATAGTTATTGGAACAGTTGTTTAGGCCAAAATTCGAAATTTTATTGTCAAATCCTGACCTGACATTGCCAGTGGAAGCTGAAAGTAAAACACCTGGAAAAAAATGTGAGATCTTCGACTCGGTGTATAAGACGACCCCCCTTCTTAACCCCCTCATTTTAGGTGCGAAAAACTCGCCTTATACACAGCGATATAGGGTATTCATAAGTCATGTTTCATGAGAGTTGATTAATGTGTTTGCTGGCCTATAGTTAGCTGCCAACTTTGCATTTTTGTTCTATCAACCATGCCCTTAGCAGGATTAGACCTAAACTGAAAAGCTTCACTTGCCCGGGTAAACATACAATGCACTGAAAAGGCTAAAACAATCATAGTCTTTGTTCTCAGGCTATGCCCGTATGATCATAAAGTCAAACAATAGGAAAAGTGGGAAATTTGTATATGCCCGCAGGAATATGTTATAGCACTGGCTAGCAGAGTAGTGTTAATTCCTAACACTGCTTACTGAAATATTCGGCATGTTAGGGCATGGAGAATGTTTCTATCAGTGCCTGTTGTCTCTTTCAAGTAAGGTTTCCAAGAGTGTGGAAATACCGTGTCGGTATGTGGGTCTGCCAGACATGTAGATTAAATAAACTGCCCATCTGTCAGTAACTAGTTGTCATGAAAACATTTATGGTCAATTCATCTCACCTTACACATAAATGTGACTGCCTCCGTGGTCTAGTGGTAGAGCGTCCACCCGGAGAGCGGAAGGTCCGGGGTTCGATCCCCAGCCGCGTCATACCAAGAGCATGTTGTTTAAAATATGGTACTTGTTTTTACCCTGTCTGGCACTCGGCATTAAGGGGCTAAAACAAGGACTGGTCGGGTCTAAGTCAGTATACTGTGTCTGAGTGGGTATTCATGTTAAACTGCGGCATGGTATCTCAGTGTGCTAGCACTATAAATTGTCATCAGCATGCATGCACGCACACACGCACGCACAGGCACACACACACACTCACACACACACACACACACACACACGTGCATGCACGTCGCTATATAAGTGTGCAATAGTCTTGGACGCGACGTTAAACCCCATTTCACCTCACCTCACCTCACCTACACATGAATGTTGGATTCTGATTGGCTGAGACCCATTCCGTTATCTTCAATGTACCCTGCTAAGATGTAAGGTACATTATGTTCTCCACTCTAATTGCCGAACTGTTGGCTTTACATTTGCAACATTCAATTGAAAACTTATTATTGGAAGTAGTAACATGCATAACATTTTTTTGATAATGACAACATTGGTGTGTAATAATAACTTTATTGATCACTTATAACAATAATGGCTCTAGTCGTAGCAACTTCCAAACTTTCGGTAAGTTATAATCTTCGGACCGTCATTCAGGCGATGTTTCTGACAGATCACGATCTGAAAAAACTATCATGAAAGTGTATCTGGTGGATAAGCCAACCCCTTTCTACAGAATCTTTTTTCTGGTCCTCAAAATTCGGCTTATCTGGGGACATATACGGTACTAACCGCAAATTTGTATCTCAAATACCATTCTCTGTATATTTAATAGCTTCCGAATGAAATTACTGATTCAGATCAAAATATGCATGAATATGATAAGACATACCTGCAATATTATTAGGTGTGCGGTAAGATAAATTCATTGTCCACCTGTGAACAACTTATAATGTACCCCTTATCTAACATGCTGACTGACCAACCCTTATCTGTTACCATTGTTATTTGGTAGCTACCTATGTTTTGAGAACTCCTTACTGTTCCTATTACTTGTATTAATCAAGGCTGTCTGTTCCTGGAACCAGCATAAATGTTGTTAAAATAGATATCATTACATGATCGCACTAGGCCAGGTGACATCATTGCGTGAGCACAAATTTCCCAATGTTTGTTGTCTTTGTCATTCTAAACATGAGAGGTTCTTCACATCCTATAAACAAGATTTACAAAGTTTTTGTAACACAGTGTCTGGTCATTTTGGTATCAGGAATTGGTTTGATCATGTTGATAGTGTATGGCACATTTGCAAAATTGTGCATGAGGGTGTCCAAGCAGATGATACTCTCATTTTCCCTCAGTGACTGTGAAGATCCAGGGTAGAATAGGTCTTTAGCAACCCATTCTTGCCGTAAAAAGCGACTATGCTTGTCGTAAGGGGTGAATAACAAGATCAGGCTCGGTGAATTGGTTGATGAATGTCATCGTATCCCAATTGCGTGGCAATGCTTGCCGTGAAAGGCGACTATACTTGTCATAAGAGCAGGGTATGAAACTCCCAAAAATTTCTGCCAGACCACAGGACTGGCTAGCTGAAATACTTGCCAGCCCTGACCAAAACCTGCCTGCCCACTATGATCATATGTTTCTCAGGATAAGCTAACGGGGTTTCTTTTTGGTTACATTTTATCACTCATCTTTACATGTGAATTAATGCTTATCATCGGGAAATATTTAGAATATTTTCACATATGAAATATAACCCGACCGTCGGGCAGGGGGATTTGCAAATCTGGCAGCCCGAGTTGAAATCAACCCGTCTCGGACGGTCGGGCAGGCAGGTATTTCGAACACTGATAAGAGGCGACTAATGGGATCGGGTGGTCAAGGTCGCTGACTTAGTTGATGCATGTCATCGATCCCAATTGCGTGGATTGATGCTCATGATGTCAATCACTGGATTGTCTGGTCCAGACCCGATTATTTACAGACGGACGTCATATAACTGGAATATAGCTGAGTGCGGCGTTAAGCAAGTAAGCAACCAACCAATTGCGTGAATTGATGCTCATGATGTCAGTCACTGGATTGTCTGGTCCAGACTCGATTTATTTACCGCCGTCATATAGCTGGAATATTGCTGAGTGCGGCGTTTAACAACAAACAAATCTTCCCTCAGTTGCAAAAGCATGTTATGGTGTAAGTATAAGAGTAAAGTCTAAAGGTGTGTGTTTAGTGTTTTCCTATTGAGCATGTTGAGAAATTGGTATTTTGAAAATCAGGTCAGGGAAAAGTTGCATTAACCCCAGCAGCTGTGAGCTATCAAATCATGCGCCCTAAATCATTATTCCACATCCCTCTTGTAGGGGAAAATCAAGGTTAGAATTCGTCTTCAGCAACCTGTTTGTTGGTAGGACGTGACTAATGGGATCGGGTGGTCAGGCTTGCTGATTTGGTATTTTCCCTGGATTGTCTGGTCCAAATTTGCCGTCATATAGCTGGAATATTGCTGAGTGCGCGTTTAAACAACAAATAAACAAACGAACCTATTTCAGGGACTACCAGGCAGAAGTCCTCATTTCCCAATGTTATATATTGAGGATCAGGTGGTTGTGATGTGTGACTGAACTGTATGACGAAGGAATCCTACGTTCTTTGACGCAGTTTTCAGCCAAAAAACTCCTAATCTGTTGAGTCATTATGGTCATATATGAGGCAACATATTCATATCTGCATATGCTGCATGGGCCAATTTCCTAAAAAACACCATTGTAGGGAATACCAACGTAAATGACGGAATCTGATCGGCCAATAGAAGGGACATAACTTTTAACAGCCACTGGTGCCACTACAATCGAGCCCAGAAACTCCAGCCTAGTTGGGCAATGGTGGAAACTGGACTTTTACAGTCATTTATCTCCCGTGCTTTGGGAAGGTGATCACATACGGAGTAACCTCCCTTATCCAGTAGTTTGTATGGGCACCATAATTTCTTTTGCAGCTCCTCTCTTGTTCAATATTGGTAAAGAATCAACCCCAGTACTTGGGCGGTAAGCATGAGGAATAATTAAATTTTTCCTGTATTACATTAAGCAGGGAAAATGTGCTTTCCTAACCATGCTTAAAGCATAAGGTTGCTTCCCTAACAAAATAAATTTCAAGCGATTCTGTTGCATAGGATAAGCTAACCAAGCACTTATTTGGGTTTGTTCCCATAAACTGAAAACAAGATAGGCCACGATAGGACAATGGTCCTTGGTGAAGAAATAAAAACTGATATTCGTAGTCCCACTTTGACTGACCACCGCCACTGTCCTCTGACAGGACTTTGAATTGTGTTACAATTGTTTGCCTGTCAAGGTAGTCAAATTGTTTACAATTCTCAACTACGTATGAATAACATATTTATGTGTTCTAAAATACTACTAGCTTTGGCGTTACATTGATTTGCATATTAACAAATCATTGCATACACTTTCGACTCATATTTATGCTGATAGATTATTTCAATTCTACAGCAGTCTTCCAGTCCCACTTCATCAGAAATTCTTATTTGCGTAACTTATGCTTACTAATTGTCGTGGACAAAAATCTTACAAGGATCCTCATCCACGTTGTCTCGCATGCACACAAATTTGTCGCCAAACTCTAAGTGTGTTTTTTGCGTAAAACTCTCTCAAATGTTTTAAAACTTACAGGCAGGTCACTCACAAATGTATTTTGGAGCAATCCAGCCGTGAGGCGAGTACGATGTCACAATCGCTGAATAGTGATGTACATGGTTCGGTCATTACCATGAAAACATTATCTTCGGCGGGTAATATGATAATCGTAACTGTTCTACCCAAGCGCATCTACAACGACATCAGCCCCAGGGCTTCCAGCATGCAATGCTATGCAGGCAACGCACAATCAGCTTAGCGCTGTGCCAGCATATCCAGTGCAGCAGATGCACGCTCAGGCGTCTAGAACGCTAATTGGATGCAAACAGTTTTGCAGTCCATTTGGCAGCAGTCCGTGGCGCAACTGTATCCTGCTCCCACACCTACGCCTATGTATCAGACGCCTGTGTCAGTTACATCTACGGCTCAGGTCTTAGCACCTACTCTGGCACCTATATAATACACCTATTATGCGTCATAATACAGCCCATTCATCGTTGAGTAGTACCAGTATGCCTGCATGTAATTGGACATTGATGCATGACTCCTATGCACTTGGCGGATCATCTAAGCCCTCGGTCAGACGTAACACTTCGCACCAGAGTAGAAGCTGTTCACCATCTAGCCGCACATGTCAACATCGTCAGACTATTCCAATGGTGAAGAGGAAGATTCTTTGACAGAATGGAATACACATCTTGGCTGTATAGTACCTGATTGGGTAGCGGACCGTCTCATTTTAGTGACTTCCCGGGGTAATGGGGTGGAAGAAAATTACACCATATGGACTCCTCCTATGTCTATCCTGGATGACAGATATGATTAGATCTTTGGATAAATACTTTTTCAGGCTCACGCTTACGCCATCATTTAAGCCACCCAAGTTTATGAAGGATGAATTTCCTATCCATGTGTTTGCATCAGCAGACCAGGCTCATAGTTTGGATTAGGATATACAGAGAATGGCAGGCTCAGCAAGGTCTACTACTTTTAAGGTTCCGGATACCAGAGTTGTGTTTGTAGAAACAGAAATTTGATGGGTATTAAAACTTTTATAAGCACTAGCATCGTCAACACGTGCAGTAGAGCAGGATCTTTCAGAGGATAACCTTAACCGACTATATCATCTCCAAACTATAGTCGATTTTCAACAGCATCAGATTGACCATATAAGAAATCACCAGCAGCGTTGGCAGAAATAACTGTCACACGTAGGCTTAGCTATTTAGCCCTATCTACTTGGGACTCAGAGTTTAAGCGCAGGCTGCTACGTCAAACTTGGTCTTCCAGGTCTCTGTTCAATGAACAGATTACCGACACGCACGCCAAAGTTTCCAGTTATGCTCGGGATGAGACAGCACTCAAGGCTTTAGAGCACATTTTCTCAGAGTTTATCCGATCATTCCGGCAAGTCAGGCAATTATAGGCCTAGATGCGAGTCTCTCAAGGAAGGCCAGGCGCAGGACTCCATTCATGGGAAACGGCGTGGCAGAGGGAAACCTCAAGGTACTTATCAGTCCCGGCGTGGTAAACAGTGAGATGTTGGACAGTCACGACTGGGAACTCCCAGTCGTCCCAATTGTTGATACCCCCCATAAGCAGGAGACTGAGTTCTCAACGTACTACGTCACGGTTACGAACTAGACGTAGAGGTACTTCCACCGTTGACCACAGCTCTACTTCCTTGGAATTATCCAAGAAAGCAACATTTGCTATTAAAGGCCAGTATAAACATTCTGTTGGTAAAGATAGCCGTAGAGATTGTACACACACCAGCGTTAACACTGTTTTTTATTCCCACATCTTCCTGGTGCCCAAGAAGGACTCAGACAAGATGAGAATGAAACACAATCTCTCTGTGTTCAACGAACGTTACCTGAAGTGTCCGCCCTACTTCCACCTCACCAAGTTGAGACTGCTCAGAACGACTATAAAGGCGTTCGATTCCTAGATCAATCCGACCTGCAGGATGTCCACCTGCATATACCTATCCATCCCTCCAACTGCAGATTCCTGAGATTCAAGTTCAACGGGTTCACTACCAATGGGCAGGGCTCCCATTTGGCATTTCAGTGGCCGCGTGGCTATTTAGACGAGTAATGAAGCCCATATCCGCGTATCTACACCTGAGGAACATTTGGTTCAAGTCAGACATAGACGACTGTCTCCTGTGTCATCAACACACGCAGACGTTAATACACCACTGGGATTTCATTGATAATCAATGAGGTGAATTCGGAGTTAACTTCATCCTATCGACTCCAGTTCGTAGGAGGCCTGCTCCAAACAGACCAGGATCTCCCATCAGTTCCGAGGGACAGATGGCACTAGATTTTAGCCTCCTGTCACCTACTCTTCATCAACCACACACACTTCGCCAATGGCAAGTGTTGTTAGGGTTACTAACCTCGGCACAGGACCTAATCAGCAGAGGCCGATTGAACTACGCCCAATTCAAAATTCCTGAACCCTTACAGGATCCACTCAAGGCCATCACTCTACCGGTTCAACTAAGGCCTTACCTCAATTGGTGGACGGTAGAGTCGAATGTCTTAGGAGGAGTCTCTTTATCCGGGTTCTCCCAGAATCTACACCTGTTCTTAGACGCCTCCCTTCAGGGCTGGGGTGCTCACCTGCAAGGCCAGACAGCCTCAGGGCTATGGTCCGGCGCTCAGTGAAAGTGGCACATAAACAACTCAGAGTTGGAAGCATTAATTGTGGCCATATCACATTTGCAGAATCAGCTACAGTTCACCCAACTCACAATATCCACAGACAACAGCAATGTGGGGTGGTGCCTGGGCAATCGGGGAACAACGGACTCCCACTCCCTGCTTCAACAGACATTCAGGTTTTTTCGAAAGAGTGGATCGTCTGCAACTACAGTTCATAATTCAGCACATCCCAGGATGTTGAAACATTCTGGCCGATGCCTTATCGCATCCAGACAGGGTGGCTCCCACCGAGTGGAAACTTCTCACAGAAGCATTCCAGTTACTGCTTCAGAAGTTCAGGCAACCAAACATCGACCTGTTTGCAATCTGCCAAAACCACCAACTCATGACGTATGTCTCCCCATTACCGTATCCGCAGGCTTTGGCAGTGGACGCGTTCAGCATTCCTTGGGAAGGGCTAAAAGCATACGCTTGCTGTGACTTTGGTTGCGCCCAGGTGGCCGGCGAGAGGGTGGTTCTTTGAGCTCAGAAACGACAATGACAAGTGGGGATCGTTTTAAAAACAAGGCAAAAGGTCAAGACCCTACGACTGCATCACCATAATTCCTAGCTGAATACCTCCTACATTTGCGTACCCAAAGACACTTGAAAGGTAGCACCATTACTACATATTTGGTTGCACTTAACTCAGTGTTTGCAGCTCCGGGAAAATTTCAAGATGTCTAAGGTCCCGGAACTACAGGCCCTACTACGCTCATTCACTCTTGAGGATCAGAAGGACACCTGCTTGGGACTTGGAACGTGGTACTTAGAGGTTTGCCAGGGCCCCCTTTGAGCCCCTCTATGCATCCTCATTTTATGACCTCACCAGAAAACAGTGTTTCTCTTGGCATTAACCACGGCGGCACGAGTGAGCAAACTACTTGTAATCGGCATCACCCGGGTTCACTTTGAGCTTGGGATGCACTGAGTCGGGTTGTGCTGGGATTTTCTTGCAAAAAATCAACTACCAGGCCAACCCGATCATTTCTTCACCATCCTACCAATATTGTAGGAACCGAAGATGAGGGTGAACTTCTATGCCCGGTGCAGGCACTGCAAAGTTTCATCCGCCATTCCAAGACAAGGCATGGTTCGATGCCGGTTAAATTAGGCTTGGACCGGTAATTCATGTGACTGCCATTCCCTGTGGAACGGCAAATAAAGTACCTTATTAATCTTTGTTGTTGAACAAAACATCGTTAATATTCATATAAGTACATTTTTCGAACAAAGGGTTCATCAGGGTTTCACCTTGTCCATTTCTGGGGGGTAGATGCTGAAAGGGTTGTCTTGTTCCACTGGAATGTGTTTGGTATCCTAATAGTTGACGATACAGATCTGATAATACTGGGTTACGTAAGGCTTTGCTTGGACAATGTCTGTGCTGTCATATAGTTTGCCGTCACTTCTTACACATCCTAGCTGAAGGGAATTAGGTTAGACATGGTTCCTCCCTTAAACATTTACCTAAGGCTTGTTCCAAGTTGATAATTCCAACAGATTTCTCCTGCTTTTGATCCTGCTTTTTTTGCGACTATAAAAGTTGGGGAGTGTTCCGCGTTATGCCAGTTTCATTATGTACCTGAACCATCTGAGACTAGTGATATAAGTTTTATAACAATTCAATATATGAGCTTTGCATTTAGTAGATGAAACAAACCTACTTTGTGTAAGATTTGTTTAACTGTTTTCCCTCTCTAAGTCACGATTACTGTTATTGCTTTTTCAAAATGATTAAGTTCAATTACCATTAATATACTGGGGCACAGGTGGCCCAGTCGTCTAAGGCGCCACGATTCGCTGTGCAGAGTTGCGTCCCCTGGACACGGCAGAAATCTATGATTGTGGGTTCGAATCCCGGTTCACCTCAATTATGTTTCTAGGTTTGTCAGCACCATACCCGTGCTCATGGGTTTCACCGAAGTGGTAAACGTCCTCCTTTCCTCCCACATTAAGCTGACACGCCGCGATATAACTGGAATACTGTTAACATCAGCGTTAAACCCAACTCTCTCTCTCTCTCTCTCTCTCTCACACACACACACACACACACACACACACACACACACACACACACACACACACACACACATATTAATATATATGATCCAGCGTTAGAAACTGGCACTAGTCCTATAGTCCTTACCAAACTGCCAAATAGTAAAGGTATCCTTAGGACTAGTAGAAATTGGCCCATTTTAAGGGTTTTGCTATATGTTATCATTATAAGGACTAGTGGACAAAAACTGTTAGTTTCTAACCCTGTGATCATTGATGACTTCCAAGGTGACTTCACACTTATTTGATAACTAAAAGGGCATAAAATGGTAAAAAACAGGCCTGAAATGCTCTCATTGATTCCAACACAGAGTTATGGTTATTGGGAGACGTATAAAGAAGAGGTCACCCTGACAGGTCTCGGGCAGGCCCTTTTGGACTTTTGACTGCACACTGTCGCTAAAAGCTGTGGAACACCCAACTCACTAAACATGCTGGAAAAGAATTCTGTTTCAGAGTAGCTTGATGAAATTAGAAGAATTTACCACAGCACTTAAAATGACATGAATTTACAAGAAGTGTTTTACTAAATCAAATTGTCAGATCATCATTAACTCCTCCTGTTCTTAATCTGCAATGACTGAAATACTGAGCCTTTGTCAATTTTGTCTAGGGGGCACAGGTTTGCAGAGTTTGCTATATCCGTTATTTCGTTATTGGCATGTTCGATATATACACCAATTTTATATGATAAAATATACTGCATATCGCCGGGACCAAAAACACAGTTCATTATAAGCGTGTACATTATAAACATGATAAACATACAGTGTACATGGTAACAAGTATATAAAGAGGTATATATTCAAGGTAGTTGACATGATCATGATGATAAAACCATAGATGGAAGGCTTGTATACTGTATTTGAAGTCGACATTATAATTACTTAGGCATTGAGAAAATATTTTATGAAGGCTTCACTTGTCCTGCTTGTTATCATGGTTATGTGGGGGGGCACGGATGGCCCAGTCGTCTAAGGTGCCGCGATTCGCTGTGCAGAGTTGTGTCCCTTGGGCATGCCCGAATCCTATGATTGTGGGTTCGAATCCCGGTTCGCCCTGATTTTGTTCCTAGGTTTGTCAGCACCATACCTGTGCTCGTGGGTTTCACCGAAGTGGTAAAGGTCTGAGACCTGCATCACTTAGGGCTTTCCTCCCACATTAAGCTGACATGCCACGATATAATTGGGATACTGTTAAAAGCGGCGATAAACCCAACTCACTCAATTTGGTCTAAAATAGTTCTTCTATAGTATGTTTGATGCACTTACAGTACTTTTCGATAGGTAGAATAGATAAACCCTATGATTTCTTAACATCATGGACTGTTGTTTCAAAGTTTTCAGGGGCGTTGGGATAGCCTCGTGGTTTAAGCGTTCGCTGGTCACGCCGAAGACCCGGGTTCGATTCCCCACACCGGACAAATATGTGAAGCCTGTATGGTATTCCCCGCTGTGATAATGCTGGAATATTGCTAAAAGCGGCTTAAAACCATGCTCACTCAAAGTTAAATGTTTACTGGACAGTATAAAAGTCGGATAGTGGACTAGCAGTTAAAATTACTCCACATATCAATCATGATGAAGTACATGTAGGTGATATCAAGAGTAGACACATCAGTCTAAATGCTCCCACCCAACTGTCTACCATGACAGAAGACACGTGAGGGGATTTAGTTGTGGTCGTTTACAATAACTATAAGCACAAATATACAGCAAGCTTTTGACTGTGTATGTTTATGTATTTATTTGAATTCCCCTCTGGGAATGAACACAAAAGTAGCATAGATATTTAACTTAAAAAATAATTTCCACAAATGTATTTTGGATATTATTTTTGAGCACTTCTTGTTAATGTGTTAACCAATGTATTTTCAGTATTCTGAAAACAAGGGTTTAAAGGTTTCAACTAGCTATTGCTTGTCTTGCTCACTACTGCACAACTCCATCATAAATCACACATCACCTCTGTTGATGATGATGTTGTTGTTGTTCCAGACACAGTAAACAGCAGTCAGGAGGAGGAGGAGGTGCAGCTGACGCAGATACCGTCGGAGGTATCAGCCCTGTCATCTTTTGTATCCAAAACAGCAACGGACTGAAGTGGCCCTTACCCAAGATCCTCTAGCAGCCCTGGCCTCTCCACAGTGCTAACTCGGACAGGGAACAGTGTCCCAGCTCTAGACTCCGTTCTTACAACTTGTGATATGTGTCTATATTTTGTCAATGGCTTACAGTTACCATGGTTACTTTGGTAATCATTCTACAAACATTTTTGTCATAAGCCCTTTACTGTTGTCATTATAGCTTCATTTGTTGAAAGCTCGGAGGACAAGTTTACAAGAATTATGTGTATCATGGTCAGACCTGATCCAAAAAGAACATTTTCTTAACTGTCATTTGTATTAAAAGAAATCTGTCGGGTACAGATTGGTCAGTTACGTGGGAAGACAGTTGAGAAGTAATGTAATTGTTTTCAAAATCATGAAAACCTAAACAAAATTGTGTTACCAAGTGTAACTGATCCGGTCGGTCATTGTGCTGAATGCCTCATACACTTACATAGTCAGAGTATGTCAGATTGCAGATGTTTCAGGATGCTGCAGGGGGCCCAACTGGCCCAGCCGGGCTGCAATTCGGGCAGAGTTGTGTCTATTGGGCTCGCCAGAAACCTAAGACTGGGTTCGAATCTCGGTTTGCCCCATTTATGTTTCTAGGTTTGTCAGCACCATACGCGTGCTTGTGGATTTCACAAAAGCAGTAAACGTCTGAGACCTGCATCACTTCAGGTTTTCCTTCCACATTAAGCTGACACGCCACGATATGACTTGAATACTGTTAAAAGCGGTGTTTAACCCAACCCACTCCTGATGCAACATGATTCCTTATTTAAAACATGATAAAAAGTCATAATGAAAGTTTACTTCTTAACATGATCAAAACCTGCTGGTACTTAAATTGCTATGTTGTACATTTCTGTATTGGTACATTGTAGTTTAGATGCCTGTGTTTATATATTTTATCCACATAATCATGCTGCACATTTTTGGAGCATGCTGCACATTTTTGGAGCATGCTGCATGGATTTTACCTATATGTAGAATACATCCAATATTTCCCCTATATATTTGTATGCAAAATATGTTACATATTAAATATTTGTGCTCTTGTAACAGACAGGGTGTTTCTAATATTGTGTATTTATGATGTTTTTCTTCAGCATTTATGCATCAATGAATTACAGATCCAAGGTATTTTTAAGCCTGGTTATTAAATTGAGGTCACCAGCGTAGGGTTAGTCTACAGTATGAATTATGGAGGGGAAAATGTGTTACCATTTCATGGGGTTAAATAAAGCAATTAATTGACCAATCAATAATTGATCATTACAATGACCAGTTTCAATTTGATTTCAAATAAGAAAACAATTTTTCTTCATGTTGATGTGTTTTTCTGGCAATTATGTATTGATGTTTTATTGATCAGGACTTATTCAGTAATTGATCAATCTTTGACTATGACTGAAAGCAGATGGATAGCCCAGTGGACATGTGGAATGCACAGGTTCAAATCCCCTCATGGTTACAATGTGTGAAGCCCATGTCTGGTGTCCCCTGCTCTCATGCGTTAATAATGATTGATCAACATTATTGAGCCCTAAAATGGCATTGCTGCTCATCTAATCTCACAGACGTGAGGGGGGCGGGTGGCCCAGTTGTCGCGATTCGCTGTGCAGAGTTGCGTCCCTTGGGCACGCCAGAAACCTATGATTGTGGGTTCGAATCCCGCTTCACCCCGATTATGTTTCTAGGTTTGTCAGCACCATACCCGTGCTCGTGGGTTTCACCGAAATGGTAAACATCTGAGACCTGCATCACTTCGGGCTTTCCTCCCACATTAAGCTGACATGCCGTGATATAACTGGAATAATGTTAAAAGCGGTGTTAATCCCAACTCACAGACGTAATCTCACTGGGTACAATAATTGAGCTTGTGAGAGTTATAGATTGTGTTGTGTGCATGTTCTACTGAATATTGGCTCTCCTAATATGCGTGTTTCTCAGAATATTTACACTGGGAATTAAATAGGCACAATTAGGTAACACTACATAAAATTAGGGCTTGATTGAGTCACGGTATCAGTGTTTAGGCCAAAAGAATTTGAAGTGAAAAAAGTAAGCTGTTCTAAGAACTGAAAATGAATGAGATAACATTAATTGACTTACATCTTGATTTTGGGAGTATTTGATATATTTGTGTCAAGTGTTCGATGTTATGAAGGGGGCGTCTGTCGCCCAGCACTCTTAAGAAGCAGTTGTTGACTGTGCAGTGACAGGATCTGTTTGTTGGGTATTCAAAAGGTTGATTCCCCTCATAACAATTCTTGGTCTTTCTGTGCCATGGACGTGTCTCATGGTTTACTCTAAAGTTCTTTAACTTTAAGTTCTTCCCACGTTAAGATGTTTCACCAAGACAGTACTGAAATACTGTTCACACTCCAAAACACCTTAAAACCCATCTCTCTGACTCTGTAATGAGTACGGTCAAAGTAAATCAGGTGTATATATTTTTCTTGAAAGTGAAGGGGCGGTTGGGTAGCCTAGTGGTAAAGCGTTCGCTTGTCACATGAAGACCCAGGTTCGATTCCCAACATGGGTACAAAGTGTGAAGCCGATTACTGGTGTCCGACGCTGTCATATTGCTTGAATATTGCTAAAAGCGGAGTAAAACCATACTCACTCTTCAAAGTGATATTGTGTGGCAAACCGATGCAGGTTTCAGAAATGTTAAGTGTCCAGAGTTATTTATCATGGCATAATTCATGAATCAATTTTGTCTCATAATTTTATAAATAATTAAAGAAGGTAAAATTCTTGTCCCATTGGACATAGGACTTTTGTAATATATACTCTGGTTACATCAGACTCGGCCTGATGGTGCTGTGTTCAATGCCCCCGTCTTAAGTGAATAGTAGTGAGTATGTCTGTTTTGGGTGACAAACGTGCATAATTTTAGCATTATTTGATCAGCTTTAAAATAAGCCAAAACTCAGTCGGTGATATATAAGTGGTTTGTTGCATTTAGAGACTAAGATCTGTGTAATGTTTGATGTATATATCAACTTCCAAATATGGAATTTTCTTACAATGATTTCCATCATATTTCGTGTTTTCAGTGTTATATTTTACATACGTCAGTTTATTTGCTGTGAAATTATTGTACTTGATGTTACTATGGTAACAACCAAATACCCATGACAAAACAGAGCAATACAAATTATAGCAAATTGTTAAAATAGTATGCCTCTTCATCAATATGATGTTAAAATCATTGGTAATCCTAGGGGGAATCCCCAAAGGAGGTGATATATCCAATTGCTTGGTGTCACCTCTGTATTAGTATACCGTATTCAACTTAATAAGTGCCCAGGGCGCTCTCAAAATTAGAAATAGGGGGCTCTTATTAGAATATTATTTTGGTGAAAAAAACAGAGTTGTAAGATAAATTTCGTGGTTTATGCTGACAGCCTGAAATGTTTATCTACGACAGATATATTTTTCCAGAATTTAATTGCCCATGATTAAGGGTGCATATTATACGCGAAAAAATAAGTCTTGTGTACATCGATCAATCGGAAGGGGTGCCAACTGGGATTGTTCACTAGCCAATATATTAGCAAATATCGCCGTGGGCGCTTATTACGTCGAATACGGTATATGTTGACATTAATCAGTGCTCCAAATTCCATAATTCCTATAAGCAATAAAAACAACCATTTGTTTCTTGCCAGATTACTGATAAAACCTTATCATCAGCAATTCATTATTACAAGTATTAATACACAAGGCACTAAGAAGCTGAGTTTCATATTGATATGTATTTACGGGTCAAGTAACAAAATACCTGTGAAAGTGAAAGGTTTGTTGACCAATGTTTAAGAACAATGATACATATTGGGCCAGGACCACGTTTAGCAAAGCAATGAGAGGTAGCCTAGTTGTGGAAGTATTGCTTGTCACTCCCAAACACCGACTTCATTCCCCTCTGGGAAATAATATGTAAAGCCTATTTCTCCTCATATAAGGATGGGATATTGCTAAAAGTGGCGTAAATCCTACTCCCCTGGAGAGCAATCATCATATTGCTGTGGGTATTGTAAGTTGAACACTGATGCATAGACTTATGATAACCACAGCGCATAGATTGTGGAGTGAAATAAAACACAGGCCCATGCTGTGGGAAAGAAGGTCATTTATATTTTTGGTGCCCGAATGACGCAACCCTTCTTAGCATTCTGAAGCCCTGTGGTTTACGCTTTGGTCACAAAAGGATTTCCATCGTGATAGTTGTGAGGAACTAATTCTAAACTTGTGAATCATGCCTGTGGCATGGGATTGTGTTGTGGCATACTTACCTACGCTTTTGTCATGCAACAAAGATCTATTGGATTTAACAATTTACAGCAATAGAGTAATTTAGATATTTTTATGTGTACATTTACAGACTTTATATATTCTGTATATTGTAGATAATTTTGAGAATAAATGTTCTTTTGAATTACTTTAAAATGGCAACATGTGTGAGTCTTCTTTGACTTTGTGAGGATTATAGAATCTCCACCCTCTCCAGTTACTGTGTTCTGACAGTGGTTCAATGCACACCAGAGATCCAGGTTCTGTTCCCAACATCCACCCATCCTTGGCGTCTGACAAGGCTGGAATATTGCTGAATGTGGCCTGAAACTACAGTGAATTGAAAAAGTTTCCAAGGACTCCAAACTGTACATGACTTGCATTATTCCATCAATCTTTGAAGTAATGTGAACTTAAATTTCTACATTCATTCTTGGCATTCTGTAACGTTTGGTATGAACGGCAGGGGTTCCCGCTTATACCACAAATAACAATTACAAGAATCACAAAACAATCTCTGAAGTTAAAAGCTAGATTTAATAATTAAAACAAAGATAAGTATATAACAATTCTCAGTTACTGGGCAAGGCACTCATATACATCTATTTAGGCAAAGCAATATGGCAAATGTGCAATATAGATAATAGTCACCTCAGATTTCTTGACATCACGTGCCAAATGAATTCCATTTCACATTGTTCCAACTTTTATATCACAGTTCACAGGATAACTGGGTAACAACAGTTTCCTCCTTCGAAGCGTCGACATGACCTTCTTACTTTGTCTCCGGACATAACGCTGGGCTGAACTGTCCTCGTTCAGTTAAACCATATTTCTCCCTCTCCAATTCTTTTTCCTTCCCCCTTTCTGTTCGATAACTTGCCCTCATATACTAAACAAATTTCCAAGTAAGCTATCTACTTCAGCACAACAAAAGGTTGATCGGCCCACACCAATCAGTTACCAAGCCAACACAAACTCCAATCATCCCAGAAGCACGCTTCTCCCCGTCAGGCAGCTTGCTTAACTCAATCAAGCATGATGCCGTCCACCCAAACTGGACCCCTTGTGAACCACACAAATATACAACGTCACTCATAACACTCTCCCCCTTAAAAAAGAATGTTTTACAGAGCTTCACAATGATATAGAAAACTTCTAAAATGCAGTAATACATATTTTATCAATTTCATACAAAAGTACAAATTATATACACACATTTTACCAAACACATAATCTTTGTCAACATATACAATTATAGGGTTTGTTTCCCTTCTGTACAAATGCAAACAATTCTTGTTTCAACACCATGTTTTTGTTCACATACTCATTGTTCATTTTCACACGTATACTGTTCTGTACTCCACATACTGTAAGTACACTTCACGTAGTGAAACCTCTGGAAAGTGCGTCGGCGATGATATTATCCTTGCCCTTGATATGCATAATTTCCAGGTTGTATGTTTCTAAAGCAATGCTCCACCTCATGGTTCTCTGGTTCTTGTTTTTCATTCTGCTGACAAACACAAGTGTATTGTGGTCTGTATATACGAACAAGGGCCACAAAGTTGTGCACACATATATGTCGAATTGTTCTAATGCCAATATTAGTCCAAGTGTCTCTTTCTCGATGGTGGAATAATTCTTTTGGTGTTTGTTAAACTTCCTACTGAAGTAACATATAGGGTGTTCAATACCCATGGCAGAGGTAACAATATTAGTACTTTCTCACCAGGGTAAAATTCACGCTTGACTGCCTTTCTATCATACCATTCTTTCATCTTTTCATGGCTCGATTGTAAGTTTGCTTTAGCGAACTCGCTTTCACTTATCAATCGTTCTTTGAAGTCGGACACATACTGCAAGATGTTTGTTTCTGAACTTTCATTCAACCATTTATCCTTTAGCAGTTTCAAAGGACCTCGCATCTGCCTTCCAAACACTTACTCATAAGGAATGAACCCTAGCGAATCCTGCAGTTTCTCTGGATGCTAAAAGTACATAAGGAACTCCCTTATCCCAGTCCTTATCATGGTCCATACAGTACCATCTTAGCATGGTTTTTAAGGTCTGATGGAATCTCTCCAAAGCTCCCTGAGACTCTGGATGGTATGGGCTGGATTTAAATTGTCTGACCCCTAACTCACACATAAGACTTTTAAAATGATTCGACATGAAATTGGAACCCTGATCTGATTGCAATTCCTTTGGTAATCCAAATATTGTGAAAAAACTTGGTTAAAGTCTCACAAATAGTTTTTGTGTTAATGTTCCGCAATGGAATGGCCTCAGGGAATCTGGTAGATGTACACATGATTGTTAACAAAAACTTATTCCCTGATTTTGACTTTAGCAATGGCCCTACACAATCGATCAATAGCCTACTGAATGGTTCCTCGAACGCTGGAATGGGTTTTAAAGGGTACTTATGAATTGTTTGATTTGGCTTACCCACCAACTGGCAAGTGTGACAAGTTCTACAGTATTCCCTTACATCATTTTGTAAACCTGGCCAATAGAAATGGTTCAACAACTTCTGGTAAGTTTTGTTAACACCTAAGTGACTTGCTAACAGTGAATCATGCGCTGACTGAGGATTTCCTCACGATAACACTGTGGTACTACAACTTGATGTTGAACACGCCAAAACTTATCTGCAGGAACGTCTGGCGGTCTCCACTTTCTCATCAAAATATCCAAATCCAAGTAATACCCCACAGGTATATTCTCTATCTCCTTCACAGACAAAGCCATTTGCCTAAACTTTACCAACTCACTATCAGCCTTTTGCTTCTGAATCAGTTCCTCTCTAGACCACACACCTCTAAATTCAACACCATCTTGTGATTCTACACCAGGATCCATAACTTGCTTAGCTCCTACATCATCCAATCCACACATAAAAGTTTCTGACAAATCTACATGGCCTTCTTCAACTGGCAAATCTATTTCCTCTGACTGAACTTCAACTGGCAATTCTACATTCTCTGACCATAGCTCAAGTAACAGCACATGCGGGGTATAAATCAATGCTTTTTACCATGTCCTGATCCAAAACCTGAGCTGTGTCTGAACTTTCATCACTAACTGAATCCACAGAAATCGTAGGTTCATCACACATAGTAGGGTCAGCGCTGATAACTGAAACCTTAGGTTTAACCTCACATCCAGCTAGATCATTTCCTAACAAAAAATCAACACCAGACACCGGAAGTTGTGATCTAACTCCTAACACAACTGTTCCCGAAACAAGTTCTGACTTAAACTCTACAGTATGAAGAGAAAAATGGACAACACCACATTCTATACCTTGCATGATTACACTTGTTCCTGTATAAGTTTCTTCTGATAGAGGAACTATACCTTCCAGTATTAGAGTTTGTAATGCACCTGTATCCCTGAGAATAGTGACTGCCTTTGGATCGCCACTGCCTATCATGATCTCACCTTTAGACATGAAAGGATCGTAAGTTGCCTTAGACCTATCAATTTTCACTTCATCCTTGGACTCAACAACAGGTATGTCCTGACTGAGTAAACTACTAGGTGTCTTACTAAACACTGTGGCGCAACCATGACCTTGGGGTCCCCCACTCTGAGTTTGATTTTTCCTACCATTACCATAGCTACCATGTCCGTTGTCCAGACTACCTGAGTTACTAGCTAAGTGAGATTTACCACTGTAACCTTGGTTACCACCATGACCTCTAGAATAACCGCTACGCTGACCTTGCAACTGCTGACCTTGAATTTGCTGACGTCGACCAGAATTGTAATTGGAATAACCCGTGAATGACCGACCACGACTTTGTCCACCATTATTCACAGACTTGTGATCGGACTGACCCTGCCACGATTGACCATAGGATGAGCGACCACTCCCATAGCTTTGGTAACTGGACTGAAATTTTCGATCTGGATAATTGTTGCCACTACCACGACCTCCGCCATGATAATCTCTAGACTGAAAATTCCTTGAAAATACACTTTTGTGAGTGAGTGTGTACCTATCTGCTAACGTAGCCGCTTCCCGCAACGTTCTTACATCATGCTCATCCAAATACACC